TCGGGTTGTGACCTGGTGATGCACAGGGGTTACTCCTGGCTCTGTACTCAGAAATTACCCCTGGTGGTGCTCGGGGGACCATATGGGATGCTGGGAGTCAAACCTGGGTCAACTGTGTGCAAGGCAAACGCCCTACCTGCTGTGCTATTGCTCCAGCCTCAGTTTTTTTTTTTTTAATCCAGGAATATAATAATTACTGTAAGTTTGAAGTCGTGGTCAGGCTAAACATCGGTATTTGGGCTTCTGTCCTCTGACGCGGAAGCCCCCTTCTGTGGTGCCCTCCGGTGCGGTGCTATGATTGTTTTTCTTGTTGTTTATCTGGGGCCACACCTGGCAGGCTCAGGGTTGACTCCTGGCGCTGCTCTGGGGTCCCCGGGGTGCTGGGATTGAAGCAGCCCCCGTGTGGCGCTCTGCTCGGGCCGTGCTGGGAGGAAGCCGGTTTTCGTAGAGAGATCTCAAGGGTTAAGAAATAAGATCGTGATTTCCCCTCCATGGTTGTGGGTGCTTGATTAAGTACATTTGAAAAGCGCTTCGGACTGGGAGAGCCCACGGCCCAGTGCTGGCCGGCTCGAGGCTGTGCGTGTCCTGAGCCCCCAGAGGACTTGGGGGCTTTCGAGGGAAATGATGTTATAATTGTCCAAAATTTAAAAACTACTTTATTTCCATGAAACTGAGCTGTGGCATAAATGTCCTCGTTGCGTTACAGGGACTGGGGGGCACAGACCACAGACGGGGGTGCTGCAGACACACAGACACACACACAGACACACACACCCCATTTCCTCCCCCCCCCCCCCCCCATTCCCGTCCTGTGCTGTTTCGGTACTTGTTGTTCACACACACACAGACACACACACAGACACACACGCACGCACGCACGTACCATCCCCCCCCTCCTCCCCCCCCCCCCCCCCCCCCCCCCCCCGCCCGTCCTGCGCTGTCTCGGTGCTTGTGCTTTCACTTCCCCGCGGGAGTCTGTCTCCGAGTGCGCTTCTGCCTCTGCGTCCTTGCTTTGCCCCTTGCTTTGAGCCGAGGACAGGCTGCCTGACCCACGCTGGTCCCCCCTCCACCTTCTGTCCGGCCAGCGGCCGCTCTCGTGGTGGCTTGGGAGCAGGGGCTGCTGGGTGAGCCCCCCTGGCTCAGGAACTGCGCCTCCGGATGGGGCGGACCCCCGACCCTGCGCTCCGAGGACCCCCAGCGGGGCTGAGGTTCGCGGGCATCTGCTGTTTGAGCCTCCTGGCGCTTTTGCACGCAGTGGTCTCAGCTGCCTTTAATAATCAGCAACTGCATCCCAGAGGGAACTCGGTAACGCGAGCAGGCGGTTCCCGCAGGCGCTGACTCCAGGCTCCTCACTTCTGATAAAGCGTTTTTCTCACCGGCTTTCGGGACCGAGGTCGCTTTCTGGTGCCCAGAGCCAGCCGGTTCGGAGCAGGCAGACGTGGCCAGGGGCCAGGCCTGTTCCCGCACCCCGATCCCCCTCACGCACTGACCTTTGGTGTCCGGGGACCTCGGTCGTCAGGTGCCCTGGCGGGGGCTGTCCTGCCCGGCCCTTGCTAGCGGCCACCCTGGCCACCGCCACACCGCTGCCACCTAGTGGTGCCGGCGGACGCTGCCCCGGCGGGGACACTTCCCGCTTAGCGTTTTATTCTCGGTCAGGCTCCAAATTAAAAGGCTTTTGTGAGACAGAAAGACGTCACGTTGTAACCACAGAGCTGTGGTCTGTGGCGGGCTCTGAGGACGCTGCCGGTGGGTGGGGGGTCCTGGCCGTGGGGGAGGGGCGAGGGCATCGGGCTGGCTCAGGCCAGCGCGGGAGGCATTCCGGGGCGCCCCCAGGAGAGCCCCCCACCAGCACTGGGTCCGCAGCACGCGTGTTGGCCAGCGCTGCTGCTCAAGGTGTTTTTCCTCGCTCCGCGCTTGGACAACAGACTTGAAACTCAGGCCTTGGAGGGGAGAAACTCCGGGGTCACACGGGCGGTGCTCAGGGCTCACTCCGGGCGGGGCTTGGGGTCCGTGTGGGTGGTCAGCCCCATGCCAGGCGGGAGCCCTGCCTAGTCCCCCGGCTGTTGAGCAGGTCAGTGAGGCACCGTCCTACCGAGGGGGCCTCCCGGAGACGCCTCTGCAGTGGCCGTGGCCTCTCAGCTGTGTGACCGACACCTTCTCCCTTCTCCGCTGCTGCCCCATCCCCCGGTTCCTCTCGTTCCCTGAGGAACAAAGGGCGGGGTCAGCATTCAGGTGCCTTTGGCAGGCCCAGGCTCTTGGCCCAGCTGGTGTTGGGTTCGGGGGGCGGGGCGGGGGCGACGGCAGAGAGGGGGCACTTTGGGCTCTCCTGTCACTGCCCGCTTCTGGTGACATCGCTTCCAAAAATCTCTCTTGAATCGTGGATCTTCTCTTTTGAGTCATGGGGCGGGGTGGGGTCGGGGGTTTCCTGAAGTGGGTCGCACCCAGCTGAGCACTCCCGGTGGGTTCCGGCTCCCCCTCCCTGGGCTCCGCTTCCTGTGCTCAGGCCCGTCAGAACCCGTCACGGCGGTTCTCCCGTCCAGCTGAGTTTGGTCTGTGGCTGGCTGCGGCAGGGAGGGGGCAGCCTGCTCGGACACTCCGTCCTCTCCTGGGGAGGACGTCTGGTCCGGAGAGCACTGTCAGCCCCGAGCCCTCCCGGGCACAGCTGGGAGTAGCCCAGCACAGCCACAGGTCAGGGGCAGCTCGGGGGAGACAGGGGACGAGGGGAAGGTGTGTGCATTTTGTTCTTTGTTCATTTTCCTACAGATTCATAACCTCATCCGTTTGCAGAGGTTGGGGGGGGTGAAAATTCTGGGACTGGGGGGGTAGGTAGTACAGTGGGGAGAGCATTGGCCTTGCATGGGGCCGACCCAGGTTCAGGCCTGACACCACGTATGGCCCGCCAAGCACCACCGGGAGTGACCCCTGAGCACCGCTGGCTGTGACCCCAAAACAACAATAAAACATCCTGGGTTTCACTGTCTTCTTGGGGATTCAAAAATTTGCATCTGTGGTATATTCTTTGATTTTGTTTATGAGGTAGTTTGTTATAGAAATTGAAACTTTTGACGTCAAATTTATAAATCTTTCTTCCTTGATGCAGGTGTGCTTTCTATTTGAGGAATCGAGTCTAGAGACTCTGATCAGTTTTGTGTCTGGGGCAAACAGGACGGGCACCATGATTGATCGGCAATTTATGTTTAGCTGCTTGGTTTTAATTTAAACAACAACAACAACAAAAAAAACTTGTTATTTTAAATAGGAAAACCCAAACCATCTGTTTGCCCCCTTCCTTCGTAAATTTTATGATTTGACAGGATTTGCAATTATTTGTCCTTTTTCTAATTAAACAGTGCATTCTCAGAATAATTCATTTGTCAAAATACATCCCTAAATTTGGTTTTTAATATGGAGCCCCGAGAGCTGTCGGGATGGGGGAGGGAGCCTCACAGGGTGATGGGACGAGCCGCGTGCGGTCCCGGTGCCAGCGGTGCCCGGCCGGGGTGCCAGGGGGAGCTGAGGGTGCCAGGGGGCATCTGATGTGCTCAGGGCTCGGGAGAGGGGCCTGGCTGGGGACGAAGGGAATGTCGCCCTCCTGCCTGCGTTTGCCTGGGGCCATGTGCCGCAACGTAGCCTAGTTGGGGAAGCTCGAGGGGGCCTGTGCAGGGCTGTAGGACGGGCACGGGTGCTGGGGTCTGCGCTCACGGCTGACCCAAAGTGTGTGGGTGCTCCCGGCCACAGTGCTCCGTTTCCGGGGACACAGGGCAGAAAATTTTTTTCCCACTTTTGGGTCACACCCGGCGATGCTCGGGGTTCCTCCTGGCTCTGCACTCGGGAATCACACCTGGCAGTGCTTGGGGGACCATATGGGATGCCGAGGATCAAACCCGGGTCAGCCACGTGCAAGGCAAACGCCCTGCCCGCTGTGCTGTGGTCCCAGCTCTGAGATTTGTTTTTAAAGATTTTTTTTTAAATAGGTATTGGCTTTGTGTATTGGAAATAGACGCACCGTGCGTCTGGACTGTCAGCGACGGCCCTGTGTGTGCCAACATCACACACCCTCCCCCTTCCCCTAGTGCCCCCTTGCTCCCAGCCCTCCCCCACCACAGTGGCCTGGGGGCGTCCGTTCCAACACCTTTCAGTCCTTGCAGTTCCAGGGCAGCTCCGCCTGTCCACTGCTGGGGGTCGGGCCTCAGCTCCGGAGGCTCCACTCCGGGACAGTGAGCCCCCGAGCAGGGCCAGGAGTGCGCTGCCCCCCGCCCGGGACAGGAACCTTCTCGAGGAAGAGAAATGCGTGTTTCAGAGACCGTGCGGGCCCGGGAGTTGGAGGCGTGCGGGTGGCCGGGGTGGCTGGTCAGTCGTGCTGGCCTCGGTGGTGGGAGGGAGAGTGGGTGGGGGCCGGGGGAGCGCTGGAGAAGGTGGGGGGGGTGGACCTGGGCGGACCCCAGGCCTGTGCAGGAAGGGTTGAGTTCGTGTGCCGTGAGCAGGTCGCATGGCTGCCAGGGACTCCGCTCGCGTCCTGTCCTGGGGAGAGAGTGGGGTGTTGGAGTCGGGGTTTGGGGGCCACTCAGCACCCATCTGGAGCCTGGGGGCAGCCAGGAGAGGCTGGGCTGTGGCCACTCTCCTCGCTTAGCTGCAGGACACGGATGGTGGGCGTGGTAGTTTTTATTTCATGATTTTGGTGTTTGGGCTCCATCTGGCAGCGCTCAGGGCTATCTCCTGGCTCCCTGTTCAAGGTTCACTCCTGCCGGGACTTGGGGGACCACATCTGGGTGGGTCACGGCACTATTGCTCCGGCCCTTCTTGAGTCCTTTGGAACTTACAAGCGTGCCGTGGTTCCCGTTGTTCTAATTACCACTTCGCACTGGAAAACAGATTCGAGCCGTTCCTTTCGGGGCGAGCTGCTGGGTCTCCTCTCTCTGGACGCGCGCTTCGGGTCTAAGCTCTCCGCAGGCCGCCGGGAGGGCGACACTGACGGCTGTTCTCTGTTTCCCTCCGAGCAGAAATCAAAGAGCAGTCTGCCGAGGAGGACGCCGACGCCGAGGTGGACGGCTGCAGGCGGTCAGCCCTGGGCCTGCCGCGCGCGGGGGCCGAGGAACCCGCCAGCTGCCTGGTGTCTGTCGGAGTGGAAGCCAAAATCAGGTCAGAGAGGGGCGCGCCGGCCGCTGGAGGGGCGGGGGCGGGGCGGGACAGCGGGGAGGGGGGCCACCGAGGGATGAGGTGGGGGGTCGCTCCAGCGTGTGGGCTGGGGGGGGGGGCAGGCCACGGGACAGGAGCCTCGCCCTGGCCAGCCCCTGGGGGTCATGCCCGCCCCTCCCGGAGGGAGAAACAACCGAGTCTTAGCAGCAGGTTTGACACTTTGGCCACTTCCTGTTTTCATTTGAAAAGACAAGTCGGTTGGGTCCGGAGTGATGGGACAGCAGTGGCCGACCCCGTCCCCGGCATCACCTGCGTGGGTCTGCCATCCCTGAGCACAAACGGAGAGCAGCAATGAAGAGTGTGTGTGTGTGTGTGTGTGTGTGAGACAGACAATAAAGTGCGTGTGTGTGTGAGAGAGAGAGAGGGAGGAGAGAATGTGTGCGTGCCTGCCTCAGTGTGACTGTGTGTGTGTGTGTGTGTGTGTGTGTGTGTGTGTGTGCAAGTGCGTGCGTGTGCCCTCTTCCCTTGACTAGCGTGAGGTTGTTGGTCCCTGGGGCGGCCATGTGCCGCTCCGCTGTCCGTGGTCCTGACCCTGCAAGCTCGCGTCTCTGCTGCCTGGCACCAGGGTGGGAGCACTCTACCCTTCGCGGGGGAGCACGGGAAGGGGTGTGAGGCCCGGCAAGCACAGAGGCAGGAGTGCATGCCCCACCGTGCCTGGGAGCACCAGCCATTCCCTGCACCTGCTGCCCTGCTCTTGTGTTAATTGGGGGAGTTTTTGATGTTTCTCTCCAACAGTTCATGAGGTGTTGTCCTCTGTTTCGTGTGTTTTGTTTTTCCTGTGTGTTGTTTGGATTTTGCCTTCTTCCCCTCAATATTTAAACTCGCCGACTGTAGTTTTACTGGGGCTCCATGGGTCTGTTTCGTTGACCTGGTCATTTTCTTACGATGTTTGTCTCCTCTCTGTCAGTGTCATCAAATGCTCTTGAAGAGAAGCTGACGGCTCGTTTTCATGTGACACTTTTCATCTGCTGGTGGTCTGTTGGCTTCTCAGAAACAGTCACTTTGGCTGTGTCTCATGAAGTTTTACATTCAGCCTGCCTGCCTTCCTTCCCTCCTTCCCTCCTTCCTTTCTTTAGTTCCTGGGCCACACCCAGTTTTGCAGACAGATCACCCATGGTGGTCTTGGGTGATCACACGTGGTGCCAGGGATCAAACACGGGTTGACTGCATGCGTGTCAGGCCCCCACCCCCACCCCCCGCTCACCCACTGCACTGTCTCTCTGGCCTCTACATTCAGTTTGTGTGTTATCAAACATTTCCAGAAACAACTTTTCTTTCAACTACAGGCTTATTGAACAACATACTTTCCACTTTGTGTATATTTAGAATGTTTCATGTTATGCACTTTGTTTTTCCTGTTATACATTTCTTGTTTTTCCACATTATTGCCAGGGAGTATTACTGGCCTGCTGCTGTTCATCTGGAATTTATCGGACTTTTCTTTGGGATTTCCTGTGCATCCTGCTTTGGGAATATTTTGCTGTGCTGGAAAGAATGCAAGCACAGGCATGGCGGTGTTGAAGAGAGTATCTTAGGCTTTTAACTGTGACCAGTAACAAGTGATGAACGATACAGTGCTTACCTTAGGCTTGGGGTGGTGTCTCCCGGGCCCGGTCAGCACCTGCTGTCCGGCACTTAGACGCTTCCCTTCCTGGGCCTCTGTGGCGCTGGAGCCTGTGTGGGCTGGATGGCGGATTATTACCCGCTATGCCAGGAGAGTTGACTGGAGTGTCACATCTTGCTAACTGGTCTTCCTTTAGTTAGTTTTTTCCACTTTTTCCCTTGGGCATCTGTTCCCTTTCTCACTCGTGTTTCTGTGTCCTTGTTTTGTGTATTCATTTCTTCATCTATCCAGCATGTTTCCTGTCTCTTAGTTGAACCCACTGCGGGACGTTTTCTTTGCTGATTTTTACCCAGTTACATTTATTATAATGCTTGGTGTAGGAAGACATACATTCTGAGATGTCTTTTACCAGTGTATCAGTTCTTTGTTCTTCTCTCGGCTTTGTCTGGGATTGACTCTTAAAAACAGTTCCCTGGGCCTGCAGAGAGTGCAGTGGGCAGGACGCTTGCCTTGCCGGCAGCCCTTCCTGAGTCAGAGGCAGGAGTAAGCGCCCAGCACCACCCGGGGAGCTGCCCGTCCTTGCTTGCTCTGTGACCGCACTGTGTACCCGGATCCCCAGGACCACGCCCACCAGGGCTGGGGGACCGGGCTGTTCTGCATTTGTGTGGGCTCGGGAACCAGATGGGGGCTGGAGATGAGACCAGGTTGGTTCGTGCAAGAGCCCAGCCTGCTGTGCTGTGGGTCCCAGACCCCCAGGCCTGCTCTGCACGCAGGCCGACGCCGTCCCTGACACCTGTTGAACCATCCCCTGGCTTCAGTTGGTGCACCTGTCCCATTGGCTTTCGTGCCTTTTGTTTCTTCGCCAGTAAATGGGTTGTCAGGTGACTCTTCGGGAGAGGGTGTGGAGAGTTACTTTGTAGATTGGCAGATTTATGCATCAGTAAGAACTGTAAAGCTAATGGTATTCCACTGGCCGAGCATACTGGTGCTAGAGTTCTCTGGAGAAGAGAATCTGTTTCCTCTCCTGTGTGATTTCACTGTTTGACGGTTCAGCGTTGTGTGTGAGACCGGGACAGCACAGGTCACGGGAAATGGAACTAGGTAAATTTTGTTAGGGAAAAGCTTAAATAGGTCATTTCCGTGGTGGCTGACAGAGGCCCCACGGGAGTGTAAGTTTAGGGGAAGTGTCACCTGGAAGGAGCCATCATCCCCCGTTAGTTAGTGCACGTCAGCAGCGGGGTTCACGCAGACCCCGTTGGCGCCTGTGGGAAGCCTCTTCCTCGGCCCTCACCAAGTTTCTCTTCCAGGTGGGCATTCTGTATTGCCCCCGCCTTAGAAGCGTTAGTCTGCAGAATGACTGTGGGTCTGCAGGGCCAGAGCGGTGGCCCAGCGGGAGGGCGTTGGCCTGCATGCCTCCAACCCGAGTTGGACCCCGGCACCCCTTGGGTTCCCCACCAGAGCCAGGGTCAGCCCTAGTTGCTCCAGGGGTGGCCCAAACAGAACCAAACGAAGCGAAAAGAGTACTTGTGGGCTTCCAGAAAGCTGGGGAGGGGTAGTGGGTCCCCGGCAACCCCAGCAGGCCTCCCCCTCCCCCCCGGTGGCTGAGGTCCAGCCTTGCCCAGATGCGGAGTGTCAGCACCCGAGGACGGTTCAGCCAGCAGGGCGTCTGACCAGCCGAGGCCACACCTGCCTGGTCACTGAGGGTCGCTCCAACTGCCGCACAGGCGCCAGCAAACCCCCCTTCCCCCCGCCTCCCTCTCTCAGCGCGGCACTCCTTTGGCTTCTGTGAGCCACGCCGAGAATCTCGTGGGCTCTTGGGGTCTGGGCCACCACGCCCCGTGCTCAGGGGCGGGACCCCCTGCTCTGTGCCGGGTGACCCGGGCTCCCGCCCAGCCAGAGCCGCAGGGAAGCAAGAGAAGCCAGGATGCGGCCCCCGACAGGGTCTGCCTGCGGGGCTGGGTGGGGGCTGGGCCTCGGAGCCCCTCGGCCGCACCTCAGGTGCCTGCGTGCCCAGGTCCGAGCCCCCCTCGCCCGCCCCTCGGGTGTCCAGGGGCCCAGGCCTCCCGCAGAGGGGGTTGTTAGCGCCCGAAAATCCTCGAGCCCCGGGGGCGCTGAGGCGTGTGCCTTGCCGGCTGTGTCTGAGCTTGGCGTGCGTGGGGTTTCACGGCGCCGGGCCGGGTCGCGTTCAACCCTGTCCTCCCCCCGCAGCGAGCAGCTCTGCGCCTTCTGCTACTGTGGCGAGAAGAGTTCCCTGGGACAAGGAGACCTGAGGCAGTTCCCGGTGACGCCCGGGTTCCAGCCGTCCCTGCGGAAGGACCTGGAGGACAGCGGCGGCGGAGCCGGCGAGAAGATGCCCAGCCCCCCGCCCCGGCGGCCCCGTGGCCCCAGGAAGTAAGCACGTGGGGGGGAGGGAACGCCCCGGGACCCCCCGCCCCCAAAGCTCTGCTCATTCCTCACGGAGTCATCACAAAGCCACGGTGACTGTCAAAGCACGAGAGTGAACTTTTAGGGGCAACTTCCCTTTTGAGCAGGGGTGGTTGGTCTTTAGGGCCACTTGTCTGTCTGCAGAGCGACTCCTGACTCTGTGCTCAGGGAGAACTCCCGGTGGGTGCGGGGGGGGGGGGGGTGGGCATCGGTGGGTAGTGGAGTGTCGGGAATTGAATGCAGGTCAGCCACGTGCCTGCCTGCTGTGCCGTCGCCCTGACCCATACAGGAGCCCAGGGTCAATCGAGACAGCCGTGGGGTTCCACGGCTTGTCCAGACAGACGGGCGGTGGTGGGGGTGGTTAGAGCAGCTCTGTGATGCCTCCTCCTCGGACACTGGAAGGAGCCCAGAGCATGGCAGGCCAGCAGGACCCCCGCGTTCCTGTGTCACTTACTTCCAGTCAGGTTCAGGCGTGCTGAGCTGCCCTGTCCTTGTCCAGTGCCAGCATTGCTGGCTTTATTGCTCAGGACCTGCCTGGCGAGTGTGTCCTTCCGAGGCTTGGAGGACCAGCCTCCACGGCGCTGTCTGTGGCTGCATCTGCTACTCCTGGACACGGCAGCCCCGACCCCCACCTCCCCACCCCTCTACCCCCCAACCCTGGGCCCTCGCAGTGTCCAGAGTTTGTCCTCTTCATGCTGGGCACCGTTGTTTAGAAGCTTAATTATGCACTTGCCTCTGGTCGTTGAGGGAGCTGAAGTTTGCCCAGGAGGAGAGAGCGTGAGAATTAATTTAGCCAGCAGGCGGCTGACTCGTCCGGTGGCTGACGCCCCCCTCCCCCCCCCCCCCCCGCCCCCCAGCCTCCTCCAGACTCAGGAAGGCGCGTGGTCTGCTCGGACCCCGTTGGCTGCTGCCCTTGGGCCCCAGCCAGTGCCGGAAGCAAGAGGCTTTTAAGAGAACTTCAGGTGGGGAGCCCGAGGAGGCTAGAAGTGCTTATTTAGAGAGTCTTGGTGTTTCCAAGGCCGTCGCCAGATTATGGATAATAGCTTTACCTTTTGTGCTCGGTTGAGCATTTAAAAATACATAAACAACATGCAGAACTCTAGCAAGCTTATAACGTCCGTCGGTAATTAGCACCTTTAAGAATCCGACGGGTTATATTTGAATCATTGTGTTCTCTATTGAACGATAGAAGCAAGTATAAACACCTGTTTGGGCAACACACTTGGGCCCCACTTAATTTAATATGATAAATTTTAGTGGAAACTTTACAGCCCAAGATAATTACATAAAAATACCCTGAAATTATTTCTACCAAGTTATTAAGTAATGGTAACAGGCCAGTTAATGGGCCTCAGAAATGAAGCACATGGAAAAAAACGTATAGATCGTTCAGTGGTAGATAATTCATCTAACTGGATCATCATTTTAAACATTTACAGAATAAATTCAAAATGACCTCTAAGCCAGAGGAACAATAGTTGACTATTTTCTAAGTGGAAAGTGAGGTTTTTGAAGTAGCTTTCCTCCCAGTTGCCCTGCGTGTGAGCATGTGTGCCCAGGGGCAGAGTGGGGCTCACCGGGCTGGGCACTCGCCTCACTGGTCAGTCTGGGTCAGTCCCCGCACGCCCCCGGGGGCTCCCTGAGCAAGACCCGGTGTGGCACCCACGCCCCCCAAAAGTGACAAAGGATTCTTTCCCTCTTGCCTTTTTAGTGTACTTTACTTAAAAAGATTTTTTTGTTGTTGTTTTGGCTTTTTGGGTCACACCTGGCAATGCACAGGGGTGACTCCTGGCTCTGCACTCAGGAATTACCCCTGGTGGTGCTCAGGGGACCATCTGGGATGCTGGGAATCAAACCCGGGTCGACCCGGGTTGGCAGCGTGCAAGGCAAACGCCCTCCCCGCTGTGCTATCACTCCAGCCCCCTTAAAAGGAATTTTTAAATAAAAGCCGTCTGAGGGCTCCCCTGAGGTGCTGCCAAGGCGTCCCTCCCTACAGTGCTCGGGGTGGTTGGTGTGTGTGGGGAGAGGGGCTCTCCCACTTCCCTGGGGCGCGGGGGCTCCTCCTCTGTTCATTCCCCACTTCAGGCTTGAGTCTGGGCGTCTGTTTCTGGGACGTCCTTGGGTCCCGGCCTGACGCTCCCCCCTGCCCTGTCCAGCGCCAGACTGGTCACATGACCCGAGCACCGAAACCCGCTCAGACGCCAGCCAGGCGGGAACCGCGCGTGAGCCGCATCAGCCGCTTCACGGGTTCTCAGTTGAGGCTCTGAGGGAGGCGGCCTCCGGGCCTGGCCTGGGAGTGAAGGTCGGGTGCCCCCACCGGCCTCAGTCTCCCCCGAGCTTCCTCCCTGCCCCGCGTCCATTCTGCCTCTCGCCGAGGCCAGGGCCGACCGGAGCGTCCACGCTCCTGGTGCTGACGGACAGTTGCTGCCCCCGTCCTCACCCTCCCCCTCGCCCTCCTCCGTGCTGGACGGTTGCTTGTTTTCACACCCTGCCGTGTGCCCATGTCACTTTGAATTGATACTTTGTGTTTTGGGGGCAGATTCCCAGAAGTGGGGGGCTGGAGCAATAGCACAGCGGGGAGGGCGTTGGCCTCGCACGCACCAACCCGGGTTCGATTCCCGGCATCCCATATGGTCCCCTGAGCCCCGCCAGGAGTGATTCCTGAGTGCAGAGCCAGGAGGAACCCCTGAGCATCCCCGGGTGTGACCCAAAAAATTAAAAAAAAAAAGAAAAGCGTTTTTATTTTCCCATTTTGGAGCAATGCCCCGAACCCATTGAAGTTCTCTTTGGAACCGTGTTTCCTTGGCCCTCCTCCAGTGCTTGTGCAGGAAACCTTACTGGAACAGCGTGATTGGGGCTGAGAAACAGTAGAGCTGGGGGTGAGGGGTGGGCGGCCCTGGCCACGCGACCCCACCCCCCAACCCCCAGCCCTGCCTCGAGTGACCCTGAGACACACAGAGCCGGGAGTCACCACTGAGCACCCCCGAGCATGTTAGACTTGACGAAGTTCTATTATTCTTGAAGGAAGGAAAATGTTCTTATTTTACTGTGAGCATTTTTACAAAATACTTTCTTTTTTTTTTTTTTTTTTTTGCTTTTTGGGTCCCACCCGGCGATGCACCGGGGTTCCTCCTGGCTCTGCACTCAGGAATTACTCCTGGCGGTGCTCAGGGGACCCTATGGGATGCTGGGAATTGAACCCTGGTCGGCCGCATGCAAGGCAAACACCCAACTCGCTGTGCTATCTCTCCAGCCCTTTACAAAATACTTTAAAGTTAGCGTAGCAAGTTAGGTAAATAAGACAAAAGTGAGTTTGCATTAGCATGAAAAAAAAGCTCGTTTTTTTAAAGGCCTTGTTAAAATATTTTTTATACTTTTTTTTTCCTTTCAGTGATTCCAGGTATAAAAAGTTCAGAACTCTGGCCGGTTTCTCCTTCCTGGGACCGTGAGAAATGCCGGCAGACAGAAGCGCAGTGAGGGTGCCAGCCCCCTGGGGAGGCGCGGGCCGGGATTGGCCTCCGGTACCACGCGTGGTCCCCTGAGCCCCGGGCACACCTGGGTGTGGTCCCCAAAACAAAACAGCAGCAAAGTCAGTGAGTCGTGGTGGCTGTTGAGTGGTGACGGAATCAGAATCAGGGGAACTGAGCACTGTCAAATACTATCGCTGCCAGAGAGGAGTGGAACGCTCGTGCCACCTTAACGCTGGACACGGGACCGGTCATTGTGAAGCTTCAGGGCTGAGAAAGTTTGAGACCTGCATGTCACACGCCTGACTTCCTTCCCAGCTTTACTGCTGTTACGTCTTTTTTTGCGTTTCTTTCTGGGCCTCACCTGGTGATGCTCAGGACATACTCCTGTCTCTGTGCTCAGAGACCCCTCCTGGTGGGCTCAGGGGGCCATCTGGGGTGCTGGGGATCAAACCCAGGTCGGCTGTGTGCAAGACCCGTGCCACCTCCCTGCTGTGTGCTGTTGCTCCAGCCCATGCTGTTGTATTTTTTTGGGGGCGGGACACACCTGGTGATGCTAAGGGGTCACTCCTGGCTCTGCACTCAGGAATCACTCCTGGGGACCATGTGGGATGCCAGGGATCGAACCCAGGTCAGCCGCATCCACAGCAAACGCCCTTCCCGCTGTGCGGGAACTCCGATACCAGCTGCTGTATTCCCTCTTCTCCTGTTTCTCCGGGGCCACAGCTGGCCGTGCTTGGGGCCTGCTCCAGTGGGACCGGGGTGGGGGGGTACGACAGGTGCCCAGCCCCGAGCTCTCTCCGTGATGCAGCTCTGGGCACTTTGCTCTTGTGTCTTGCATCGTCCTGCCCCAAATCACTGTCGACCTTGTCGGGGCCCCAAGATGCGGCCGCTCACCCCTGCCCTCCCGCGCCACCTTTACAATTTGGAGTGAGGTTAGGTCCCCGGAGAGAACGTTTCTCTCCCTTCTCTCCTCAGTCGCCTGCTGCTCTCGTGCCCGTGTTCACTCAGAGCTGCTTAAGCCTTCAAGGCCCAGGGGACGTCCGGTCCATCGGACTGACAAAACAGTTCCTCGGGAGAAGGTCTTAGAGTGTCAGCGTAGGAACAAGCAGCAAATGTCAAAAATAAACCTGCATTTCCAAATTCGAACACTTGCTTATGGACTTGGAGACTTCGAAAGAGCTGTTCGCATGTTCTGATGCAGCAGCCTGGTTTTAAAGATCGCACGGCGAGTCCTGCCGTCGGCGTGAGCGTGTGCCGGTCTCCGCCTGGTCCCCGTGGCCCGTCGGCTCCGTGCGCATCAGCCGTGTCTGTCGCCCCTGCAGAGAACCGTCTCCAGCGCAGCGCCTGGCGCCGTGCGTGAGTGTCAGCACGCAGACGCCCCCCGAGGACCAGGCCGGGAAGCTGTGGGACGAGCTCAGCCTGGTGGGCCTGCCCGATGCCATCGACGTCCGCGCCCTGTTTGACCCCACAGGTAGGCGCTCTCGGTCAGCCTCTCCGAGTCCTGCGGGGCGGCTCCGTCTGGCGGCGGCTGGGGGGAAATGAACGGCCACTGCGTCCGCTGTGTGCGCGGACACTCAGGAGCAGTGTGTTGGCTCGCGCGGGCGGGCAGCAGCGAGACGCCTGGCCTCGCGGAGGAACGTCTCGGGTGCAGGGGACTCAAGCGTGGGGTGGGCACCGAAGCCTCTGCCCGTCAGGCGCTGGCCCAGGCAGCAGGTGACCGCGAGAAAACAGGCGGTCCGTGCGGTGGCGGACCTGTTAGAGCAGAACAGGCTGTCAGTGTGGCGGTACTTGTGCTGTTAGAGCAGAACAGGCGGTCGGTGTGGCAGTAGTTGCGCTGTTAGAGCAGAACAGGTTGGCGGCGTGATGTAGGTGTACAGGCGGTCGATGTGGCGGTATTTGTCGTGTCAGAGCACAGCAGGCGTCAGTGTGGCCGTAGTTATGCTGTTGGAGCAGAACAGTGGGCGATGTGGCGGTAGTTGTGCTGTTAGAGCAGACGGGCGGTCGTTGTGGCGGTAGATGTACAGGCGGTCGTTGTGGCAGCAGTTGTGCTGTTAGAGCAGACAGGCGGTCGTTGTGGCACACTGTTGGAGCAGGCGGTCATGCTGTGGGTTCTGACGTTCGTCTGACCCTGAGCTGTGAGTCGCTCGGGGGCTCGTGGTACAGCGTGAGAGCCTGAGTGGGCACTCGTGGCCCGGGCCGGGCAGAGTCTAAGCATTCTTGGTGTCATCAAGCGTAAACCTCCGTAATGATGCCAAACAAAATTGTCGGTCGTTCTTAAACGAAGTGGTTAGAAAATGTCCTGTTGTTGGAGACATAAGCCCTCGTCTAGGGAATCCTGATTTTCATTTTTTTTTTTTGGTCCTTTTGTTTGTTTGGGGCCACACCCTGCATTGCTCAGGGATGACTCTTGGTGGTCTCACGGGACTGTGGTCAGCCGGCTGCGAGGCCAGTGCCCTCCCCTGTGCCCCTGCTGGCCGGGTGAACTGGGACCTTCTCTGCGTCAGAGTTGCTGGTGGCTTGTGGGCAGCGTGTTCAAGACTTGATGTGTGGGCAGCGCTGCCGAGGTGCTGCCCCGTGACTCTCGGCTCCCGTGTTCCCAGGTGGCGCTTGCTTCGGGGGCTGTCCCTCGCCCTGGGGGTCTGGGTGCAGACGGCTGTGCCGTGCTTACTCCACGCTCGGTGGGGGGTTTCCGTGTCCTGGTGCTCCTGTGTCTGACGTCTGTCTGTCTGTCTGTCCCTCCCCCCCAGGCACCTGCTGGGCTCACCACCGATGTGTGGAGTGGTCACTGGGCATGTGCCAGGTGGAGGAGCCGCTCCTGGTGAACGTGGACAAGGCTGTCGTCTCAGGGAGCACAGAGGTGAGTCCCAGGCGCGCTACCTACTGAGGCTTGAGATGGCCGGGGCGCTGGGCACTGGCCACCCCATTGGATCTCTGGTGCCTTGTGGTGCCCAAGTACCACGGGTGATGCCCACAGGTCCTGTGACACAAAAGCTCTCTGCCCGCAGTCCCAGGAGACTCTGTGTGGCCAGGAGGGACCCCCACACTGGTGCTCCTTGGAAACTCCTCCCTCCCCTCTGAAAAAGAATTCAGTGGTTATTAAGTAGAAGTCTTAAGCAGATCATTCTTCGGCTTTCTTGAAGAGTAGCTTGTACAGACCATTAGATCGCACTATGTTAGATTTTGCTATAAATATAGGTCGTACATATTTTCGGTTGAAGTTGGAAAATCCTACTTTTAGAACTAAGAACTCCTAACTGTCCTGCCGTATTTGCGGGGCTGCATCTTAAGACAAGACTATTGGATGGAGATTTAAAATAAGAGACAAGATTTGACAGGCTCTGGTCCACAGTGGGAACTGACTCTGTTTGATATTTTTAAAATCAATTAAAATACTTTTTTTCCAGTCAAGTTGGCAGTTCGCTTTGTCTTTTTGGCATCACCCCAAAACAGTAGCATATACACAGTCTGGCATCTCCCAGATCTTTCTCTGTGGATTTTTGTGTAATTTTGAAATAAGCACAGAAATCAGCGCAGCATCTACCTCCCATCTGTGAAGACAGGGACCTTGGCGGGGGGGGGGGATTGCTTTGCCGCCTCCCAAGCCCCTTGGGCTCTCGGCAAGTTCGTGTGAAGGGAACAGAGGCGTTTGTTCCCTGGGCATAGCAAGTTCGTGTGAAGGGACAGAGGCGTTTCTGTCCCTGGGCGTAGCGTGGGCTTGAGTGCCGGTGAGACTTGGGATGCAGCGGCACGAGTGCGGCCAGAGCAGCCGCGTAGTTAGCGTTGTGCGGGCGAGTGACCTGCCTCCGAGCCTTCTGGAAATGAGACCCTGCGCTGAGCGCAGAGGGCCACGTTCGGAGACGTGGAGAGAGCCTGTCCCTGCGCCTGCGGCCCTTCCCCTGTCCGCCTCGTCCCTTGAGGACAGAAGGGGCCACTCTCACTCTTCACGTGCTGAGCGCTTTTAAGCGGCGTCAGGGTCAATGCTGTGTCCCCTGTGAGGAGACAGGCTTTCCCTCGGGCCTGACAGGGAGCAGGTGGGACGGGTCAGCGTGGCTGTCGGTCCTGACTTGGCCTTGGACCATATGGACCGTGGGGCAGCTCGCTAAAACTCACAAGTCTTCGTCCCTGGAAGAAGGTGAGTTTTTTCTCGTTGGCCAGGACTCAGACATCCATAGATTGGTTTGTTCAGGCTGGACAGACTCAGTCACTTCTGTGCTTTGGGTTTGGTCTTGTTTTTTTGGGGGGGGTCACACCTGACAGTGCTTGGGCTATACTGCTGGCTCTGCACTCAGGGGTCCCCCCGTGGGGCCCCAGGGACCATCTGGGATGCCGGGATTGGGCCTGGCCTGGCCGCTGTCACTCTGGTCCCATCCTGTTCTCTGGCGGTGGGGATGCTCCTTGCTGCAGGTGTCCTGCAGGTGTGCACTCCGCTTCTCCCTTCACAGGTGAGATGAAGACACGGTCCCAGCCATACGGTCTTGCTTCTGCTGTTGAGAATCAGTAACTGTAACTGGATTTCGTTGGCAAAGTACCACAGCAGCCTCAAAGCCCACCCGTAATCGAATGACGGGACAAATGGGCCAAGCCATTGCGTGTCCGTATAAAGGAGGAGCGCGCAGCTGCAGAGACCCGAGAACCCTCTCTGTGAGCCGATAGGAAACAACTTTCGTTCTCCCGTAGCCTTTGTTATTGCGTCACAGAGAAGGTCAGAAAGATGTTTATATGCCCCTGCTCATCTGTGCAGAGCCTTAGGGGAGGCACGAAGCAGAAGCTTGGAAATGGGTCCCCTGTGGCGGGTGGGTGCTGTGAGCGGGCGGCCAGCAGGTGGTCCCTGGGCAGCCCCAACAGGGGAGGTGCCCAGTGCTCCTCTGAGCACGGGACCCGCGCCCTGACACCCACAGACAAGGTCCACGAGAGACACCCAAGGGAGGGCGACATTCACACCGGGTGAGAGATGGCGTAGGACACTGGACGCGGGGGGGCGCCGGAGGGACCAGAGGGCCTGGCTCACTGCAGACCGTGGCTGACCCTGGCATGGGTCACGCCTTGGCGCCAAGCCAGGAACAAATGCTGAACACTGGGGGGGGGAGGGGGGGAGGAGGGGAGAGGGGATGAAGCCCATGGCATGGAAATGAAAGATTTTTCTTTTTTAAAGAATCCATCAGAATGCTAGTTTAACTTAGAATGCATTTCTTGTTTTCCCAGAAAATAAATGTTCTAAATTTGTTGGCCTTTATTATGACATATAGTTGAAAGAATTGTAAAACCTATCTCTGTTTTCAAAGAAAACAAGCACTTAGTCGTCTCTTCCAGATGAATGTGGCGTTCCAACACTGAGAATGCAGTGGTCCTTCAAAGAGACGAAAACCGGGGCTGGAGCGATAGCACAGCGGGGAGGGCGTTTGCCTTGCGCGCCGCTGACCAGGGTTCGATTCCCAGCATCCCATGTGGTCCCCTGAGCACCGCTAGGAGTAATTTCTGAGTGCATGAACCAGAAATAACCCCTGTGCATTGCCGGGTGTGACTAAAAAAAAAAAAAGAGAGAGAGACAAAAACCAAGGATTAAGCATTTAAAAAAAAAAAACACTAGAGTCATTTATATTGATGTTATTGCCAGAAACTTTGAGAAGTAGTTAAAAAAAAATCAAAATCTTCACACAAAAATCATGAATACAGATCATTAAACATTTCTAACATGTTTAAAGTAATCCATCAAGTTTCGGTCTGTTTTTAAACCTCCTTACTCAAAATTTGTAAAAATGCATGCTTTTTCTTGATGGAAGGTAAATTCCTAGTTAAACTGTGATCCTCAGGGGCTTAAATGGCCTTTGATGGAGCCGAGGCCCGAGACCTGGCCGCGGGGTGGCTGAGCTGAGCAGCACAACCAGCCACCACAGTGAAAACTGACTGTTATTATTATTGTTGTTAGTTTTTAAAAACCACCTCTTGGACCAGAGGTGGGTGTTGGCGGGGGTGTGGGCCTGGGGCCCGGCTGGGACACTCTGCCTGAAACCCAGCCAGAGGGAACTTTGTAATTTCACCGTGACTAAATTAGGAACATTTATTACGTTCTTTTTTAATGAAATGGTTGTGTCAGTAATACATCATTCCCATTTCGACTCCCTTTTTTGGTTTTTGTTAGAACTTTCCCTCGCTGGTGCCGTCTACACTGGGCGCTGAGCCCGGGGCAGAGTTTGCTGCCCTGTCTGCCGGTCTCGGGTGCTGGGCTGAGGGAGAGGGGGTGCCTCTGGGGACCACTGGGGACCCAGAAGCCAACCCCCAGCCCCAGAAGATAGATAAAATTCCAGGACAGGTATTCCGGGGAAATCCGACACTGCCTTGCGGCCTGCGGTCGCCAGGGTGAATGGGGCGGGCGCTGGGCCGTGTGACGGGCTGGTGCCCCAGGCACACAGGGGTTGCTGGGGTCTCCAGGAAGAAACACGCGTGCACACAGGGGTTGCTGGGGTCTCCAGGAAGAAACACGCGTGCACGCCTGTCCTGCTGAAGCCCACCTTTGCAAGTTTACAGTGTTCATGTGAATTTCAGAGGAATCTAGTTCCCCGCCCTGTGCCTCCCTTAGGGCTGTAGGTGCCTGAGGGTGGGACCCAGGGCTGTCAGTGCCCGAAGGCGGGGACCCGGGGCTGTAGGTGTCCCAGGGCAGCACCCAGGACTGTAGCTTCCTGAGAGCAGGGACCTGCGCTGTAGGTGCCTGAAGGCGGGGACCAGGGCTGTCTGCCCCCGGGCGTGAGTCCTTCCTGGTTTGCCTGTGCTCCGGGGCCTGACTGCAGAGGAACGAGGCGTGAGCTGCTACTGGCATCTAGTGGCTACTTCTGAGCCTCTGCCAGGCTCAGGGCAGCCTGCGTCAGACTCCCCCCCGCAGTGCCCGGAGCCGGGAGCGCCCGCAGTGGCCCTGCCGCACTGCTGAGTCTGTGTGCCATGGCGCCCGTCAGTGCCGGCTGGACGCTGCGTCGTGCATTTCCCTGACGAGGGCCCTTAGCCGGGCTGCAGGGCGCAGTGAGTGACCCCAGTAGCAACTGAGCACGCAGCCGCCTGTTCCAGCCCACAGGAGTAACGGGCAGGAAGAGTAGATCCAGGAGTTTGGCTCTTAGCGCAGTAGAAATTCCGTAAGAGGAGCCTGCAGGGTCGCACGGCGGGGGGAGGCTCTTGCCTTGCATGTGGCTGAGCCGGGTTCAATCCCCGGCCTCCCGCATGGTCCCTGAGTGTAGGGCCGGGAGTAGGCCCTGAGCACCGCCGAAACCTAAAGCGAGAAAAGCGAGAAATGAAAACAAGGCCTCAAATCACGTGGCCTTTGGGTGGCCCAAGCAGGAAAGGCGACTCGTCAGCATTTGCTTAGTGAAGGCACGGTTGGCAACTGACCGAGTTTAATCCCCGGCATCCCATAAGGTCCCCCAAGCACCACCGTCAGGAGTAATTCTTGAGTCCAGAGCCAGGAGTAACGAGCGTTGCAGGTGTGACCCAAAAAAGCAAAATAGCACCGCGCCATAGCGCTGCCCTCCCTTTGTTCATCGAACTGCTCCAGCGGGCCCAGTAACGTCTCCATCGTGAGACTTGTTGTTACTGTGTCTGGCATATCGAGTACGTCGCGGGGAGCTTGCCAGGCTCTGCCGTGCGGGCGAGATACTCTCGGTAGCTTGCCGGGCTCTCCGAGAGGGGCGGAGGAATCGAACTCGGGTCGGCCAAGTCGGCCGCACGCAAGGCAAACTCCCTACCCGCTGTGCTACCGCTCCAGCCCCAAAAGCAAAATAAAACACAGATAAATAAAAAAGTCAAATGCTTCCTGGTGGCATCTCTAGGCCTGAGGAATCTGGCTTTTCGTGCTCTTGCTTGGTTGGCTTTTATTTCAGGAATTATTTAATTTATTTAGGGAATTACTTCATTGAACTTGAAGTTACTGAGAGTCTTCCAAGTAATCTGCATGAAGCAGCGGTGGGGAAAATATTTTCTAATTCGAGAAAACAATAATTCAGATCAACCGGAAGTGAAATCTGCTCGGAGGTGTTTAAAATTATGTGTTAAAAAATAAGTATGAAACAGAAAAACGTCTTTGCTTGGGCAAGTTAAAAATAATGCGTAAGATTCCGATTGTATTCATTCCTCGGCATCTTGACGCTTCCTAGAGAATAGTTAAATTTGTAGTGGCTTATCAAGCTAATAATTGGTCACTGGCTCGTTTTGGTCACTGTGTCCGTCCCGCAGTCCCTGCAGCACCGCGGCCGAGTGGTTCCTTAGAACTAGTCACTGAGCACCACAGAGGCCCGGCCTGTCGCTTGGTGTCGCTGCAAGCAGGGGAATCTGACTGCCGTCGTTCGAGATTTAAACATTTTAGAACAAGCTCTGAACCAAATCATTGATTTTCAGGCTTTTAAGTATAAACTCCATTTCATTTTGGGCACTGCAGCTGGCAGTCCCGCTAACGGTCACGCTTCGTGCATCCAGCAGGTCCAGCTGCCGCCCGGCCTGTCCTCTCCACTCTAACTTGTCCCCTCCTCAGAGCAGTTCTCGGTTCCTGTCCTCTGGGACCTGCCCTTCCCACATGTTTCTTGCCGGCCCACACATGAGCGAGCGCCTTCTGCCTGTCTCTCTCCTTCTGGCTGGCTTCCTGCATCCGTGTGCCCGTGCTGTGACCCGTCTTCTCTGGGTTCTGCATTTGAACAGAGTTGTGCCAGCTTTGCCCAGCCCCCCTCCTCCCAGCACCTTGGTGCTTGTGGTGTCCCCGGCCCTTGGTAGAGACCGAGTGAAAGCACCTTGAGACGACAGCACACACGTTAGTTCTGTTTGAATTTACTGCTGTGTAAATTCTGATGTCATCGCAGGGTTAAACTCGAGAGGGCTGGGCCAGGCCAGGTAGTCCAATGGGTAGGGCACTGGCCTTGCCTACAGCTGACCAGGGCTCCATCCTGGAGCTGCACGTCTCCTGGAGGCTGCCAGGAGTCAGCCATGGGCGCTGTCTGTGTCTGCCTCTGCCACCTCCCTGCCCACCCCAGCAGACAACCCCCCCCCCCCAAGTTACACTCGGCCACAAAACAATAGAACAGAACCAGCCAGACCAAACTCCGTGGCCACGGTGCTCGTGGCTGGCGCTGGAGGGGGCTCGTGGACACGAGTGGTAGTGCCGCCGTCTGCCTTAGGCCGTCCTGGCGTCGGAGCAGGGGCCTGGGGCAGCTCCCAGCTTCAGAATCCTCAGCTGCCCGATGGGAGACCGCAGCCTGCCCCCCGCTGACGGATCATTTCGCAGGAACGACGCATCAGAAGGAGCAGAGGAGACGGTAGTAAATCTCCTACGTGCATTTTAAAGAGGCATGTGCTCAGAAAAAAATTGCGTGCTGGTAGATTTATTTCGGTACTTGGCAGTACCTCTCTGTATATAAAAACTTTAAAAAAAATGAATAGAAGAATCCCATTTATATCCGAATAAACAGATGAAACTGAAATGTTATCTTTGCTCCGTTCCCTTCACGAGTAAACGTGTGTGACCAAAGATCCTGCTAAATTATTAATGCATTTCCGATGAGAGAGAGTATTATAGAAAAGTTAATTTCTCTCTTGTTAGGTGCTTACGTCATAAGGGGCACCCGATAGCACGGTGCGGAGGGCGCTGGCCTTGCGCCTGGCTGGCCCAGGCTTGGTCCCCGGCACCAGAAATGGATCCCCTGTGGTAGAGTCAGCTGGGAGTCGGCCCTGAGCACAGCCAGGCGGGACCCCCTCAGAACAAACACACGAAAATACTTTGGAGTTTAGCAGTTTCGAAGTAATAGTTTGGAGTTTTGCCTCTTGCCCCGCAAAGACTGAAACGTTCGCTCTCTGTTTCTGGTTAGGAAGTGGGCTCGTCTCGGGGCTGTGCCCTTGGAGTAAGGGACAGGTAGAAAAATCGTCTCCCCCCCCCTCGTGGACCTTTACAGTGTGTGAGCGAAAACCCTCACAGAAGATCCGCGGGGACAGCTTCGCGCCCCCCGTGCTGGTTTCCTCCAGCCCTCGAGAGTCCCGCCTTGGTCACTCACGACGCGTCACTTTCTGCTTGTGTCGGCATTGCACGCAGTCATGCCGGTGGCGCGTCTGTCCGAGCCCTCCTCAGTCACGGCCGTGGCGCTCATGGGGGCCTGCCAGGACCGAGTCCGCCTTCCTGAGGCCCAGAAGGTTCCGGACACTGCGGGGGGCACTGCGCCCCTCCCTGGAGTCTGGGCTCCCCAAGGCTGCGGTGTCGCTGTCTCCCAGGAGTCGGCTGGTGGCTGAAGTCCCCTGCCTGCCCCCGCCCCTTGGTCCTCCTTGAGACATGGCAGGTGTCGGGGCCCTGCTCTGGGCGCGGTCCAGCCTGCGGAAGCCATGCCCTTTCGCGCCGGCCCTCGGGGTCCCAGTGGGCTGGACTTTGTTTACCGTTGGCGGTCTTATGCTGGTCCCATGTGTCCCAGCCGGGGTTCTGAGCCACCCTGAGTGTCGGGTTATCTGTCGAGGCTGCGTCCCAGACTGTGTCTTCTGATACCAGGTTCTGCATCGGTGACTTTCACTCAGCCCCTGAGTGATGTTCCTGCCTCATCCTGTCGCCATGGTGGCTGTGAGCCGTGGGCTGTTCGTCGTGGACAGTGCTGTTCTTTGGGTGGTCTTGCAGTGGCCTCACTGATGGGCCACGTGTGATTTTCTTTGTATTCTTCTGACAGACGCACAGACCCACATGGGGTGTGTCGGTGCAGGCACCAGGCGGAGTCTCCCGGGAGCCGACAGCATGGCCCCGTGGCCGCTGGTGTGTCGGCGCTGGCCCTTGCCGGCTGCCGTGGCTGTGGCAGGTGGAATGGGGCCTCTGGTGCCTGGCTGGGCGGAGGCACTGCCCAAGTCCCCTTCCCGTTTGCAGCTCCGACTCGGAAGCCCGAGGGGGTGACAGCAGGAGTGTGTGTGCCCGCCCAGCCGTCCATGGGGTGTGACCTGAGGCCCAGCGACACACTCTGGGTCTTCAGGCGGAATAAAATTAGGGACAGGCTTTATAAATGATACACATTCTTGTTTTTATTTGGTGAGATTTAATCACCATTAGGGTAACCTTGAGCTCAAAGCCTGGCTTTTAGGCCACATTACACATTTTTTATTTTTATTTTTATTTGGTTATTTATTTATTTTGTAGGAGTACTGCTATTTATTCAGCCACTGATCAGCAGATTGAATTGGGCGTGAAGTCCACATACGAAATTTTTAAAATTATGCATATGTGTTCGAGAGGGCAGATAGAAACAAATCTTCAAATTATCTTTCTAACTTCGGGGTGCATCTGCGTCTTTCTGAGCACTTACCCGAGGATCTTACATTTTCTAGTTCCTGGAGGTGACTTGCCTGGTGTCTTGCAGGTTTAGGTGGTGTTACTCGTAACAGCAGGTCTCTGAGTGCCCCCTGGGCCCCTCGCGTGACGGTCGCCCTGAGACGTCTCTCTGCTCTCTGTCCCTCTCAGCGCTGTGCGTTTTGCAAGCACCTTGGAGCCACCATCCGCTGCTGTGAGGAGCGCTGCACCCAGATGTACCATTTCCCGTGTGCCGCCAGCGCCGGCACCTTCCAGGACTGCAGACACTTCTCCCTCCTCTGCCCCGACCACATCGACCAGGCCCCGGAGAGATGTAAGTGTCGGCCGCCTCGGGGAATGGTGTGGGCATTCTGGCACCGGCGGGATCCTGGAAGCTCGGTCCACGGCGCTCCGTCCCCACAAAGGCAAACGGGGCGTGCGTTAGGAAATTGTTTCAGCTGGCCGGAGAGACGGTCTAGCAGGTGAGGTGGCCTTGTGACGCTGACCCCGGTGCGACCCCAGCACCCGGATGCTCTTCTGAGCCCCATCAGGAGCCTCAGCAGGGCTGGTGTGGCCCCACAGCGAGACGGTGTTTCTCAGGGTCTGGAGGGGGGGCCTGGGGTTGTGGTGCTGGCCTGGAACCCCCGATCCCCCCAGGGGCCTCCCCCCAGCACAGAGCCAGGAGCAGCCCCCGAGCGCCCCCCCCCCCCCCCCCGGGGGGTGCCTCAAAGCCCCTGTTAAATTCAACGTTAAGCTGGGCTGGCCATACGGGAGGGGAGGCACTCGCCTTGCACACGGCCCCCCACGTCGGAACCTGGCAGTGGACACGGTGCCCCCAGCCTTGCCAGGACTGACCCCTGAACACAGGGCTGCGAGTTAGCCCTGAGGATTGCAGGTGTCGCCCCCAAACCAAAAATAAGCGAACAAAAAGATTTTTAGTTACATGTTAAGCAACTATAAGAAGCTGGAACCCGCGTCCATGCCCGGAACAGGTTTGAGTGCCAGGCTGCACTCACGGGCATCTCTCCCTAGAGGGCCCATGTCCCACGCTCACATGTCCACAGAGGTCACTCTGGCTCACGTGGGTCTCCCGGTCGCGTATTGCTCCAGTTGGCTGCGTGCAGTATTTCAGTCTGTACTAAAGAGAAGTCATTCTAAAGCCACGCAGCTCTTGCTGTCCTTTTACTAAGCCCGCCCAGCTGGGGATGTCTGGGGAGCCAGGGGGGCTGAGGACCGGCCATGCAGACTCATTCCCCAGTCCTCAGCCCTGCCGTTAAAGTCGGTTTTATCTTTTCCACGGGGGGAACCAAGCTGGGTGAGCCCGTGGGTCGTGCCGAGAGCTGGCCCCAGGCCCTTGTGTATTTCTTCTTAGTCCATAGATTCTCAATGGAAACTTATGCTTTTAGCCCTGTGAAATTGTATTTCGAGCCTCACTGTGAAATCTCTGTAATGCTTTGTTTGGTCTTTCCTGGCCCCACGATTACCTAGGCTTTTATCTGTTTTTTTTCAGAGTAGTAAAGGCTTGCTTTTTTTTTTGGTTCAATATCACAATTTTATGTTAAGGCTATTCTGTCTTTAATTTTATTGCCCTTGATCACTCTGTAGGCATGACTTATAGGTAAGGCACAAATGATACTTTATATTGTATTGAAGCTAATAAAGAATTTAAACTCTTAAAAATGTTTTGGATCATTGTTACATTTGGGGCAGAGAGAACGATCATACATGCCGGGTAAGTGTTGTTTCTATAAGGCTTCATGTTCTGGATCAGTCGCAGTGAGCACACCAGGATGTCAGCCGTCAGAGTTGAGTTTCTGCATGGTGTAGTCTGCGATTTTGCCAGGTGAATCCACTCCTGGCTGCAGACTTCACCAGAACTGTGTTCTCTGTGCTAGAATGTTATTTAATGGCCAGTGCAGCCTTGTGGTGGCCCCCTACCGGGCATGTCTCATGAACAACAAGATCAGAAATGATCTTGTAGGAGAAGTGCGGGGAGGGCGTTTGCCTTGTACGCGGCAAACCCAGATTCGATCCCCAGCACCCCATAGGGTCCCCTGAGCACTGCCAGGAGTGTGATTCCTGAGTGCAGAGCCAGGAGGAACCTCTGAGCATTGCCGGATGTGACCTAAAAAGCAAAAAAAAAAAGTGCGGGAGCTGATTGGCTCTTGGCATATGCGGAAGGTGTGGCATAGATACACCTACCAGCATTGGCATCCGGGCAGGTCTCCGGGTTAGAGTCATCCCGAGATGGTCGGTACTTTGCCTCCGTGCACGGACGACTCACAGATGCTCATAAAAATACATGAACAGTAGGAGAAAAGGAAGCTAGAAACAATCGCGGAATGTGGCTGGGAGAACAGCGATGGGGTGAGCAGGGAGGGCGCGGAGAGGCGCCCAGAGGCAGCTCAGCCGCACCTGTGGCCGCAGGACTTCCGCAGTCAAGAGACGAAACAGGGACAGGTTACCTGGTTCATAAGAACACACAGGAATTCACTTGATACTAAGAATATATATACAATATAAACTTAGTAAAAATTTATAATGACTGCCTTTAAAAACTGCATTGTGGTTTAAAAAAAAAAACCCGCGGGCCATGCTTAGGGCAGCATCGCTGGTAAAGAACCAGAGCCCCTTAAGTGCCTTTCCGTGGGGATTAGCAAAGACAGCCCAAGTACACACTTTTGATCAGCTGTTTGTTTTCTGAGGCACACACAGCGGTGCTCTAGGGCTCCTCCCTGCTGGATCTGCTGCTCTGAGGGTCTCTTGGGGGGTTCTGGGGGCTGGGCAGGTACCTGTGACCCACCCAGGGCATCCAGAGCACCTGCTTCAGCCCTTGGAGCTGCCTGGCCCCTGACCATCTTCCTGGGGGGAGAATGCTACAATGTTGCAACAGGAGGCCAGCTCCTGCAAACTGGAGGCATTGTTACTGTAGCAGGGGATACTTTTGTTTCGGGGCCACACCCAGTGATGCTCAGGGGTGCAGGCACCCGTGCCCGGCCTTTGCTCTCTCTCTGGCGGCGGTGCAGGGCTTCTTGGCTGCTTGTAGCTCTGGTAGACCCATCGCAGTCGTTTCCACCTAGACTTGAGCCAGCTGCGGCCCAGACCCTCCCTCCGGCAGCTGCTGGCTCTTTCCCTCCTCGACTTGCTTCGGTGGGGCTGTAACTGAGTGATGGTGTGGAAGCTCGGCCTGTTTTCCTGTCCTCACTTGCTCCGCAGACATTTAGCTCCTCTGTCTCATGCCTCTTCTAGAATTCTCCTTTCTGCTTTCGTTCCTTCTCAGAGTTTCTGGCTCCCTCTTCTTTCCCAGTGGGACCCAGTGCTCGCTGGCTTACTGGAACTTCATCTCTGGGTCCAGACAGGCTGGGAATTACTCCCGTCCTCTCATTACCTTTTCTTTGCAAAACGGTTGTTGTGGTCAAGGTGTCATGTGTTTCCTGTGGTGCCAACATTTGAGTCAACAGCGCCACCCAGCGACCAGCCTCAGTGTCCCCTCCAGTCGGCTTATTCTTCCCACCCTCCCCAGGCCTTCTGCTTTCCCAGATTCTTAACTTTGTCACGTGGTTTTACTGTGACAGCGCATCTGACGCCCTCCCTGACTCGCACCTAACCCTCTTCCTGATGCGGCCGTAGCTGGCTGGTCCAGCACCTCTGCCACAGGATGTCCAAAGCCGTGTTTCATTATTGCTCTGCGTGTCTTCCCTCTGGTCGGGGGAAAGTTCGCGACTGATCTCCTTTGTGTCCCCTTTTCTGCCATTGCTTTGACATGATGCCGATTAGGAGACTTTGAAACTTTACTTCTTGTCTGGGCGACCCGGTTACCAAAGTTTATAGTTTTGACATCACCGTGCACCATCAGTGCAAAGGCGACCGTCACCCTCCACCCTTTGCTCGCTGCCTCTGGCCAGCAGTGCTTTCCCCCGGTTGCCATCCACAGCTCGGTGGTCAGTGCCGTAACCCGAGGCCGAGCCCAGTCACTGTGTGGGACTCCGTGCCCTGCTTCCTTCTCTGTCCCTCAGATGAGTGGGGTCGCCCAGCGTTCTCCCCCGCTGGTGCCCATCACATCATGTCCACTGCCCCGACTCTGTCTGCTTGTGCAGTGCAAGTGCCCAGCGTGTGTAGACGCCTCTGCTGCCGGACCCTGGTGTCCTTACCCCAGCACCGCAGTGAACATAAGTGTGCAGACATGTTGAAGGATTCATGTCTCTTGTCTGGTGGGTGTCGGTGCAGGAAGTGTCTCTTAGAACGTTTCACTGTAGGGCTCAGGTAGCACTTTCAGGAAATTATGATAGATGAGCTGAAGATCAATCATGAGTCTATAATTTGCCAGTTTCTCAGCTTTGAGGGTAGGCGGAAACCTAGGGTCAGTTCCGGGGACGTAGTTGGGGGTCAAGGTCATGGCCTGAGTGGGGTCGCTCGGCGTGGGGCAAAGACGCAGACGGGACGTTAAAAGTAGAGTGTCGCGTACGCTCACGATGGCTGTGAGAGGTATGACGTGCCTGAACACGACACACGCACAGAACACTGGAGTACTTTCAGGAACCAGGAAATAAGTGGTTCTGAGATTTTGGGGGGGAGGGCGAAGAAGGCAGTGGAGGCTTTTTGTGTATTTTGGGGGCTTCATTCTTTGATTCACCCCTCTGCCCTTTTCAAAAGGGCAGGAATGTGGCTGGGTGCCGCCCCGCCATCACACACTTCCTAGGGCTCTTCCAGGAGCTGCCCGAGGCCTCTCGGTAGCCCCGGAGGGGCTGTTTCCCCTGATGTGTAGAGTTTTCTCCAGAGGATTCGGTACTCGTGGAGGCGCTGGGTCAGGGCCCAATCAGCAAGTCCCGGAGACGCCGAGTGTTCTGCCTCTGTCCAGCCTGAGGAAAGGGAAGCTTCAGCTTCAGGAGGCCGTTCCTGTCCAGGGCCAAGTGCGAGTGTCTGGAACATTCGCTGTGGGAGTCATGACAGGAAGCCGGCCAGGAAGCACCCTGGGCTGCTGGTGGAGACGTGGGAGTCGGGTGTTTTGTGGGGGGATCACAGGAGCACGAGGGCAGACGAGGGGAGCAGGTCCCGCGCGACTCCAGCTCCCGGGGATGGTAGGTGCAGAGGGAGCGCCAAGCCGAGACGGAGGTGCCCGCGGAGGCAGCGGGAGGTGGCGTCAGGTGCGGACAGCCGCAGGAGGGGCATCAGCGATTGGAGGGCGTGGCAGCGCGAGATGCTTTGGGGCCTCCGTGCGCCCCCAAGCTACCCACGGCCTCCAATCCGGCTGATTCTGACCGGGATTCTTAAGGAGCTTTAAGGACAAACATCTGGTCCCAAGGAGAGCTCGCCAAGGGCTGGTGCTCCCGCGGGTGGCCCCGGTTCCACCCTGGCACCCTACGGTCCCTTGCGTACTGCCGGAGTGACCCCCCACAACACACAGCTGGAGAGCCACCAGCCACCCATCAGAGCCTCGCATCCCTCCCAGCCCCCAAACTAGGCTGGGCGCCAGCGCCGGATCCAGTCGGCCAGTTACTCTAGGAAGTACAGGGCCAGATTCTTACTCTGTTCCGAGGTGCCTGGCTACGATCTGTGTCTTTGCTGAGTATAAAGAAGAAATGATTTCCAGGCAGAGGGGAGGTCACCCAGCACCCCCAACTCCGACCGCCCCAGGCTCCCCGGGACTTCTCACTCACAGTGCTCATTTCAGACAAATGGTAGTGTGAGGACACGCTGCTGCTGACAACGTTCAGTGTCAGGTGTGGGTATATTTAAGTGCATCGTCTCCGGGGTGGTCAAGAATGCGTTCCTTTCCTCACCGCACACCGCAAGAGTGAAGTACCCTGTACTTGACTAGCTGGTTGAATTTCGTATTTTTTTTTTTTAGATGTTAAAAGATGTTTAAAAAACTTTCTTAGGTGATTTTTATTTTATTTGTTTATTTTTGCTTTTTGGGTCACACCCAGCAATGCACAGGGGTCACTCCTGGCTCTGCACTTGGGGATTACTCCCGGCAGTGCTCCCGACCATATGGGATGCCTGGATTGGCCGCGTGCAAGGCAAACACCCTCCCCGCTGTGCTATTGCTCCAGCCCCTAGATGATTTTCGAATGCGCCTCTTAAGAGAGTACAGCATTCCCAATTTACATTTTAAAAGTTGCGGACGTGCGCTACCACCCGTCTCCCGCTCTCTCCAGACCCCCATTCACCCCTCCCCAAGCCCCATCGCCTCCGTCCCAGTCCTGTTAATCGTGTGTCAGGGATTGTTTGGGGAAAAGGGAAGCTATTTCTTTTCATCCATATATATATAGATGATGTCTATAATTACGGATATTTTTACTGCTTCAGTGGCTGGCAATATAATGAATATAGAGTGTGCGAATATCTAATTTCCATGATGAATTTTCTCTCTTACATATACCGCAGTGCTCAGAAAGACTTTTGATTTTAATAAAAAATAGTTTGTTTATACTTAAAATACATCTTAATCCGTGACACTGTTTTTTCTTAATTTTGTACTTCCACTGATTTTGTGCACGTCCGGGTAGATTCAGCCTCTTAGCGGATCGGTTTCTTTAGTCCTGCTTGGCCTCTGCTTTTCCTTTGGTTCTTTCCAGCGAGCCCAGTACCCGTCTAATAGGTGCCACCGTCCTTCTGGAGCGAGGAATATGAGTCATTGTAGAGTTCTCGAGATCTCAGTGACACGAGGCCACAGACAGTCACAGACTCTGCGATTCAGTGCAGCGTGGAGCTGAGGGTAGATGCATCGCGGTGTTTTGCTTTCGAGGCCTTTTCTGGTTCAGTATCAGCTCAGCGTGGGTGACTTCAGTGGTCCAAGCGTTTCACGATGCAGATTCCCTTTTTACGGTGACTTTTTTTTTTAAAAAACTGTGAAGTCAGAAAAAAAAAAAGTCAAATTCTTACCCAACCATTTCATTGTTTCACTGTTCATTATAGCGAAGGAAGACGCCAACTGTGCCGTGTGTGACAGCCCCGGGGACCTCTTAGACCAGTTCTTCTGCACCACGTGTGGTCAGCACTACCACGGAATGTGCCTGGACATCACGGTCACCCCGCTGAAGCGCGCAGGCTGGCAGTGTCCCGAGTGCAAAGTTTGCCAGAACTGCAAGTAAGTCTCGGTCTCGCTGCTCTGGCGTGTGTTAAGGGAGAGCGTTGGAAGGGGCTGGGATGAGCTGGGAGAGCCTCGAATGGTGCCGGGGTGAGGCCGTCTGTGTGCGGCTGGATACGGATGCGTTCACACCGCCTCGTCGCACTTAGAACGTGGCCACGCATCTGTTGACATTCACGCCGAAAACAAGTCCAAACAGAACCCGAGCGAAATTCATTTAAGTTCCTCTGGTGGCTGGGAAAACGCACACAAGCATGACAGTGAGTCTTCGAGGATGATATCAACAATTTCAAAATAATAGTGTTAAAGCAGCGTTTTTAAAAAGGAGAGAACACGTACGCCCATAAAACGACTGTTGACAAAGTAGACCTCTAGTTTGAAAAACAGTGTATTTCCTGTTCCTCTGAGTCACCGTGATTCTGAAGCAGAGTAGACGTTACCCGTCCGTAATGGGGCTGACCTTTTCTTGTTTGTTGTTCTCCGTCGTCCGGCCGTTTTTCCAAATTCCTTTGCCCGCGGGGGTGCGGCTGTGATCCTGGCAGCCCGGTGCAGGGCACACGTGTGGAGCCTTCTCCCGCCCGATTTCCAAACTCTCGGGATTTTCGTTTTCTCTCCTGTAACGGATATTGTGGTGCTTGGGGGGTGTTTCCAGCATCTCCAACAGTCTTCAAACCACTTAGAAGCCGAGGATTTTTGGTAGCTGGGAGAAATTTTACCCATACGTGCCACGACCCATCTGGTTTTAGATACAGTTACGTAACAATTAGCAGCAATACCCTAGATTTCTGTTGAATGAGTAGGACCATCTGCATTTGTTTCTGTTTTGGTGAAGGTCTGAAGGAAGCAGGGCTGAGAGCGAGCTTGGCCCTGAGAAGCACACGGGGAGCCTAGAGCCAGGGCGAGCCCCCGGGCTCTGCGGGGAGCCCGCCTCCCCCCAACCAGCAAAGCTAAAGAGTTCAGATGTCAGTAGATGTCTGCTGTTTCATCTGTACCTCCCATAGTGTCTTGGAAAGGAGTAAGAACATTTTGGGGGGGGGGGATTCCTTTTCATCAAGTTGAACGTGTAGAACCCATCCCGTGGACTGTAATGCGGCTCACGGCCCGTCTTCTTCACGTCTGTTCACGGGGTCCACGCAGCGGCCCGCCCGTTTCTGCCCGCCCCATCCTGCCCCAGTTCAGCTCCTAGTGTGTGAGCGTGTCCGTAGCCAGGAGCAGGCGGAGAGCAAAGCCGGTTGGGCCCAGTCTCCTAGGAGACGCTTCCGGGCCAGCGTTAGGCTACATTTCTCGATTCCCTGCAAGGCGGATTCTTTCCCTTCGGGCCGTGTCACCCGCGGCCTCGGCAGTGCCTCCTGCCAGCCAGGGGGTTCCTGCGAGTTCGCGCCCAGGTGATTCTCCTTAGGCCTTTTTAGTGAGCACTTGTTGCCTGCTAGATATTCGATGCTCTCCACCTGGGCCTGCCCCTCCCCCCCACTGTTCCCGTCTTATGCCTGGCACGAGGGCCACTCACATCTCCGCTGTCGGGGTCTCACCCCCACCTGTGACCGGTCTCTAGTCACGGGACCACGCGTGTGAGCTTCTCCGAAAGGACTCGGATTCCGTGGCCAGATCACAGTTACTCCCCCACCGCACCCCTGCTCTGCAGGACCCGAAGGTGACTACAGCACGTTCACCACGGGTGCGGTTCAGTCAGGTCAATGCCCTGGGGCCTGTGGGAGGGTACCACTCCGGGTACCCGTTATCCAGGAAAGACGGAGGAACGAGCGCTTGGGTAGTCCCCAGGAGCCGTGTTGGGGAGGGTTCGTGATCTCCCGTCGGAAGTAAGGCATCGTGAGCGCCGTCTTATTTTTCAGACAATCGGGAGAAGACAGCAAGATGCTGGTGTGTGACACGTGTGACAAAGGCTACCACACCTTCTGCCTTCAGCCAGTCATGAAGTCCGTGCCGACCAACGGCTGGAAATGCAAAGTAAGTTGTTGGGTTTTTTTTCCCTAAGGGGGGAAAAAGTCACCATCTGTATGTATCTTTAAATAGCGAGCAGACAGGTTGGATGCCTGTTCAAAGCTCTCCATCACCGTCAGCTCTCAGATGCGGTTTAATCGGCAGACACTTGTCTGATCTCACAAGTGTCCGCTCAGCCCCCGCCCCGAGGCGATGAACCTGTCCACACCATTCGCCGTGCCCCGTCAAGTGCCCCCAGTGCCCCCGCCCCCTCCCATCTTCTGGCCTCTCCCGAGGATTCCGCCCTTCTTAAAAATATCATCTGTTCCCTTTATGGCCCTGCTACGTATTCGATATGCCAAACACAGTAACAACAAGTCTCACAATGGAGACGTTACTGGTGCCCGCTCGAGCAAATTCGATGAACAACGGGAGGACAGTGCTACAGTGCTACCCTTTATGGGGTCTGGCCTTTTGTTTATGAGTTTTGCTGGTTTGGGAGCTGCCACCCGTGACAGAGCTGTGCTGGGGGCGGAGCCCGTGGTCTGCCCGTGAGTCACTCTCGGACCCCGGCCTGGCCTTTCCGACGAAGCGTGATTCTCTGGCGATTGGCCGCTGTGCCGGCCTCCCAGCGATGCTTCTTGCCCGCCTGTGGAGATGCCACAGCTGATTGAGTGGAATTGCTGATTGGACATTGGGGTGGTTCCAGTTAGAAGCCGTGGAAAACACTTTAAAGTGTTGCTGTGAGCCCATTAGCATAAATATGTCTTTTTGTGTGTGTGTGTGGAAACTGTTTCTGAATGATCTAACCCTGACTTGTCCCAGAAACTTGCTGAAGTAGTCCACCACACCAAAACATCTATAAGATGTTTCATTTGACCAGTTGGCTTTTAGGTGGTTTTAAAGTGATTTTTAAGATAGAGATATGTAGACACATTTAAACATGTACTTCCACGAACATGTTTATGTACATAAGTTAAAATATTTGGGATCATTGTATGTGATTTTACAGCAATTTTGTATGTGACGTGTTTATGTGGACCTGTGCTTCGTGCTTCTGTAAAACATCTGGGATTATAGTGGATATTCAGCTGTGTATGGTATGTGGCGATTTTAGTGATTGCTGATTTAGACGCTTTTTGTTTGACCCTTCAGGTTTCTCTTTTCCTTCAGTGTCAGGCTCAGACATTTAAGAGTTTCTCCCATCTCTGCTTTGCGGGATGCTTTAGGCTGTGTTGGCTAATCTTTTCCTGTCATCATCGGTTTCTCCTTTCTTGCCATTTGTTTGGTACGTGTGTGTTGCTGAACACCTGCCGTGTTCTCTCTTGGTGTCAATAAACTCGAGGAGGAATTTACGGCGACCTCTGCTTTCTGTCTCCGACACGGAGGTGACAGCAGTGCCCACCGTGGGTACCGGGGAAGGAAAACGAATTTCAGGGTGATCCGTTTATGGAAGCACCAGTGCTTCGAATTCTTTTTTGGGGTCACACCCAGTGAGGCGCAGGGGTTCCTCCTGGCTGCACTCAGGAGTAACTCAGGGGTGCTCAGGGCACCATCCGGGGTGCCAGGGGATCAAACCTGGTCAGCTGCATGCGAGGCAAACGCCCTCGCTGCTGTCCTGTCCCTCCAACCCCAGAATGTTTAAGTTCTTAAAGTCCAGCTGAGAATAACTGGGTCTGAAGGAAGGTAGCTCAAGGCTGCAGTGACGGTTGCATCCCGGAAGCTGGTCCCCCCCCCCCCCCCCCCCCCGCATGGCTGTGAGCACTGCTAGAATTGGGCTGAGCATCGGGCTGGCAGATGCTGAGAGCACCACGGAGTGAGGCCGAAAGAGAGTGACTGACACGGACCGTGACTTCTCAACTGACAGAAGAATAAACTTATTACAAACATTTACTCTGTACTTTGCTAGGATAAAACTGACCAGACGTGGCCCCCGTGCGTCCTGGGAAGTCTGCCTTTGCAGACAAGTGCATTTCGGGGACCAGCCCTGCGCACCCGCCTACGGGAGCCCTGGGCTCTTTGGCCCCAGAGCCTGCCTTGATCTGACCCTCACTTTCTGGTGGGCTGTGAGCCAAAGCGCTGAAGGGCCGCAGTCTCCACACGGAGTGCAACTAGGTTCGTTGTTTCGGGGGCCACACTTGGCGGTGCGCAGGACTTCCTCCAGACTCTGTGCTCGGGCCACTCTTGAGAGCGCCGGAGGCGGCTAGCGTCGGGTTCTGGGGATGGAACTGAGGTTGGCTGCCGGTGCCCAGCCTGCTGGATTACCTCTCTGACCCTGAAGGGTGATCAGTTTTATAGAGCGGCCTTATAGGCATGCAAAGATTTTAGGTGCAGTAGTTACTGGCTTAAAAAATAAAACAATCACATTTGTAAGTTAAGACTTTTGAAAGTTTGCTCTTGGGTCACATCTGCCAAGTTCAGGAGGGATTCCTGGCAGGGGGCCGGGGGGGGGGGTGCTCGTGAAACCATACGGGGCTCCAGGGATGGGTCCGGGTTGACTGCGTGCACGCCGTGTTGGCTGTACTCTCATTCCAGCTCTGTAACTTAGATATTAAACTCGTGATGTTTCTTGGAAACAACGGCCAAGGTCGGATTTAATACAAAGTCATTTTTTCTCCACGGGCCGGTTCAAAGTCTAAGCCTTCCTCTGGCACCGAGTGATGTTGGAGGCTACCTTGGCAGTGGCGTTGGTGTCAAATCCGTCTTGAAAATGGTCCGACTCTGCTAGGCTGTGAAGATTGGTGGCTTGTGGCAACATGGAGACTCCTAAACAGGGCGCCGACCCAGTGATTCCTCACACGTGGGGCAGGACTGACCCCTCCTGCGCGGGTACCGGTGGGCTGCTGCTGGGAGCTGGCTGAGGACACCGGCTGGGCCTCTCGCGGTCCACGCACATCACCCCCCAGAGGCTCCGCGCCTGTGGGCCCCGGCTGCGCTTCTGTGCAAGGATTCTGGGCCCCTGCGCTTTGGGGAGGACTGGGGGCGGGAAGCATTGGCAGCGGGAAGCATTGGCGGCGGGGTGTGGGGAGCCCTGCGGGCCGCCTGTGGGCAGGGATGCCTCGCCCAGGTGTGTGGGCCCCTGCGTGGTGGGCGGGGCCTGCTTGCTTAAGGCGCGGGCGCAGGCGCGGCTCCCCCAGAGCAAGTCCCTGGGTTGGCTTCGAGCGGCCACTGTAGCTGCGGATTTTATGACGATTTTAATCGAGTTCTTGTCGCTGGGGGGCAGAGAGCGGGCAGCCCCGAGTGCCCATGCGCCCTGCCCTGCGCCCCGACCGCACCACCCGCCGGTGGCCGGATCGAGGTGTCCGCGGCCGCATCGCTGTAAGTGACCTGGGGGGTCGAGCAGGCTGGCCAGGGCTCAGCTGACTAACCGGGTCGCCCTCCTGGTTTGTGCCACGGCCCCTGACCCTTACATTCCCGGCCGCGGGCAGTGCAGAAAGACGGGGCCTTTGCTCCCCGTGGGGCTCTTCTTTCTCCGGGGCCTTCGGTGTTTTAAACTAGATATTTGCTGTCCCTGGCTCCGAGGTCTGGTCGGTCACATAGGGCTTTTCTTCACCAGTTGTGTGTGATCCTTTCATAGGAAAACATTGGGGGGGGGGGGAGGCAATCTTTAGGTGTCGTTTTCAATGAGAATCAGGTGGAAGGATTTCAGTGGTCAGCTGTTTCGAGTGAGTTGGTGCTTGAAGTGATTGGCTACTTAAAGCTAACTTTTCTTTCTAACTTCCTCTGTGTTCCTTATACTTCCTGCAGTGACTTGGATTTCAGAATTTGATTCAAGTTTGGAATTGTTGAAAAGAGAAATTTTTCTTACTGTTGAAAATGAAGAAGTGAGAAATATTTGTCCTCTGTTTTGTTTTTATTTTTATTTGTTTTGTTTTCTGGCCACAGTCCACGGTGCTCGGTTTGCTCCTGGCTCTGCACTCAGGAGTCACTGCTGGGGGGGGGGGGGGGGGTCAAACCTTGTGGGCCACATGCGAGGCAGCCCGTTGCCCACATACAGTGGGCAGCCCACGTCTTGAAACCCACCTCCTGGCTTCCCTGTGTGCCCGCGAGCGTGCCCTCCTGCTGGCTCAAGCCTCCTCTCTTGGGCTCCTCTTCTACCCCTACGCCCGCATCTTTCTGAGTTTCGTTCCGTAAAGACTATCTTGCTTTCGGGCTGGAGCGATAGCACAGCGGGGAGGGCGTTTGCCTTGCACGCGGCCGACCCGGGTTCGATTCCCAGCATCCCATAGGGGCCCCCGAGCACCGCCAGGAGTCATTCCTGAGTGCAGAGCCAGGAGGAACCTCTGAGCATCGCCGGGTGTGACCCAAAAACAAAACACCACATCCTCTCTATACATTCCGATGTCGTTTTATGGCCCAGTTGTTTGAAGTCTTGCTCATTTTCCTGTGACAAGGAATTGTGTGACTCCGAGGCCGACGGCCTTTCCCTGTGGCTCTGTTCTGAAGGCCGACGGGCTCAGTACCGTGTGGTCCCCGAGCTCCCGGGAGCGAGGAACCTCGTCTGGTGTGGCCTTAAGAACAAAAGCAGAGCAGAACCATGGGTCCGCTTCCCAAGTGCCCCCGAGAAACACGTCTCTCTCTAGCTGCTTCCTGAAGGTCCCGGGAGCTTCCTCTGGGCTCTGCGCTAGGGAGGCGTCTGCGGGTGACGGGTGACGGGGATGGCTGCGCCCCTGCTGACACACGGGGCCCTCTGCAAGTCCTCCGACCTTCCTGAGCCACTTCCTGCCTCCAGCCAGCTCCCTCCCTCCCCGTGGTCCCTCAGTTCTGCCGGGCTCCCTGCTCTGCTGCCCCGGGGGCCCGCCGCCCTTTACGCAAGTCACCTGTGGAGTATTCTGAGGCCTGTTGCAGCCCTTTAGTGCTGGCGGAGAGCCAGGTTAGGGGTTAGCTAGCAGGGACCACAGGGCTTTCGCGTTTCCCCAGCTCTGTGAAGGCCGACCCTCCTGGGAGGCCTTGAAGCCCTTTGGGGTTCAGGCCGGTCCCTGAGGGGAAATAGGTCCAGGGGGTGCCATTATAGGAGACCCCCCAAAGCGCAGGACAGTCAAACTTGGAGGAATTGGGCAAGACGGTTCCTCAGTGCTTGGCGGGCCGGGCTCTCTTCCCCGTTGGTCCCGCTAGAATGCCTGTCGCTGTGTTGTGTGGGAACACTGGACGAAACAAGCGACTGTCCAAGAGATAGAATGGGGCGGGGGGAGGGGGGATTGGCTCGTGCTTGTGGCTGACCCAGGATTGATCCCCAGACCCAGGAGTGATCTTGAAGCCCCCGCCCTGCAGAGACCTTAATGGAGAATAGCAAACTTTAAAAGTTGGGAAAAACACAAAACCCATTTGCCTTTGCCCGAAATCTGCCACCCCAGGGTTCAGCATCATAAACCAAACCAGCAAACCCGAAGCTCTCCTGTCAGTCCCTGCCTGGCCGCTTCTTGGGACACTCCTGTAGTGGCGAGTGGCACCTTTCCCTCCCCGAGTTGTAAATCTTATTTTTCGGATCATACTTGGCTGTGCCTGGGGAACACCGGGTGCCGCGGGTCCGCTTCGAGCAGAGCCCTTACTGCTGCCCAAGGTGCCCGTCCCTCTGGCCCCCTCTGGCCTCAGTGGATGTGCTGCTCGGGTCCCCAGGCAGAAAGTGCTGACCTAGGCGAAGACGTGTGGGGCGTCACAGAAATCCCGTCTTTACTTTTTTTCTCAAGACTTTATTTATTTTGCTTTTTGGATCACACCCAGCGATGCTCAGGGGTCACTCCTGGCTCATGCACTCAGGAATCACTCTTGGCGGTGCCCGGGGAACCACATGGGATGCTGGGAATTGAACCTGGGTCGGCCGTGTGCAAGGCAAACGCCCTTCCCACTGAACTATTGCTCCAGCCCCTCTCAAGATTTTTTTCAGGACTGGGTTTTTATCTTTCTAAAAGCCTTTTTCGCATCTGTTGAAAATTTTTCCCCCCAGACACCATAACGGTAGATTTCTTTCGTGTATTTTCCTCTCTTTAACCATTCCTAAAGTTCTAGTATGAAGTCTGTTCAGAAGTGTCTTGTTTTCCTACTTGGCTCGTGGAGTCTGTCTGTTGAGGTCTGCTATCTGCTGTCAGGGTCTTATTTTGTTCAGTCTTCCTGCCGGTGTTTACTGTGTCTTTGTTTGCTGGGTACCTCTAAGGAGCCTGCAGCTTGCGTGAGTTAGGAGCTCCCCTTTCTTACTGGCTTAGTGTCCCATTCCGCCCTAAATCGTTTCTTTTTACTGATTTGAGGTCATGGGTGGGCTGAAGTTTAGGCTTGCTGTGTCTCGAACCCAGCACCTTCCACATGAAGGCCAGTGCCCTGCCCGGCCACGGCTGCATCCCTTTCCCTGAGTGTGGAGCTGGGCAGGGGCCTGGCATGTGGGCACCACTTCCCTCCCCGCGCTGGGCATCTGGCAAGCCAGCTGGTCTCTCTCAGCCTCATACTTGGAGAAGGATAGTGATGTTTTCTTCTGAAAATCCGGGGAGTCCCGGCCAGATCCGGGGCAGCACGGCGTGTTTGTGGCCTGGCGTCGGTGGGGCCACCTTGCGCCGGAGAAGGCGGTCAGCCGGCTGAGTAGCTTCGTCGACGGCCGGGGCCTGACTGGAGGATTCTTCTCGGATGTTTGCGCTGCGTTGTTGCTGGTTTTCTCACTAGGCTTCCCAGATGTCTCTTTTTCTGGAGTTTTTTAGTATGGGATGAGGGGGGATTCGTGCCAGGTGCGAAGGGCTATTTCAGAAGCATCCCGTGTGTGCCCTCAGGAGGATAAAAGTCGAGGCTTCATCCACGAGTGTCTGACTCCGGGGCCTGGAGACCGGCACGGCGGTGCAGATGCGTAATACACCTTGCCTCTCTCTCCCGGTGTTAGAATTGCAGAGTCTGTGTCGTCTGTGGCACACGGTCCAGCCCCCAGTGGCACCACAACTGCCTGGTGTGTGACGGCTGTTACCAGCAGCAGGACGACCTGTGTCCTTTCTGTGGGAAGCGCCTCCACCCAGAGTCCCAGAAGGACACGCTGCACTGTAACGTGTGCCGGAGGTAAGGGTCCCGCCGCCCGCGAGCACCTGTCGCCTCTTCTCTCGCGTGTCTCTCTGCGGTCCAGCTTCTGTGGCTGCGGCCGCCCCTCAGGTACTGGGTGCTGGACGCCGTCCCCAAGGGAGGTGGTCGTGCCGGGGCCAGGCCCGCGGGGTGGGAGAAGAGGAAAGAGCGTCCCCGAGACCCTGTCACAGATGGCGTCCGAACATGCCAGCCTCTGTCCCCGACCTGGTAGCCTCCCCCTGTCACCGTACACACGTGCCTCTCTCCAGTTTTTCCGCAATTGCCTCTCTTCTCCCTAGTGATTAACTTGACTTTAAAATAGAAAATTTTATTTAAATATATTTATCGCCACAGATGGGTTCATTTAGAATGTGACAAACCAACAGATCATGAACTGGATTCTCAGGTCAAAGAAGAATACATCTGCCTGTACTGTCGGCACCTAGCGGCTGAGATGGGCCACTTCCAGCCCGGTGTCGGCCTGGACGTGACGGGAATCCCCTCAGGTAACTCGGAGAGGCTCCTGGGCTCGCGTCCTGCTGGGGGCCCCGTGGACCGGACCACAACGTCCGCCTCTGAGGGCGCACCAGTGGGCACCGGTACCCTCGGTGCTCGGTGGGGCTGTGTGCTCAGCCATGTGGCCTGCTGGCACCCGGGAATCTGGGCCCTCCCGATGCCCGATGCATCTGACTTCACACTGTTCTTGTCGGTGTGAGGGCGGGGGCGAGGGTCACGCCGTCTCGGCCAACTGGGCAGTCAGTTCCCTGTGCGGACCAGGCGTGAATTGGCCATTTACTGCCTGGGACGCTGCCCAGCGGTGCCCTGGTCGTGCCTGGGTCGGAGTGTGCTGGGCCTGCCCCATCACTGCTTTGCTGTCTCCTGGCCCTGATTTTCACGCCTTGAGCCCAAGACTGGGGTCAGGTGTGGGGCAGTTTGAGTAGGAGACTGTTGGTGAGAAACAGAGTTCCTCGAGGCTGAGAAAGCAGCCCTGTGTGCCCCGGGCCTCGGGAAGGGGGCACCCCAGCACCCTGGGGCGCCAAGCAGGTGGCCTGACTGACTGAGAAATAGCCCCCACACCTGCTCACCACACCTGTTCCCCATTTTGGTCCTGTGGATGGCAGCTTGCAGGAGCCCAGCAGTATCACCTGCTTTATCCCCCGAGAGGGATTAAACTGACGCTTTAGAAAAATAGGGACGGGCTGGAACGATGGTACAGCAGGGAGGGCTCTAGCCCTCATGCGGCCCACCAGGGTGCTGTCCCGGGCACCTCCAGGAGAAATCCCTGAGCGCAGAGCCAGGAGTAACCCCTGAGCCGCTCTGTGACCCAGAAAGACAAAAACACTTTAAGAAGTGGACCCCGGGGCTCTGCACCCCCTCCCGTGCCCCGTTGTGTTGGGTAGGGTGGGAGGCTCCCTGTGGGCTCCGCCTGCCCTGGGACGGACCTCAGGTCTGGTGGCCGGGGGGAGTGTCTCCCGGCCGCTGGGGATGGCTTGAGCCGGGAGCCACGCTGCAGAGCAGTCAGGTCCGTTTCCTCTCCATCCATTGTCGTATCCACATTTCTGGTGTTGGGGTTTGGGTTCAGGAGATGCTGACGGGCCACCCTGGGTGTCTGCTGGACAGTGGGCACACTGGCCTGATGGGCATCTGGCCCAAGTGTGAAAAGATTCTAAATCCACATGTTCTGCCTGGAAAAATCAGAAAATAATAGCATTAAAAAAAATCATTTGCCCTCCCTAGAAGAAATGATTGACATTGTTACTAGAACCAGAAGCTGATTCTGAAGTAAAGAATCGAACTGTCTCTGTTCAGATTATAGCAATGAAATGGAAGTTGACGGCCCCGAGGACCAGGCGGTGTTCCTGAGGCATGCGGTCACCGAGGACGCCGTCACTGGTCACATGGCCGGGCAGGAGGCCGCGCCTGGAATTGTTCCAGACGGTAAGGAGGCCTCTGCTCACGGCACCGTGTGGTTCTCAGCAGAGTCTGTGCACGGACGCCGGAGCCCCGGCTGCAGGGAAGGGAAGGATGCCAGCAGGGGCCCTCTGCAGGCTCCAGAGAAGGTGGAATTCATGGGTCCTCGGGGCAGGCCTGCTGCCGCTGGCACCGCAGGGTTCCGGGGCTGTGTGTCTACCTGTGCAGAATGGAGTGAGCGGATCCCGTCAGGCAGGTGAATGCAAACAGTAGGTCCTGGCCCCTGGCCTGGAAGTCTGGCCCTGTTTGGGGAGAAGCTTTTTCTCGGAACAGCTACGGCTCCTCCATTCACCTCTGGTATACCTTGTTGCACTTGAGGTTGCAGTTTCCAAGACCCTAGCAGCAGTTTAAGTGAAGTCTTCTAATGTGATTTTGCAATTTTTTAAGTGTTTTTCAAAATCCATGTTCGGAGAATGGTGAAGGGCTAGCACAGCGGTAGGGCGTTTGTCTTGCATGCAGCTGGCCTGGCCGAGCCGGGTTCGATTCCTCCGCTCCTCTAGAAGAGCCCGGCAAGGTACAGAGAGCATCTCCCCCGTGTGGCAAAGCCTGGCAAGTTCCCCGTGGTGTATTCATATGCCAAACACAGTAACAAGAAGTCTCAGGATGGAGATGTTACTGCCCCCGCTGGAGCAAATCGATGAACAGCCTGAGGACAGTGCTACAGTTCTTTCAAAGAAACAAAAAAGCCTTTGAGATTAAGTCCCTTGAAACCTTTCCAAGGTGCTACTTTGTAAAGACACAGAAAAACATCACCCAGCTGGAGGGAGTGTAGTCACTTTGTTAGTTACTTTGTTATCAAGATCCGGCTCCGTAATGGAAGGGTTTGTTTTGCTTGGAAATTGGCTTTTGACTCTAGGCTAAGTAATGTTAATTGACTACGCAGGGAATTCTGACCACATGCTAGCATTTCATAAACGTGTCATAAATGTGTGTTCCCAGCAGTGCAGGTCCCCACGGGAGAGCAGCTCGGGAGAGAAGGACCGCTGACCCTCGGCTCCGCTGCTGGTAAGCACCTGATTGCCCGCCCGCCCGCTTTCCGAGGGGTCCGAGAGAGTCGCCCTCTGCCGCACACACTCGCAGTGTTGCCTCTTCGCTTTAGTGCGCCTTTGCCTGAAAGACTTGGGCAGTGGCTTTCTAAAGGTGCCCTTGGTGTTGTCTGGTTGACCTTCTGCCAGCCCTGTGCCCGTTTGGAGGTTGTGGTCACTCCTGACTGGCCGCGATAGGCTCGTTGAAGCAGTATCTGAAACTTAGAGCAGGACAGAACCGGGAACTACTTGCACAGAGATTGTGTTTGCGTTTTAGCCTTATGCCCTCTGCCTAGCATAAAAAAGTGAATTTCCTGAGGAGCTATTTGTGTTTTGTACGTGCTGCTTTTTGCAGCAAGTTTTTCTGTGAGCACGAAATTTAGGGTTCCTATATATATGTACGTATATGTATATATTTTTTTATGAATCACCGTGAGATACAGTTACAGACTTACGAACTTTCGTGATTACATTTCAGTCATACAATGATCGAGCACCCATCCCACCCCCAGTGCCCATTCTCCACCACCAATGATCCCAGCATCCCTCCCGCCACCCCCACCCCACCCCCGCAGCCTCGGTGTCGGGCACCTTCCCTTTCACTCCCTCTCCTTTTGGGTGTTACGGTTTGCAATACAGCTACTAAGTGGCCATCATGTTTGGTCCATAGTCTACTTTCGGCACACATCTCCGATCTCGAGTGAGCCCTCCAACCATCATTTACTTAGTGGTAGGGCTCCTATATCTTAAAAGACAAGTTTGATTTGAGTCATTCACATGATGGTACTCAATGTTCATTCTCTAATTATGTGTATTAATTTTTTAAAATTTTCTTTCTTGGGGCTGGAGCAATAGCACAGCAAGTAGGGCATTTGCCTTGCACATGGCTGTCCCAGATTCATTTCCCAGCATCCCATGTGGTCCCCTGAGCACCGCCAGGAGTAATTCCTGAGTGCAGCCAGGAGTAACCCCTGTGCATTGCCAGGTGTGACCCAAAAAGCAAAAAAAAACCAAAAAACCTTTTTTTATTATTATTTTTTAAATTCTTTTAAAAATGCTTTGTCTTCTTGCTTAAAATGTTAAGTACAGTCAGATCTCGTAGTGGGAGTGAGACAGGAGAGGTAGCCATGGGCTGGGCAGGCCTAGCTGTCGAGCCCCGGGGGTCCGAGCAAACCATCAGAATAGACTCCTGAGTGGGAGCACTGCCAGCAACGCCCCCAAACAAACCAAAGCCCAACAAGTGGCAACGGGAAGTGACGTTTCTTTTGAAACATAGGTGCATTTCATTACCTTAGTAACTGAGGGCTTCGGCCTTGGCTGGTGTAACTTAAAATCACCCTGATGGAATTTGAGATTAGTGTCTTCCAGTGTGTAGGCGTTCCACCCACCAACTGCCCCTGGCGCCATGTGGTCCCATATGGAACCCCGCTTCCGGAAGTGTGCGGCTGCAAATGTGGCCATGTGGCATCTTATTATCTAGTTCTTGCTCTGGAGAACTTGGCGGGCTACCAAATGTATCCTGCCCACATGGCAGAGTTGGCAAACTCCCCATGGTGTACCCAATATGCCAAAAACCAGTAACAATGGTGGGTCTCATTCTCCTGACCCTGAAAGAGCCTCGAATGTGGCACTTTCTAAAATCGCTGGGCTAGGACGAAGGAGACGTTACTGGGGCCTGCTCGAGGCAATCGATGAACAACAGGATGACGGTGATACAGTGACACTGTTCTTTCTCTCCAGTGCTGCTTCCTGGGAGACCTACTTAGATCCATCTCTGTTAAATTTCCAATAGAGAGGTTGGCCTGAAGGTTTAATTTTAAAGGTTTTGGTTTGAAATTCACTAGTTGATGCATCATGTGTGTGTTTCTTACCATGTTCATTGACGGTTCAGTCTCTAATCATCGGTGATGAGAGAGAATTAAGATGATAGTCTGTATTGGGCCAGCCACATTTGCCTCATGCTACCGACCCGGGTTCAATGACCAGTATCCCACCAGAGGGTCCTCCAAGCACCGCCAGGAGTGATCCCTGGCACAGAGCCAGGAGTCAGTCCTGAGCACTGCCAGGTGTGGCACAAAAATAGGACGATTATTAGCGTCCCCAAAATGTATCAAGTATATCGGAACTTTTTTAGCTGAGTAAAATGTTTAACTGTGATCACTCATTTGGTAGATGAAAGCCTTTTTGTTTGTTTGTTTGAGGTGCCTCTTGTTACAAAATATCTTTACATTCTGGAACAATGTTTTTGAATAATCTTTGGTTTCTGGGCCACACCCATTGGTGCTCAGGGCTTACTCTTCTCTGCTCAGGTTCACTCCTGGTGGCTTGGGGAGACCATATTGGGTGTTGGGAGTTGAACCCGGGTTGGCTCATGCAAGGCAAACACCATCACCCCTTTACTAACTCTGGGCCCTGATCTTCGTTTTTTTAACCTGGACACTTTACCTGGTACACTGAGCCTCCTTTTCCTAGCTTTAAAATGAGTGTAACTCAGCCTATGAAGTTTAGTTTAAGTGTCCAAACTGTTGAAACTTCCTACATGGAATAGTTTCACTGAAAGCCAATTTTGTTTATTGGGGCTGGGGGTTTTGAAGGGCCACAACTGCACTCAGGGATCACTCCTGGTGGGTTAGGGGGGACCATATGGGGTGCCCGGGATTAAACCGGGGCTGCCTGTGTGCAAGGCCAGTGCCCTATCTGCTGTATTATCACTCTAGCCCCAGTTACTGCCTTTCTTGGTGAATGCCCTCAGATTTCCATCATTCAGCTGAAAATGTTTAGAAACGCCCCCCCCCCCCCGACTTTTAAGATACAAGTTGACCGATGCGTAAGATGCAGATACACCAATGTAACGACTCTTCCAAATCTCGTAGAATCATCTCAAGATGAAATGAATCCTGAATTGGAAAATCAGATTTCTCACGAAGTGGCTCATGAGAAAGTAGGAATGTCACCTCCAGCGGAGCACGTGTGTCACGACGATCAGAGTGAAAGCAAAATGGAAGTCACAGAAAGTGTGGACGTCTTCGGGCACCAGCACGAGGAGCTGAACTTGTCCGAGGCCCCAAGGACGGTGGCGCCCGTCGAAGCACCACGACCCCCCGAAGCCGCCGCGGCAGACCCGCTGGAAGCCCCTGGGACCCCGTGTGGAGACAGGACTGCCGTGTGTGCCCAGGACCCGCCGGCGCCCACCGAAGCAGCACAGCAGGAAGGCACGGATGCCTCCGCCGGAACGACTCCCCCTGCGGAGAGCACAGAAAAGGATGGGCCTTGCCAGGATGGACCGACCCAGCTGTCCTCAGAGGCCGAGCCGGTGCTGCCAGCCGCCGCAGACATGGGCAAGGCCAGCGTGTCTTCCTCCCCGCCACTCCCGGCCGACTTGCCCGGCCCTGACACGCTGCAGAGTGACCCTCCCGCCCTCAGCGCCCCTGCCGGAAGCATGCCAGCGGCCTATGTCGCGGTCACCCCCAAAATCGGCATGGGCAAGCCCGCCATCACCAAGCGGAAGTTCTCCCCGGGAAGGCCCCGGTCCAAGCAGGTAGGTGGGCTTCCTGGGCCGCAGTGTGCGCCGTGTCTCAGCAGTGGCCTCCCGGCTCCCGAGGCCAGCCTGTCTTCAGGGCGGCCGGATATGCAGTGTCCACTGACGGGTTTTGGCCGTTCCCAAGGAGAGCTGATGAGGAAGGCGATGATTCAAGTGGAAGTGATGTCCCTTAGGGTCTCAGTTGAGTGCCCTGTTTAACGATGGTTCCCAAGAGAAAAGCCTTAATATTCTGCAATTCCCTTGGAATTTCGTTTGTTTTTGTTTTAGTGGGTCAGACCTGGCTCTGTGCTCAGGGATCACTCCTGGTGGTGCTCGGGGGACCACATGGGATGCCGGGGATTGAACCGGGTCAGTTGCATGCCGGGCAAGTGTCTTACCCACTATGCTGCCTCTCCAGCCCCTGGTGTCTGAGAGTTTAAACCGGGATATTTGGGATTTGCGGGGCAGGGGAGCGGGGAAGAAGACAGTGGGTTTCTCGTTTTAGTTTTTCTATCCGTAATCTTCTGGTGGCATTTTTTCCCTCCAAGTTGCAGCTTAACTGATTTCTCGGGGTGCCCTTAGACTTGGCAGACCTCCAGGTGCCCTTGCTCTGCCTGTTTGGGCTCTGGGTCCTGCCGTTTGAGGGAACGGCCCGTTCTTGGGAGTAGGACCGAAGCGCGCCTCACACAGAACACCTGCTTCCTGGACTTCCAAACGGCAAGAGAAAAAGGGAAAGTCGGAGGAGAAATGGATCCTGGCAGGCAGGGAAAGGGTGTGGGTTAGGTAGGGCCCTTGCCTTGCACGCTCCCACCCAGTTGGTCCTCGGCACAACGCAGCCATCCTGAGCCCGGGGCGTGGGGCCCCCGCGCACTCACTGCTAGTCACGCTCGTAACTCTCGGAGTTTTCATTCTCTTGGTTTTGGAGTTTGACTTTTCGTTTTGTGTGTTTGTTGGTTTGGGGGGGTCACACCCAGTGATGCTCGGTTACTCTGGACTCCGTGCTCAGGATCCCTCCTGGCGGGGTTCGGGAGACCGTGTGGGATCAGTCTTGGGTCAGTGCAAGGCGAGACCCTCCTTGCCGCCCTCTCCCCTGGCCCCCAGGATCACTTTTCAATCGAGTAGTTATCGATTTTTGGAATTAGAGGCTCAGTAGAATACTAAGATTGCATTTTATTTTAATGGAAAAATTAGCATCCTCTAAGTAAATTCCAGATACAGTTTATTTGCTAAAGACAGAAATCGTCCTGGAGCTGTGCAGTTGCCCCCTGGAGCTTGCTGTTCCTCTAAGGCAGAGGCATGAGTTCGGGCCTTCCCAGGCCTGGACATCGATTTTCTGTTTCACTGAGATTATTCTAAAACCAGTTGTCTTGGTCTTTAAATGTCTGTCTATCTATCTAAGTAAATTTTATGTCGTTTATAATGACGTATACTCCTTTAATAACGATGTAGTTTTTTCCCCTGGAAATGCTTTAGCATTGCAAATTTATTTCATTGTTCATTCGGGGGCCACACTCGGCGATGCTCGGGGCTTCCTTCTGGCGGGCTTTGGGTATGGAGACCACATGGGATGCCGGGGATGGAGTCTGGGTCAGCCACGCGCAGGGCAGATGCTTCCTTGCCAGCAGGGCGCAGTCCAGTATCTTAATCTTACTATTTGCATTCTTTATGAGCGGCCTCTGGGCTGGGCCCTGTTCTCTTTCGGGTCCCGGTTCTGGCGGTGGCCTGCCGCCCTGTGCCGCGCTGCCGTCAGCCGCGGGGGTCTGGTGGTGGCTGTGCGCCCGCTCGTCCCTGCTGCTCTCTGCCTCAGGCGCTGTGCGGCTTGTCCGTGGGGCGGAGGGGCTCCTGCTTCTGTCCCCGTCCTTGCTGAGAGCTGGGACCGACCCCTGGGTTGTTCGGGCAAGCAGCATGTGTTTGCCTGCGTGGGGAATCCCACCTCCGTTCCTCACGTGGACCCGGGGTCTGCCTTTCCGCTCTCTGAGGTCGCTGTCGGGGCACCACGCCTGCTGGTTCTTAGCGTTGCCAGTGCCCTGTGATGCCGGAGCGCCTTGGGCGATGAGGCTTGAACTTGGGGTTTCTGTGCGCAGCACACACCCTGCCCTTGGCAACGCCCCAGCCGACAGTTCCCTGGCATTTCGGGTCTTGCCGGGGTGCCCTCACTTTGGTGACCCCACCCAGAATAGAGGTCGTCGTGCCAAGGAAAGAACTGAGCGTTTGCTTGGTTGAGTTTTGCTTCACAGTGGTCAAATCTTAGATGTGTCTTGATCCTGCGATAACATCGCATGAGCTTTTTTTCTTTTTTTTTTTTCATTGATTTTTTTTTAATTGAGATAGTTAACAAAGCTTTCGTGTTCGAGATTCAGCTGTACCATGATCAAACACCCACCCCTCCACCAGGGCACATTTTCCACCACCAACATCCTCAGTATTCCCCCCCCCCCAGTCCTCACCCTGCCTCCATGGCAGACAATTTCCCCAGGACTGTCTCTACTTGGGGGCGTTATGTTTTGCTTGGATTTTCCCCACCACCATTCAAGCCCGCCTGCCAGGGGCAGATGCTGGATCATGTATTGTCCATTTTTCATTTTGAATATCATGGGTGCTGTGGCCCCCGCATGTCTGGAGTTCTAGATTGTAAATGGTTGGGTTCCAGAGGCTTCTCTGTAGGGCACTGATCCATTTGGGGATTAAATCGGGCGTCTCTGGACCAGGGCTGTTGGTGCGCTAAGATGGCGCCCAGAGGGAAATTGGGGGCGGGACAACCAGGCCTGGCACCTCTGCCTCCATGCGGCCTGGGGACTTAGTCCTGGCACCCGCATACCTGGGCCTGGCTTGTGGAAGCTCTTGGTCACTGGGATTCCCTCTGGAGTAGGCAGAGACTGCACCTGCTCCATCTGGGGTGCCCCAGTGAAATTGGCCCAGTATGGGGCCCGGAGCGATCTCCAGTTCTGTCGTGTCTTCCGGGACTCGCTGTGTGTCTCTGGCTTTTGCTCTTTCGAGATTTATCTAGGGGTCTCTGAAGCGAGGCCAGTAATAGAGTGTACAGGGTGGTGCTGGAGTTGGCTCAGGGGGGTGACTGCCAGTGCTTCCGTGTGTACTGGGAAGTGGGGGGAGGTAGCCCACCCCAGCTCCGCGAAAGCCTGGAGACTTCAGTTGCAAAACCCACATACCCAAATTTTCAGCAGATTAGATCTTGGCGAGGTCCATCCTGAAAAGGTGGAATCAGGCTGGGGGTATGGCGGTGATTTTGGATTGTGGAAGCCAGCGGCTGCTGGGGGCTCTGCTTGGGCGGGCCACCAGGCCGACCCGCCCCCCCTTTGATTTACTCCAGTCTGTTCACGTGCGGGTCCGAGGGTAACTGTAGCTTTTGATCTCTTTTGAGATTTATCTGTGGGTCCTCGAAATAAGGCCAATAAATGAGTTTGTCTAGCTGAGCCGGAGGTGGTTTGTGGGCCTGGCTGCCACAAACCTAACTTTTGGCCGTTTGATTTCTTGGTAAACTTGGTCCCAAGTTGTTGGGGTCCGGCCAAAGGCACAGCGGCAATTTGGGGGTGTCAGGAAGCCTGAAGGCACCATCAGGGCGCTGACGGCGCCCTACCCCCTTGCATGAGCTTTTTCTAAGAATTGACTTCAAAATTAAATGAATGCTTTCACCAGCAGCAAAGACATCTCGAGACTTTCAAGCGCTGGACTAGCCGGTGACTGCATTAGCGACTGTGACCCAGGGCTTGTGCTGGCCTTAGCACTAAAGGCCAGTGCTTTCCCGGCGGATGTAATGGGACCCACCGGCACCGAGTTCTAATTTACTGCGCTACCACAAAATTAAAAGCAGTACATGGGATGAATTTACGGTTTCTTTTTAATTTATGATTTCTTTAACCTAGAGTATTAAAAAATATTTTGTATAGAAAGTTTTTTGCAGTCATTCTTAAGGCCAAATGCTTGAGGCCTTGTTTCAAGGATCTCATTGGAAATGCTCCGAAGCCCTTTTTAACTGATGATTCTCTCAGTAGATAGTACAAGGCAAAACATTTAGACACAAAAACTAAAGTTTTAGGGGGCTGGAGCGATGGCACAGCAGGTAGGGCGTTTGTCTTGCACACGGCCGACTGGGATTCGAGCCCCAGCATCCCATAGGGTTCCCTGAGCACCGCCAGGAGTAACTCCTCAGTGCAGAGCCGGGAGAAACCCCTGTGCATCGCCGGGTGTGACCCAAAAAGCAAAAAAAAAAAAAAAAAGACAGCCTACCTGTGCACAGTCTCCACCCACATCCTCGATAACACATGCACGTACTTGCACGCCGACCCCTCCCGCATCGCTGACGAGAGGCCGGCCAGCTGGAGTCCTGGGGTCTCTTACCTCGTGGCCGATCACTGACTCATTCTCCCGCAGAATAGGTTCTCCGGTGACGCGGATTGTTTCTCGTGGGCTGTCCCTTCAGGCGTGATTCGGTGACACTTGAGCTGTCCCCTTCTGAAGAGGCTCCAGCCACCCCGTCGGGGGCTCGCATCAGACCCTTGGGCGCGGGACGCCGCGGCCCCACCCACCTCAGCGACTCCCGGGGTGCAGCCAGGCTGCGGGGAGAAGCCGGGCTTGGTCGCTCGCTGCCTCCTTTTAGAGCCTGGCGGGTCACGAGGAGGGCGTCACCCGACACGAAGCCCAGGACACCGGTGGCACCGCGCTGGGCGGCCGTTGTGCCCGTGTCACCCGGGTTGTCCCGTGGCTTGTTGCCGTTCTCGTGCCCCAGCGTTTCATTCCTCAGGTTTATTCGCCACGGCCCTTGTTTAGGGACGCAGCCGCCCGCGCATCTCTCACCGGGGAGATGGCGACACGGCTTGGGAGGGGCCCCTCTCCCCGAAAGAGAGACTTTGGGTGCAAGGGTCCCACCTGAGTATCACACCCTCGGACTGTTTCCTTCACCTTCCCCGCGGGTGCAGATTAAGTGGCATTGTTGTGTTTAAACGTAGGAAATGCTCCGAAAAGCAACGAAAGGTTTGGGCCGTGGCTTCCTGGTGGGGCCCGGGAGTGTGAGGCCTGGGTTTGCGTCCCGAGCGGGGCCTCCCTGGAGCTTTCTGATCGAGCCGTTTCGAACCGTACGGTGTTTGGGATTCTGTCCCGTGTCTCACTCCACTTACACCCTCGCCACGTTGCTTGCATGATAGTATTCAGTATTCAGTATTTTTTCCCTCTCTGTTTTTTTTGATTGTGCTTGGGCCCACCCAGGGCCTGGCCCGTCGAAGGCCCGTTTTCTACTCCTGAGCCATGTCCCCAGACCCTGGAATAGTTTTTTTTTTTTTATATATATAATCTTAAATATTTTAGGAAAACTCCATTTTGAAAGTATTCTGAGCAAAGTATTCTGATGATGTTTGTGGCTTGCGTACGACAAGGGGTGAGTGGCCTTTGTCGTTGATTTTTCACGCCGCTGAGGTTGGAAGGATGCCTTATACCTGAAGCTGATGATGACAGCTGTGTTCCAGTTTTCAGTCCTAAGAAATAGGTTTGGTCAGTTTTTCTTTGTCAAAATATCAAAGTATAACCATGATTTTGAATCCCTTCAAAGTCGCACATGATCTGTCTTCCGGTGTCTTCTGACCAAATGCCTATTAAAACTCCTAATGCAATTGCCCGAGCTTTTATGCTCTGCGTTCTTGGTCGCGGGTGAATGGCTTCCTGTCACCCCGAAACGGCATCCACACATCTCTGGTGTGTGGGGCTCTCCTCACGTGCCTGTGTGGGATGGTGTGTGAATGCCTTCTGAAATGCGATTCAGCTGTGGCACCAAGCCAGCTTTGATTACCGCCTCCTCCTGACATGTTCTAGAAACTGCCTTTCGAGGGGAGGAGCCTCGCGGCCTTGTGCAGCGTTGCAGGGCCAGTCTGCACCTGCGCCTTCTCCAAGTGACTGCGAGCCAGGACAGTGGTGGCCCCAGATTCCGGCCAGCTGAAGGCCCTGGTGGGCCTGCCCTCTGCCCGGGGACGGCTGGGGTGTGGGGGGCAAGACCCCTGGCGAGGGTGCAGGGCACGGGGCAAGAGCCCCTCTGGCTCGGGGCTGGGCTGGAGGTCTTCGTTGTTCTTGGGGCTTCCTGTGCAGAGCCTGACACCCTGGCCCAAGCAAGAGATTGCAGGGGTGGTCAGTGGGGAAAGTGGACATCCCCTCCGGAAGCTGGAAACCGCCCTGACTCGGAGCTCTCGGCCAGCAGTCCAGGGGCCGAGGCCCGGCTGTGCTCGCAGCCGACCACTCACTTCTATCCGTGCACCGCAGAGGGTCCCCCGACCCCCTCCGGGTGTGACCCAAGCATGGAAGGGCTGGCCTTATCCTGGCCCCCTCAGCCCACGGCGGGCAGGGCAACGTGGCTCCTCTCGGAATCTCATGCCCCCTGCCCTGTCCCCTCCCTGCAGGGTAGTTCGTTTTATTTCCGGTCGGTCATTCCTGTGGTGGCTTTGCAGGAGGCCCAGAGGCAGTCCCGAGTGGCCCGGACAGCAGGGCCCAGGGCGAGTGGCCAGGGAAAGCAGCGCGTTCCCGGGCTGTTGTGGGCTGAGCAGGAGACTTTTCTGGTCAATGATATGCTAAGTGCCTGGTCAGTAGTCTTGTTTCTCAAACTGTAGATATTTAAATGGGAAGATGTTCCTGGGTCTTGTTGCATTACCCAAATCAAAATGTGTTCTGTGTGATTTTCAACATGTCTGTCTTGAAAACTCCTTTTGTGGGGCTGGGAGACACCTTGAGGCTGGGCACACTGTTCGCGTGCACGGCCCCCCCGTTCCCCCTCACCCCCGGGCGGGCGCACGGTGCCCCTCTGCACCACCAGGAGTGTCCCCTGAAGGACGGGGCAGGGGACCTGAGTCAACAGAAGATCTTGCAGGAGTACAGTTTTCTTGACACTGCCTGGCATCTTCTTCGGTAAACTTAGGGCCGGGCAGACTAGTTATTTGAAGTGCAGTGCCTCCGTTTTATTTTAAATACTGTTTCCTATATGAATAATGGGACGATTTATTTTGCCTTTTTACCTTGCAAATTTAGGACAATTTGCTTTCCTCTTTCTTTTCAAATCGGTTCTTTGTATGTAATCAGAGTGTGCAGTGTTTTCCAAACAAGAATTAAACCTCACCCCATTTCACTGCGGAAGAGGGAGTTAAACGCGAAAACGGTCCTGTTATTTGCACCTTAAGGTCACAGACTGACTTTCTCCGATTTAACCTGAATACGTGTTACTGCTCATGTTTCTGATTGCATTTTTTTGGCCTGTTGGTTTGTGGTTTATTGTACTAGGTTTTTAGACTTACCTAATTTTCCTTTCTAGCAAAATAATAGTTGTTCCAAGAAAATAATCCCCAGTTTCGTACAGTATTGTTATCACTTGATTAACTTTCATTTATATTTTGGAGCTGTAATTGCCATACTTTCATTAATGTTGATGTCATGGAAACTGAATTTTGAATGTCTCATTACAGTGATGCTTTGGCCAGAATAACTAATGTAAATTGTAGCTACAGACGTTTAAGTTTAAAGTCGTGTAAGTTTCTCTCCCCTTTCTTGAAGCAATTTGTCCTAAATTTCCATACATATGCATTTGTTTTTGCTGTTCTGATTCCTCAGTTGCCGGCTTTGACCTTTTCTGTTGCTGAGTTTTATGCATCTGTTTTCTCACCCGCCACACCTAGGGGGCGTGGAGCGCCCATAGTGCCCTGAGCCCGCCTTCCTGGCCCCCGGACACTTCAGAAGGCCGGGACATTTTTAAACCCAGGCAGCTTCCTGGCGGTGCCATTTGGAGCATCAAAGTGGTAAATAAAACTGCATTTACATTCATATTTCATTTCTTACTGCTCTTGTCCAGAGTTAGAGTTGACTCTTGATTCTCTAGATAACGCGTTGGGCTTCCGGATCCACGTTTCGGGGGGCGGGGGTGATTAAAACCTTGGTTATGAAGAAGGAACGTCTTAAAAGGAAATGAAGTTGCCATTTTACGTGACTGATCACCTAGAAGTATGAGAGGTTGATGCCTCTTTGTGTGAGGGGGAAATCCCCGTCACGCGGCCGGGGAGGTAAGGATTTGTAGGTCCTTGCTGAAGTTCTGTTGCTCGGTGAGGAGCAGAAAGGGACCGTGCGCTCGTGATTCTGCGTCCCCGAGGGGACCGGGTCACGCGAACGCCGCGAGCCGCATGGTTGCCTTTCTTGGCATCCGTGGGTGACGCTCTGGTTCCTGAAGTACGCCATCTCATCCGTTTTTGTGAAAAATGAATTTGAAAGCATTCCCGTTTTTCTGACGAGAGGAGGCAGTTTCTCTTTATAATCTGGAGTGAGACTGTTTAATTTGGACTAATCAATACTAAGAAAGTTCTAAATTTCATTTTTTACTAACAGCGCCGGAAAAACAATTTTTCAACTCTTTCTGATAGCATGTAAGATATTAAAACTATAGATAATTTGCTCTAAGAGTATAAAGAGTGATTTGTCTCACGGTTTGGAAGAAATACCACTGATTTTTTTTTTTAAATTTTCCCCCTATCATCCAACCCGTCCCACTGGATGTCGGGGAGTGACTGATCATCCTGCCCGAGTTACTGGCCTTCTCAGGCGCTTGTCCCCGTCAGACAGGCCGTCCCAGCTGCCCTGTCCCTTTTCAGAGACGTCCCTTTTCAGAGACGCAGGCGAGATCTACGGAGAGCACTTTCTACAGGGCAGGGAGGTGCAGTTTAAAAACAGACTTGCCGGCCTTGGCTGGGACTGTAGCCGCCCCCAGCCCTCCCCTGCCATCCGGGCTTCGCTGAGCGGGTGACCGCTTCCCGCCTGGGGCCAGTCTGCTGAGGGTCGCCCGTTCTTAGGAACACAGAGCGACAGATGATCCCGAGTATCGGAGCTGTTTTCAGGGCGCCTGCCGTGCGCAGGGGCCAGCTTAACTGGCCAGGCGAGCAGCTGAGCACTCGGTAGACTTCGGGGCAGCCATACTTTTCCTTCCCCATGGAGTTTGCTCATGCGTTGGATAAAAACGAAACACCACCAGATGAAAGATTTCCATTTCAGGCATTTTCTTATTTAAAAGCAAGTCTTTGGCCTTTTGAATCCGTTTTCCTCTCAGCTTCAGCTCTGGGAGAATGAGGGTCTGTATCTTTTCGTTTTATCCAGTTATGGAATACTGAAGAAAATGGACTTTTTTTTTTCCCCATTCCTGAGGAGCAATAACTGTTCACTAGCAAAAAAAATTTCAGCTCGGTGCAGTTCCTGCCGTGTAGAGTAGGGGTCCGAGACGGGGCCCTGCACCCGCTGTCACGCCCCTCTGCCCGCAGCACCCATTTCTGAGCTGCTGGTTCAGAGCGGTCAGCGCCAGCCACGTCTGCCCACCCGCTCGTCCGACGGCCTCCCTGAGCCTTCCCGTCAGGACAGCCTGGCCTCTGGCCCCCGCCCTGGACGGAGGCTCCAGGGACGGGGCGGGCGGGTGACTCGCAGCCCAGGGTCTGAGGCACGAAGGGGAGGGAGGGGTGTGGCGCGGGCGTGACTGTCCTCTCTGTCACCTAGGGCCGAGGGGCCGGATTCCCAGGGCGCCGGAGACCACGAGGCGCCGGACTTGCAGGACGTGGCGGCCGAGGCCGGTCCAAGTTGAAAAGTGGCCTTGGGGCCGTGGTGCTGCCCGGGGTAAGCGTCGCCTCATCCCTGTGCAGCTTTCACTGTGTCGCTCTTCACTTTCTGTGCTTGCTTGGTCACTCTCCCCCCCCCCCCGCTTTTTGGGTCACACCCAGCGATGCACAGGAGTTACTCCTGGTTCATGCACTCAGGAATGACTCCTGGTGGTGCTCAGGGGACCATATGGGATGCTGGAAATTGAACCCGGGTTGGCCGCGTGCAAGGCAAACGCCTACCCACTGTGCTATCGCTCCAGCCCCTTGCTTGGTCACGTTTGTTGTTTGGGTGTGGCGGATTGAAGCAGACAGCTCTCCATCCTCGGCCTCCACTTTTTGTTTGGTTTATTTGGGTTGGGCCGGGGTTGGGGGGCACCCCTGGCTGTGCTCAGGCCTTACTCCTGCCTCTGAGCTCAGGGTCACTCCTGCCAGGGCTCGGGGACCCTGTGGGATGCCAGGGATCGAACCTGGGTGGGCTGCATGCAGGGCAGATGCCCTCCCTGCTGCTATCGCTCTGGCCCCCAGGTTATTTTGTGTTATTTATTGGTTTTTTTTTGCGGGGGGGGGCGCACACTCCATTGCCAGGAATTGAAGTTGGGTCAGCTGCATGCGGGCAGTACCTTAGACCCTGTATTCTCTTTCCGGCCCTTGGTGAGTTATTTTAATGCGGTGCGAGCCAAAAGAAATCTGTGAACCACCTACAGAATTAAAAATTTTATTTAAGAAGAAGAAATGCAGGGCTGGAATAATCTCAATTATACTAACCTCATTGCAAGTCGTTTTTTTTTTTTTTTCTTTTTGAATCACACCCAGCAATGCTCAGGGATTACTCCTGGCTCTGCACTCAGGAATTACTCCTGGCTGTGCTCAGGGGACCACATGAGATACTGGGAATCAAACCCGGGTCAGCCGTGTGTAAGGCAAATGCTCTACCTGCTGTGCTCTACCTGCTCCAGCCCCACAGGTCTTACCAAAAGAAACTTGATTTAGAGAGATGGGATGTAAGAGAAAGAGCTACAAGTTCAAGAGAGAAAACGGGCTTTTCCAACGTCCCTCACATTGAAGTTCATTAAACCCTCACATTAAGCATCATTAAAATAGACCCATACAATGGAAAAATAGATTCTCGCGCGCGCACACACACACACACACACACACACACACACACACACACACGGCACTGAGTTCCTGTTTCTTGGTGAGAGTCTTCATGTCGAATTTTCGTTAGCTTCCATTCTGTCGTCCCTTCCCGCCCTGTAGGACTTGTAGCTCTAAAGGCCCAGGCCCCGGGTGTGAGGGGTGGGAGGTGCGAACCCCGTCTGTGCTCTGCCCTGCAGGTGTCGGCCGCAGACCTGGCGTCCAGCAAGGAGGAGGAAGAGAACTCCATGCACAACACGGTCGTGCTCTTCTCCAGCAGTGACAGGTTCACGCTGCACCAGGTGGGTGCCCCTGCCCCCCGCTCCCTGCCCTGTGCCCAGCCCCGGCCCGCCCCAGAGTCCTGTGCGGGAGTGACGTGCGCCCCTTCTTCCCCCCAGGACATGTGCGTGGTGTGTGGCAGCTTCGGCCAGGGCGCCGAGGGGCGGCTGCTGGCCTGCTCGCAGTGCGGCCAGTGCTACCACCCCTACTGCGTCAGCATCAAGGTGAGTGTCCCCCACCCGCCAGACGCGCTCCGAGTCGCGTCACGGCCCCTTGAACTCTAAAATCGACCATTCAGTGTTCGTGGGGGTGACAGAGTAGACGCGACCGTGCCCGTCACTTTAGGCAGAGTAGTTGATGGGTTCTCTGTGGGTGTGTGTCTCGTGTGTGTCTCCTGTGTGTTTTGTGCCTGCGGGGATCGCGCACGTTTCCCTCGTTCGGAAGTCGCTTTTCATTCTTTGCCGAGGCCGAGGGTATCGTCGATTCTCCCAGAGACGATGGGTGTGACTAGCCTAGAAACACGGCGGCGAGGGCCCCCGCTCTCCCCTTCCCTGCCGCCCACGTCCTCGCCCCCGGAAGGCCGTTTCTCAGATGTGCTGGCCCCTCGGGGTGGGTGCCCGGGCACCACGGCCGTCTGCGGCGCGGCCGGCCTTGGGTGTGTCCGACGCGCGTCCGTCCGTCTGTCCCCGCAGATCACCAAGGTGGTCCTGAGCAAGGGCTGGCGGTGCCTGGAGTGCACCGTCTGCGAGGCCTGCGGGAAGGCCACCGACCCCGGGCGCCTGCTGCTGTGTGACGACTGTGACATCAGCTACCACACCTACTGCCTGGACCCGCCCCTGCAGACCGTCCCCAAGGGAGGCTGGAAGTGCAAATGGTGCGCTGGGCTCCGGCCGCCTGGGGCCCCCGCGGGGTTCAGTCCCTCCGTGGGCCACGCCACGCGTGCAGATCCACACGGGGCCACACCCGGATCCCTGCCGGCAGCCCTGGAGCACGTGCAAAACCGTCACTGGGTGGGGGGTGGGGGGGGGTCACGCATCACGGCGCCACAGCCAGCTGTGAATGAAACGAGACGGAGCGCCCGCGTGCCACGTCCCTGGTCTCGGCACGGGCACTGCCGGTGCTCTTGCCAGCCGGGAGGAGGCCACGGCCAGCTCTGCCCACGCGTCCCGACATTCCGGGCCCGACTGAGCCGCGCGGGGGTCTTGGGTTGCAGGTGTGTGTGGTGCCGGCACTGTGGCGCCACGTCCGCGGGCCTCCGGTGTGAGTGGCAGAACAACTACACGCAGTGCGCGCCCTGCGCCAGCCTGGCCTGCTGCCCCGCGTGCGGCCGCGACTACCGTGAGGAGGACCTCATCCTGCAGTGCCGGCAGTGCGACAGGTACCGGCCCCGGGGCCCAGCCGGGACCCCGCCCGGCCACTCGCAGCGGTCCCTGCCGTGGGGCTCTGGGAGGGCTCCGGAGTCGCAGGGTTGTTCCCTGCATGCGAGCGTGTCCCCCGGCGTGTTTCTGACCTCTCCCCAGCCCCTCCGAAGGGCCTCTGTGTAAACAACCCCGTTTTCCGTTTCTAAGCAGAACGCTTTTTGGAAGCGAGCTCTAGGTGTGTGTGTGTCTTGGAAAGCGAGTGTTGACTTGGTGGCAGTGTCCCGTGTGCTGAGCTGTCAGCCTCGTAGGCCAGTGTCCTGCGCTCAGCCCTCCCCTGTGGCCGCTCCTTCCGCTGACCCCTGCACCTCTCTGCCGTGCCCTAGAGCTTCTGTGAGGCCGGGCGGCCGGGGAGCGCCCATCACTGGCCCTCCCAGTCCCTCTCACTGCCTGACTGAATGACGTGTGGGATGGTGATACTGCCCCCTCCCCCGCCCCACCGGAGGCCCGGCTGTCCAGCTCTCGCCTCGGGGCCAGAGCAGGGGTCAGGGCGCTGGGGCTGGCGGTCGGGAGAGTCAGCGCCTGCTGCGGCTTTTGTTGTTCTCTTACTTGTATTGATTTGGGGCGGGGGCTGTGCTCGGGCTTGTGGAGTGGCCACCCGTACCGTCGTGTCATAAGGAAAACTTGCTCTGTGTTTTCCACATTTTATAACGTGCAAACGTGTCTTTCTAGATGGATGCACGCAGTCTGTCAGAACTTAAACTCTGAAGAGGAAGTGGAAAATGCAGCTGACATCGGCTTCGACTGCAGCATGTGCCGGCCCTACATGCCCGCGTCCAATGGTGAGGCCCAAGGCGGTCAGTGCCCATGCCCGTGCCCGCGTCTAGCAGTCAGGGCCCGGCACGGTCAGTGCCAACCCCCATGCCCGCATCTGGCAGTAGGCCCCAAGAGGCTCCACCCTCTGACTCTGGGTGCCGATGGTGAATCTCGTTATCTTTTTTTTTTTGAAAATGGATCTTCCTCCCCGATGTCCCGATGTGCCATGGCAAAGCCTGGCAAGCTCCCCGTGACGTATTCAATATGCCAAACACAGTAACAACAAGTCTCATGATGGAGACGTTACTGGGTCTGCTCGAGCAAATCGGTGAACAACGGGAGGACAGGACAGTGGACAGTGGACAGTGTCTCCCTCCCCGATGTGTATTTTCTCCATTAGTTCTCCTCATTGATTTATAAGATATTTAGTCTATGTAGCGTTCAAGTGTTTATTTCTGTAAAGGGGGCTCAGTGATACTCATGTAAATATTTAAATATTTTTACTGAAAAATCACAGGTGCTTTTATCTGTCTATTTTCCCATTCTAGTGCCTTCCTCGGACTGCTGTGAGTCTTCACTCGTGGCACAGATCGTCACGAAAGTCAAAGAGCTGGGTAAAATATGAACTACTTTATTTCACCATCACAAAATGCGTGTGTACATACTTGATACTTTTTCTTTCAATTTCATTTTACTTTGAGAATCTTGCTTACAAGAGTTCGTTACGGTTAATATTCAGGCACCAGCCCCAGCCCCACCCCCCCACACCTTCCCACCCCCTAAGAGGGAAGTGCGTGGAGATTGTGGTATTTCGTCCTGGAGCCATGCCAGCCCCTGCACGCTTGATACTTTCTGTAGCTGACGGTCACATGTTGTGGAACGTTCTAGAATCCTGGTGTTCGGGTGTGAGCCGCAGGGTCAGTTGTCACTTCTATCCCAGATGCATGGAATGTGCATCAGACGTAGTTTTTGAGGGAGGGATCCGGTGAACCTTGCAACTTGGCAGTGGAAACAATGTCTCTTAAAAATAGCCATTAAGGGGCTTCCCTTTGGCCGGTGACTGTGGTTGTTACTCTGTAGCGGGGAGGAGACCTGGTTAAAGAGCTCTGAAGAGTCACTCGGGACTGGAGCGGTAGCACAGCGGAGAGGGCGTTTGCCTTCCACCCGGCCGACCCAAGTTCGATTCCCAGCATCCCATATGGTCCCCTGAGCATTAGTAAATAAAGTAAAAAGTAAAGTAAATGCCCTCCCGTTGATCATCGATTTGCTCGAGCGGGCCCAGTAACATCTCCATTGGAGACTTTGTTGTTACTGTGTCTGGCATATCGAATAAGTCACAGGGAGCTTGCCAGGCTCTGCCGTGCGGGCGAGATCCTCTCGGTAGCTTGCCGGGCTCTCGGAGAGGGGCAGAGGAATTGAACTCAGGTCGGCCATGTTGGCTGCGTGCAAGGCAAACGCCCTACCGCTGTGCTATTGCTCCAGCCCCTGAGCATTGCCAGGAGTAATTCCTGACTGCAGAGCCAGGAGTGACCCCTATGCATTGCCAGGTGTGACCCAAAAAGCAAAAAAAAAAAAAAAAAGATTCACTCAGAACCAGGCTCTCAGCCCAGTCCAGGTTGGGTCTCTGGCCCCACGAGCGACCCCCCCCGAGCCACAGTGACCCTTGAGCATCGCGAGGTGTTGTGACCCTCAAACAAATGCGGGTGTGCCAGGGAACCTCATTGGAACCCCCCTGTACCCGTCCTGCAGGGCAGTGTGGGGCTTGGGTGTGTGGCTGGGCGCGCCCCCCCTTACCCCCCCCCCGGCCCGCTGACCACAGCCCCGAGCAGGCTCCCCGCTTCCCGGCCAGAGGGGAGGCGAGCAGGCCTGACCGGCCCCCTGGGCTGTCCGTTCCAGACCCCCCCAAGACCTACACGCAGGACGGCGTGTGCCTGACGGAGTCCGGGATGACGCAGCTGCAGAGCCTCGCACTGGCCGTGCCCCGCCGGAAGCGCTCCAAGCCCAAGCTGAAGCTGAAGATCATCAACCAGAACAGCGTGGCCGTCCTCCAGACCCCGCCCGACGCCCAGTCGGAGCACTCGCGGGACGGCGAGATGGATGACAGCCGAGGTAGCGGGCGCCCTCTTGGACGGAGCTGGCCTAAACTCCCAGGGGCCACGCCGGTGGGGCCTGGCGGCTTCCTGCCACCCGGGCGTTCGGGCCAAGTGTGGTGGACATGGATGGTGCCGTGCACTGCGTACTGGCTTTGCACGCGGGGCCCCCCTTCGCCCGAGACCACCAGGCTTGACTCCAGGACAGAGCGGCCTAGTTAGAGTGGAATTGATCTGTGCGTCCCAGAAACAAAGTCGGCCCGCTGTCCCCTGTGGCGATGGGTCTGCTCAGTAGGCGCCTGCTCCCGGTTTGTTCAAGAATAAACACCTGGCGATGCCCAGGGGTTCCCCCTGGCTCTGCACTCGGGAATCACTCCTGGCGGTGCTCGGGGGACTCTATCTGGGATGCTGGGCATCCAGCCCGGGTTCGCCACGTGCAAGGCAAACACCCTTCCTGCTGGGCCCTTGCTCCGGCCCCATCTCATTGAGCTCTTGAGCACAAAATAGTGAGCTTGCGGTGGTGATTCAGTTTCCCCTGCTCTCCGCTTTCTGAGTGGCCCCTGTTGGCCCTGAGGGAACGTGTGGCCCCCAGCGGGAGCATGATGTAGCCCAGCAGGGGAAAGAGACTGAAAGGACCAGCTAAAGTGGGCGTGAGGTTCACATGTGGGAACGTGTCGGGAGCGTCACCACATGTGACGGTCAGGGACGCCCGAGGTCGGTCCCGGGAGAGGAGGAGGAGGTGGGGGCAGGGCAGGCCTGGCTGCGTGTCGGGGGTGGTGCTGGGTCTGGCAAGAGGCGCTGCCGCTGGGTTTCTAGCCTGCGCCTGTTCAGAGCCCACGGGGAGACACGAGAGGATTTTCAGGAGAAAACTGGCACCTACTTATGAGAGCTCTTTAGCCAGCAGCTAAGAGCCTCTGAGGGCAAGGTTGGCCTCCCGAAGGCAAAGTGAGTTCATGGCAGGACGAGGCCAGCTGGGGGCTGGGAGACTAAAGGCTTCCTCCCGGGGTTGGGGTTGTGATTGGGACAGAACTCTTCGGGACCGGGAGTTCTCTCTGGTCTTCATGACCAGCAATAGGAAACAGATTGCTTCACGATGCCTTTTCAGCGGGTCTGATTGTTGGGGGGAAATTCCAAATAATGTGCATCTTCTGTCGAAATAATGAATGCAATCAGAGTAGAGAGAGAGTTAAGTGGAAATCATCTTCCTCACAGGCACGGGGAGGGGTGGGAGGGGGGTCTGTTGGGATTCTTAGTGGTGGAAAATACGCACTGGTGAAGGCAGGGGTGCTTGATCATTGTGTGACCGAGACTCAAACCTGAAAGCTTTGTGACTGTTCTCACTGCAATTCCCTCCCCCTCTCACCGTCCCCGCCCCCATCAGCGGGCTCAGGACTCTCAAACCAGTGGCCGCCCGCTCCTGCCCTGACCCGGAGAGCCTCGGTGGGCTTCCCGGCTTGACCGGTGCGCTCCCTCTCTCGCCAGAAGCAGAACTCATGGACTGTGATGGGAAATCCGAGTCGAGCCCCGAGCGGGAAGTTGCCGATGATGAAACGAAAGGAGCGGAAGGAGCTGAGGGCGTTAAGAAGCGGAAAAGAAAACCCTACCGGCCAGGTAGGTACCGCCGTGCTGGGCGCAGAAGGAAACACACCTGAGTGGCCGCAGCAGGAGATGCCGGGGGGGGGGGGGGGGGGGGGGAGACGGGGCCCTGACGTCTCTGTCTCTGTCAGCGTGACTGTGCGAGCATCTTCTCGGTTTTGGTTTTGGGCTGCGCCCTGTGCTGGGGGGTTCCTGGCTCATTCCCACGGGATCCAGAACCCTGACTGGCACTTACTCCTGAGTCACGCCACTTTTCTGTGACCGCCTGTGGCCTTTGAACGGTCTCCCGATCCCTTTATTATTCTTTTTTCTTTTTCTATTTTTTTTCCCTTTGAGTCACACCCGACGATGCTCAGGGCTTACTCCTGGCTCTGCACTCAGGGATCACTCCTGGCAATGCTCGGGGACCATATGGGATGCCAGGGATCGAGCCGGGGTCCGCTGCGTGTAAGACAAATGCCCTCCCTGCTATGCTACGGCTCCAGCCATGCCCCCCTTTTTTTCTTTTTCCTAAACTTAGTTTATGCAGGAGTGCCAGTAAGGTCACAGTCTGGAGAGGGGGTGTGATAAAGGCCTCCCGCAGTGCCTGGTCTGGGCAGGGGCAGTTGGCCTGGACACCACGGGAGTCCCTGACCTCTGCCCAAGTCGATCCATCAGTGTGTGGCCCGGCTCGTGCTCTCTTGGCTGCGAGTGTCGAGGAAAACGGTCTCGCCCGCTAAGTTCTGTTTGCCTCGTTCACAGTCCAGAACTGTGTGTTTCTTTACCAACGAGGGAGGGAGCGTCCCGAGGGCCCCACCCGCCCTCCGCAGAGCGAGCGGATGCAGCCGTACCCCTGGGGACCTTCCCGCACCATTTCCCGAGCCTTGAGCGGCCACGTCCACCCTCAGAACTGTGGCTCGTCCTGTGTGTGTGTGTGTGTGTGTTTACTTGGGGGTGGCGGGGGTGGGGGAGGAGCCGCGTCTCGGCCCTGGCTGGGGTCACTGGGTTCTCAGCTTGCGTGGGCCTAGCGTGCCCGCTCCTGCCCGTTTTCAGTGGGTCTCTCCCCTCCTGCCTTCCGGGGACTCGTCTCTCCAGCTGAGGCCTGTTAGGTCACCCGAAATAGACCCTGCACGGCACAGACTAGTGCAGCCAGGCGGAATCTCGGCATCTCGCGTGCTTTTAGCTACTGAGTTCTCGGAGAGTCCGATGAGGACGTTCTGTGTGTTGGCTCCGTCCCGCCAGGGAGGGCCCCAGGGACTGAGGGTAAATGAGCGGCTGTCCCAGCGGCAGGCTGTGCCCTGGCTCCAGCTCGGCCCAGCTGTCCTGCTCTGGCCCCAGGCTTGCCCGTCTTCTGACGGAGCCTCCGGCCCCTCCTCCCGGGCTCACGCTGGCTTTTGTCTGCTTTAGTTTGAATAACGCTTGACCTGGGTCGCAAATGTTTCGAGTGCTTCAGGTGCCAGGGAGGTGGTCGGAGGGCCTGGTTCCATTCCTGGCACTGCATCTTTCCCCGGAGCTAAGCTGGCGCCTCCGAAGCCCCTGAGCACCTGCAGAAGCAAAGCAGAACCCAGCAAGGACCCCCCCAGAAACAGCCATGGCCTCCTGCAGGGCCTGCCCTGAAGGGTGGGGGGGGGGTGCCCACAGAGCTCTCTGCTTGGGCAATCTCTTCTTGATCGATCAGAAAGTGACCGTAGCTGCCCCTCTGTGACTTGCTTATTTTTCTCCAACTCTATTTTGCACATTAAACATACAAACAAGCTCAGGAATGGGCGTCAGCGGGTGCCAGCCCACCGGAGACAGTACGGTTCCGCTGTGTTGGCCGTGGACATCAACATCCCGGGGCCTCATCCACAGCGCGGTGCGGTTCCTCTCTCGCCAGGTATCGGTGGGTTCATGGTGCGCCAGAGAAGTCGGACCGGCCAGGGGAAGGCCAAGAGGGGCGTCGCCCGCAAGGACTCCTCCGGCTCCGTCTCTGAGCAGCTGCCCGGCAGGGAGGACGGTACGAAGGCGTCGGGCTCCCGGTCCTCGTGGGGTGTGTTTGGCTCAAGCCCGTTTCTTGACTCTTCAGGGGTTCCTGCGGGTCATGGGGAGCTCAGGAGCAAGGAAGCGCCATTTCAGGCCTACTGGGTTCTGTCTCTTTGACTCTTGAACAAGTCCCTTTCTTGCCCGTCATAAGTAAACGCCATCCGTTGAGGAAATGAACGTGGGATGCTTTCTGGCCGACTCGCTGAAGGCCTCTCCTTCCCGTCTTAGCTTCTGGGTATAAACGCGGAAATTCAGAATGCCCTGGCCACTCTTCAGAAAATGGCCAGCCAGTTTAGAAACCCGTCTGCCGTTAGTGGCCTCACGACTTCAGAGAGGCCGAACCATTCAGTGGCACTCTCCCGTTACTGTGTGAGAGGGTTTGTAGCTTAATCAAAGCAGAATGCCTGCACTTGGACAGAAAAGCAAAGCCACATGATGGATTTAAAAAAGTTCCACCCCGACTTCATGTGGCAAGATAAACCCTGTCTTGGCGTTGGCGGCACGCAGGTCCCAGGATGGCACAGCCACTAGGGCTCTTGTCTCCTTGGACCAGGCCAGCCTGGGCTCGATTCCTGGTACCACATGCGGTCCCTGGACCCACCAGGAGTGATCCTGAACTCTGCTGGGTGTGACCCCAAAACTAAACAGGCCCCCAACCCCCAAAAAGTTTCCACATGTTTGTGGCATGACATTCTTGAGCACATCACCTCCTGCTTTGTGTTGATGTCACCTGCCCCCTCCCGCCATTACGCCCGCCCCGTGTCCCTCCCCCAGTTGTGGTGGCCGGTCTTCCCTGGTGGGCGCTGTGCCCCTGGGAGGCGGTTAAGGTTCCGTGTTGAAGCCCAGAGTTCCCCGCCTCTCCCGTCCAGCCACCTGTGGTGACTCTCCTGCACGGTTTCTTTTCTTCCTTGGCAGCCCTTGGGTCTGTCCACAGTGGGTGGCTTTGCGGGGGGGGGGCGGGGGGCATCTGCCAGGGTCACACCTGGGGTCTCAGTGCCTGCCGGGTGCCCCAGCCCCAGTGCCCTCCCTGCAGCGCACTGCTGCCGCCGGCTGCCCTTTGGGTCTTGTTTTCCACGCCTGGCGGTGTGACACTGCACACGCACGTTCTACACGCATCTGTATGTGCGTGTATGTGTTCTGGGTGGTGCTAGGCATTGGACGCATGGAAGCCTGTGCTCTGGCACTGAGCTTGTTCCTACACCAGGCATGTATTCATGATCTGGTGTGTACACTCACACACACACATTCACACACACTCAGACACATTTTCTCATCTACACTCATGCAAATGCACATATGCAATGCACATAAACAGACACACACATGCTCACACACACAGACACACAAACTCACACACTTTCTTTCATACACACAGACATTCTCACACACATACGGTTTTTTAAAATGGGAGGCCCTGTTCTTCCATCTGAGCTCTTGTTTGGTGCTCAGGCCCCAGCTGGGCCCCTGGTCCCGTGCTTGGGGCTCTCAGCGTGCCGGGGTCCCGGTTGGTGGCAGCTCTCACGGGTGGGCACGTGCCAGGGGTGAAGTCCCCCCCCCCCCCCACCGCACCCCATCGTGCTTCTCTGGCCCGCGGCTTGGATTCTCAGCGAGCAGCACCCAGGGCTCCTCTTCCTAGAGGAGTTGGTTTTTGCTCCAGGAACAGGAAGTGCTGTTTCCTCGCGACGTTTTTCCCGCGCCATGAATCGTTCTTTGACGGTGCCGAGCCCACACCCACCCCGGGTGCTGGCTCTCGGTTCTCACTCCCGTGCTTGGTCTTGTCACCCCCACGTGTGCATGGCGTCACCCAGCGTGTCTCCTCACTCGCGTCACTCAGCATGACCCCTCTGGCCCTCTGAGCTGTGACGGCTTGGGCGCCTCCCTCCGTCACCTGGCCAAGTCGTGTCCCCTCGCGGGGAGAGTGGGCTTCCTCCCCTCCCCTGTGGCTGGAGCGGCTGCCGCGTTCAGACCATGGCTCAGGAAATAGCATCTCAGTGAGCAGAGGGAACTCAGAACTGTTTTACTCCAGCTCAAGTCTTTTTTTTTTCACTTTTGGGTCACACCCAGCAATGCACAGAGGTTACTCCTGGCTCATGCACTCAGGAATTACTCCTGGCGGTGCTCAGGGGACCGTATGGGATGCTGGGACTCGAACCCGGGTCGGCCGCATGCAAGGCAAACGCCCTACCCGCTGTGCTATCGCTCCAGCCCCAGCTCACTCGAGTCTTCTGAACTTACTTGCTGACACCTGTCGTGCACATTCGGTCCCTCTCCCATCTGGGTCATACTGAGCTTAGGGCTTCTCATTTTTTGCCATTGAGTGAAGCCCCGTGTTCCAGGACCGGGTGGAATTTGCAGTTTGCAGTGCTGGAGCAGGGGGTCTGGGTGGTGACGGGCCTGCGAGAGGCCTGGACGCCGGCTCCTCCCACCCCCTGAGGAGGGTTCTTGGCTTTGTCTTCCGTCCAGCTCAGGATTCCGGTTTCGGCAGCCTCTTAGGGGCCTTTTCATTCTTTGCTTATTCTTTGGTTTCTGCCTGACCTTAATTTTGGTCTTTGGGAATTCTTTACTTTCCTAAGTTGCAGGTTTTAAAGGATCACTTGAAAACGTTCACCTGCAGGCCCAGGACAGCGCAGCCAAAGGCCTGAGCCGGCCCCGTGCACTCGAGCCCCTCGCCCCCCGGACAGCAGAGCGCTCGGGTGCCGTCTGGCGGCTCTGCTCCGTGGGGGGCAGCCCGGCCCCTGCACTGATTCAGAGGGACCGCGAGGTGCCTTCTGTCCTCTGAACTCTGAGGGCCAGTCACTTCACTCGCTGCCGGACGTCGTTTCTGATTTCTTTTGTCATTTTTTTCCATTCAGACACTTTATTTCCAATTTCATGCTTTTAAGACAGCATTGATAGCACACTTGTGTTTTCATAGCCACAAGTTTTCACAATATTCATGTGTTACAGTTACTCAACTTTCAAGAAATCCCTGGATTTAGAACCGTTGGTCTCTGGGCATATTTTACAACAGACGTTCCTTGGGTTTTCCCAACAGATTGGAATTTGTATGTTCCCTTTCCTTAGGAGCTCCTGGTATTCTTTTAAAACAAAATGGTGAAGTCATGAAAATAGGTTCCAACGTGTGAATAATCGCTGCTAGGAAAGACCCCCGGGAGGGCGGAGGCGCTGTGGAGACGACAGGGATGGGCACTCTAGTCTCGGGGCTCACTGCCTGGGGTTGTGGCGTCATGTGCTACCTTACACTCCACAGTGCTGTACAGGTTTAATTCCCGGTAAACCTGGAGGAAAAGAACAAGCTTGTTTGTGTGTGTTGAAGTTGGCGCGTGTCGGTAGTGACCGGGCTGGGTTTCTCTGCAGGTCGCAAGCCCCACATACTCACGATGTGACTGTGATTTCAGGCTGGAGTGAGCAGTTGCCAGACACTCTAGTTGATGAATCTGTTTCTATCACTGAAAACACTGAAAAAATAAAGAAGAGATACCGGAAAAGGAAAAATAAACTTGAAGAAACTTTCCCTGCCTACTTACAAGTAATATTTCATGTTACCTTATTTTTGTTAGTCTATTGATTCGAACTATGCAATGACGTAGTATGTTTAGAAAAGTAAGCTTGCTCTGTGAATATCTTACTGTATTTTCTTAATCTGGCATTCCACATCGGTCGTTCTCGCCTTCCAGGGAGTTGGAAAAGATTCACTTTGCCTTTTTGTGCTTTGATAGTTTCCATGAACTTTCCTAACCCTATTTCCTGCTTCTCAGATTCCCCAAGACATGGGTCTCTGGGCAGGGAGCAGCGGCCGCTTCCGGCGTGGCCACCTGTCGGGGCCGTCCGGCGTGGCCGCCTGTCGGGGCCGCCCGGTGCGGTGGCTCGGGTGAGCGTTGACTGCTCCCCGAGGCCCCATGCACCGCACAGCCGCGCTGTATCACTTTTGTTTTTTAAAACAGGCCTCAGAGGGGCCGGGGAGATCGTACAGAAGGAACACGTGCCTCGCATGTTGGCACTGCCAGGGGTCGTTCCTGAGTGCAGAGCCAGGAGTAACCCCTGAGCATTGCCGGGTTGGCGCCCGAAGCAATAAAGAAATAAAACAGGCATCGGAAATCCTCCTCCTCCTCCTCCTCCTCCTCCTGTGTGTGAAAAAATTGCAGATGCAAGGAACCCGAAAACAAAGTGGTTCTGGGGCTGGAGCGATAGCACAGCGGGTAGGGCTTGCACCCTTGCCGCCTTGCACGCGGCCGATCCGGGTTCGATTCCCGGCATCCCATAGGGTCCCCCGAGCACTGCCGGGAGTAATTCCTGAGTGCATGAGCCAGGAGGAACCCCTGTGCATCACCAGGTGTGACCCAAAAAGAAAAATAAAAAAACAAAACAAAAGCCCCAAAGTGGTTGTGGCTCACCTCTGCCACAGAAGCAAGGCAGAGACGAGAGACGGCCCGGTTCTGGGTTCCTGAGGGGGCTCTTTCCGGGCTCTGTCAGGGTGCATGTTGATTGCGTGGTCTGGCCACTCCCGTCTTGTTTCCTCTCGTCCCCCCAGCCCCCGCGGGGTTCACCCTGGCACCATGAGGAGCCAGGAAGCGTTTTCATTCCGTGCAGAGCGTGAGGACCAGCCGCCAGGCGCTGCTCTGGTGAGGGTGGTGGGGTTCCTGGCGCACAGTCGGCCTCGGGAACGTGGTGCCCCCTTGGGGGGTGCTTTTCCGGGACTCCAGAGCCGCATGAGGTCGAGCCCCCACTTACCTACCTTTTTTTTTTTCCCCATTTTTTTTTGTTCCTTTTTGAGTCACACCCAGAGATGCTTGGGGGTTCCTCCTGGTTTTGCACTCAGGAATTACTCCTGGTGGTGTTCGGGGGACCCTATGGGATGCTGGGAATCGAACCCGGGTCGGCTGCGTGCAAGGCAAACGCCCTACCCGCTTTGCTATCGCTCCAAGCCCTCACCTTTAGCTCGCCTTTCTTTCTTAATTTGAGAATGTTTGGGGGCTTTTCAGGGATAGTGTCGTAATCAGGCTTAGCCCTCCTGTGAGGGGTGGGGTTATTTTAGTCAAGGGTTATAGTTACAGTCGGGATTAAGGACACCTTCAGAGTTAGGGTTCATTTGGGAATAGGGTTCGGGTTCAGATGGCCTCTGGGGTCAGTGTTAGTGCCGGAGACTGATTTATTTGGAGGAAGGGGGTTTTTTTGGTGGGGTTTTCTTTTTCTTTCTTTTTTTTTGGGGGGGTGTCCCTACCTAGTGGTGCTACTCCCAGCTCTGTGCTCAGGGATCACTCCTAGCTAGTGCTCTGGGGACTGTCTAATGCCTGGGATCGCCCCTCGATCAGACACATGTGAGGAAGGGGCCTTAAGCTAACCCTAACCCGTCCAGCCTGCCCCCGCCTCTCTGGGCCTTGTCCCACTTCATTTCTTTCCGGTGTTGGTGTTGGGCCGGGGGGGGGGCGGGGGGAGGGAGGTGGCGCGGGGGCAGCTCAGGGGCTAGCCCACCGCTGTCCCCTGAGCACATAGTCAGGAGTGGCCTTGGAGTCCCACAGGAGTTGCCCCTCACCCTGCCAGAGACAACAGCATAACGGCTGTGGGAACACCTCCCAGCCCGCGGGGCCAGCCCCCATGCCCGCGTCTGCAGCGTGGGCCTGTGTGTGTCTCTCGCCCGCCGGCTTCCTCTCCCTGCCGGGCTCGGAGCTAGCACCTCCTCGCCCGCCCCTCCCTTCTCTCTGGTTCCTGCGGGTGTGGGCGGGGCTGTGGCAGGCTCGCACCCAGGGCCGCACACGGGCTCCCCCGCCCAGCCTTCTGCCGCCCTAGTTTTCAGCAGCCTAGAATTTCCGCAGCCTTTGGGCAGATGATTCCGCAGCTCTCGCTTGGGGCGTTGCCAGAGGCCTGTCGTCGGCCTTTTTTGCCTCTCTGGTGAGAAGGTTCTCCGTGGTGACAGTCGGCTGCCGGACGGTGCCGAGGGTCCCTCTTCCACACGGACCCGGAAGCTCCAGGGCTGAGCAGTTGAGGAGAGTGAAAGGGGCGAGGTGAGAGGTACAGGCTCCTTCTTGTCCCCTCCAGCGACTCTTACGCCGTCCCCTTAAGCGTGGCTGGGGAGAGAGTGCGTGTGGAGGGACTTGGGAGACTCAGGCCGCAGAGGCAGCCTTTGCAGGCAGTGTGGTCCGAGGGACTCCAGACCCTTCCCGGCTTCCCCGCTGTTGTCTTTATCTAACGGCAAGACCTAGCCTGCAGGCTGCCCCCCCCCCCTTCCCCCTCTCCCCCCCCCCCCCCTGCAAGCAGCCAGGGTGGAGATGGAGCTTGATTCGATTTCTGCTACAGCTTGGAACAGGGTGTCCGTTAGCAATTCTAAAGTTCGCTGGGTCTAATGTCCTGGGATAAATGTTCACACTGCAGTTGCCTAAACATATTTGACAGAATTGTATGATTTTATTGGTGATTTTTTTTTTTTCCTGTCTGTAGTCTGGCAAGCTCCCGAAAGTATCTCGCCCGCACGGCAAAGCCTGGCGAGCTCCCCGTGGCGTATTCGAGATGCCAAACACAGTAATGAGTCTCACAATGTTACTGGGCCCGCTCGAGCAAATCGATGCACAATGGGAGGACCGTGACAGTTTGTAGTGAAACCAAGGGCTGGAGCGATAGCACAGCGGGTAGGGCACTTGCCTTGAACGCGGCCGGCCAGGGTTCGATTCCTCCATCCCTCTCAGAGAGCCTGGCCAGCTACCGAGAGTATCTCGCCCGCACGGCAAAGCCTGGCAAGCTCCCCGCGACATACTCGATATGCCAGACACAGTAACAACAAGTCTCACGATGGAGACGTTACTGGGCCCGCTCGAGCAACTCGATGAACAACGGGAGGACAGTGACAGTGAAACCAAAGTTACTTTACAGTGATACTGTGTAAAAGAAATGACACATTACTATTTTGTGTTTGTTTCCTTTTTTAGAAGCTTTTTAATTTTTTTAATTGCCGTTACCACATTTGTAAATTGTGGGTGCTGTGCTCTGGTGGTGTTTCTACTTTATTAACAAGGATAAAATGTTTCGTTGTCATTCTCGAGTTTCTGACCGAGCCAGTCATTTCACTGTGCTTCTCTCTAGGAAGCTTTCTTTGGAAAAGACCTTCTGGACACGAGCAGACAGAACAAGCTACCACTGGATACTCTCTCCGAAGACGCAGCTCAGCTTCCGTACAAAACAAACCTGAACGCGAGTTTTTTGGACCCACCCTTAGACCCACTACTCAGCTCATGTTCGACGCCAGCCAAACCCGGAACTCAAGGTGAGCGGAAACTCGATGGATTCTGTCTGGGCCACGCGTGGGCCCCCGCACCACCCCTGCGCCCCCAGGGTTCCTTCTCCCGTCACTGCCTTCCGATGCGTCCGTTAAGGGCTCCGGTTCGTGCCGCCGCGGGGTCGGTGGGAGGGGATTGCTCGCCGACCTTTCTCCGAGGAGCTGCAGAGATGTGTCCAGGAACGGGAAAGCTAAACTGTGTGCTCTGTTCAGGCACGGCCGATGACCCGCTGGTGGACATTTCTGAGGTCTTAAACACAGACGAGGACATCCTTGGCATCATCTCGGACGACCTTGCAAAATCCGTGGACCCTTCAGGTAGACACGAGCACGGTTTGCTCTGGGCTTTGCTCGACAGGTGTGTGTGTGTGTGTGTGTGTGCGTGCGTGTGTGGGGACAGGCTTCACTCTGTCTTTTCTTGGAAACGGAGAAAGAAGTGCGGGGCACGGCCAGACATCCTCATTTCACCTGCTTTCTCCTTCCGGCTTCTCCCTCCCAGGCAGGGGAACCGGGGGGCCCTTCCCTCCTTGCTTTTCTGCTGCTTCCCGGCTCAGGCCTGGGGCTGCCCCCCCCCCCCGCCCCCGTGTGCGTTGCGCCCCGCTCGCCCGCCTCGGTGGTAATCATCCATTTTTATCTGGTTTGGGTCTTGTAGGTCTTGGTTTGTGCACTTTCCAGGGTGAGAACACACCTTTCCCATTTGGTAAGAGACGAGCACTGGGTGCCAGGTCCCTAGACGTAGTCTCTGCGTAGCGGTTTCTGCTGAGCCCGTAGGTGCATGCTGTGTGTCCCCGTGCTGGCGTGTCACTAACCCGCGCTTGGCGCTTGCTGTGTGTGTGGCTGACGCCCGGGTATCCCCCCCCCCCCCCCCCCCCCCCCCCCCGTGCTGCCAGGACTCGCCCATAGATACCTCCCTCCCCTGAATGGTTACGTTCTTGTTAATACGCGATTTGTGATGCTGCCACCTGCTGTTGGCATTAACTTCAAATAGGTCGAGTCGAAATGAAGTTTTCGCGTTTCCTAGTAGGAGTGTTGAGAAAGCCTCGGGAGAGACGCGAGCAGCGAGGCTCGTGTGGCTCCAGACATTCGACGGGCTTGTCTGCTTCTCGTTTCGTGACTGCAGAGTATTTCAAAGGCTCAGTCTGGCGCAGTCGCTCACGAAAGGACAGTGTTGAACCCTGTGGGAGCTTCCGAGCCTTTTCTTTCCCTGAAGCTGCCTCCTGTGCCTCACATCATAGTTGAGCTCTGTCTTTAATACCGCTCTTTGCCAAGTACCTCGTAGTTTCTTCTGTGCTGTATGCTAAGTCTTCCCGACCCGAGTTCGATTCCTCCGCCCCTCTCGGAGAGCCCGGCAAGCTACCGAGAGTATCTCGCCCGCACGGCAGAGCCTGGCAAGCTCCCCGTGACGTACTCGATATGCCAGACACAGTAACAACAAGTCTCGTGATGGGCCTGCTTGAGCAAATCTCAGATTCTTACCATTAAAAAAAAAAAGGAGTTTTCTTTCCCTCCTGAGGAGCGAAATGACTCACTTGGTTCTAAGCTGCAAGTCAAAAAGAAAACTTGACTTTCCGTTAAAATACAGCCGACGGGCACCGGCATTTGCAGTGACGCCTCACTTGCCCTGATGCACTGCCCGGATTAGTGCAGGAAGTTGGTGGAGAGAGTCGCGTGCGCCCTTGATCTCTCTGTTCGGCCACGCTGTCCGGCGCGGGTGGGACTGGCCTTGGGGGCTGCGTCGCGCCCGGCCCCCCTCTCACTTCTGTCCTTGCTCCCCCAGCCGGCCTGGACGTCGGTCCTGGCGCTGATGCCCCTTCCTCTCTGCCTCAGCCAAGCGCCAACCCGAGCTCTCGACCTCTGAGTGCCGAGCAGCTGGACGGGCTCCTGAGTCCCGAGCTGGACAAGATGGTCGCCGACGGTAAGCCCGCCGCCCTCACCCCACCGCCCCCTGCCTCCCCCGCGGTGGCCGCGGGCAGGTGCTCACGGCCTGTCTGTCTCCCGCAGGGGCGATCCTCGGGAAGCTCTACAAGATCCCAGGTAGGTGTCCGGCGCGGCGCCCCGGGCCGCCCGGCCCCCCGGCCTCCTGCCTCACGGCCCCTCTCTCCTAGAGCTCGGCGGGAAGGACGTGGAGGACTTGTTCACGGCCGTCTTCAGCCCCGCCACAGCGCCACCGCCACCCCCGCCCCCGGCCCCGCAGATGCTGCCCGCCCACGGCCAGGGTGCGTCCCCGCGGGGGTCCCGGGGGAGGCGGGTGTGACCCTGGGTGGTCTCACGTTCCGGGCACCTCGGGCCCGGCTGTGCACAGCACTCTCGGGGTCCCCGTGGGCAGCGTCCCCCCGCCCGGTTCCGGGACTTGCTCCAGCAGTGACGGGCTCAGCGGCAGCTGCGGCATCACCAGGGGCCACTTCCTGGTGGTTTGTGCGTGAGCGCGTGGCTGGGGGGTGTCTTCCGTTGTAAAGGTGCCGGTGGCTTACACTCGCTCACCTCGTGGTTGTTAGTGTGTGACTCCCCCTGCCTGGGGCCAGCCCAGCAGAGCTGCTCTACCCCCCCCCAACCCCCCCCCCCCCGCGGCATCCTCTGCTGCCTCTGTTCTCTGCACATATCGTGCAAGGCGGGGTCAGGTGCCCCTTGAGCCCCCACGGGGGCCTGTGCTGTTGGGGGGCCACACCCCGCTGTGCTCGGGGCCGATTCCTGGGGGGACTCTGGGGACGGAAGCTGGGTCGGCCACCCAGGAAGTAGGTTTGCAGGGTTAACTCTCCCTGCCAGGCGCATCCGCGAGAGGACCAGGAGGCTGCCCGCCCCCAGTCTCGCTCTCCTGCCTGATTCGGTCACTCTGGGCTGAGCGGGACTCAGACTGTGCGGTCTTCCATTTCGGGATTCATCTGAGAATGGCTCTGATGTTTGTAGCTGACCTTTTTTGTTTGAGGTTAATCTGGGGGTCCCTGCGACAGCGTCTCACACAGACCCCACCCAGGGTAGGGAGGGCACGGGGCCTGGGGGGCGCATCAGGCCCCATCTCCCCTCCCCATACTCAGAGCCTCAGAGCCTCCCCCCAGACGTCGTCGTGGGCCTGTGCTGGGAGACGCCCTGGCTGGACTGGGACACTTGGAACGGGGCAATTGATGCTGCTGAGTTTGTCGCCCCTCCGGGGCACATGTGGTTTCTCATCCACGTGTCTGCAGCGCTGGCTGGGGAGAAGAGACGGCGTCGAGGGAGCAGGGGGTGCTCGCGGGCGGGCGTGAGGTCTGAAGAGCCAGGGAAGGGAGCACGAACTCGGGCTCTCCAAGCCAGGCTTGTTTCGGGTGAGAGCCAGGGACCGCGTCCTCCAGAGAGGGCCAGGGAGGAAGAAGTGTCCCATTCCTCTTTAATTCTTCCCGAGGTCCGTGCCTCAGAGACTGCCTTGGGGAGCGGTGCTGGCTGACCCGGGTTTGATCCCGCACCCCTGTGTCCCCAGGCCTGGCCGGGAGTGACCCTTAAGCGTCTAGCGTCAGCACAGGGTGAGCGGAGAGCCCCGAGTAATTCCCCCATCACCACCACAAAGAACGAAACCCGGCCCAAAGCGGATGGCAGCTTCTCTTCCTTCCTGTCTGAATATTTGCAGGGAGGCCAGGCCTGCAGGGCGGGTCGCATCCTTCCCCATAGAGAAAGTTTTGCTCGGGCCCCGGAATCTCACTGAATTCTCGCTGAAGCTCTGAGCGGGCAGTTCTCCTTTGAAGAAGAGCAGGAACCTTGCTCCACCGAGAGAGAGACGCTGTCCTGTGGTCCCGTTCCGGGGCAACTTTGCCGGTCAGCTGAGAAGCCCTGCTGGGGGCTAGGCAGCTCCTGCAAGCCCCACAGCCAGGCCCTGGGCACCAAGAGCCCCCGCTGTCCTGGTCCATCCCGGGGCTGTGGCGCGCATCCCACGGGAACTGCTCGGGGACGCGTCTCCTGTGGCTGGGCCGCGTGCAGCTGGGCGTCTCTCCGGGGCCCCGCAGTTTCCTCCGACATCACTCATGGGGGATGCGGCCTGGCCCTCAGTGTCCCTCTGGGGTCCGCCGGGAGCAGCGGCCACACCTGTGATCGTTCCGGGAGAACAAGACTCTCCCTTGGCGGGAGCGTTAGTTCTGTCTGTCTTGCTGGAAGACTGCCCGGAGAAGTACACTTGGCTCCTGTCCAAGTCGTTCAGCCGAGTACCTCACATGAAGGCGTCCTCGAGCATTAAGGGGGGACGCAGAGTGGTCCTTGTGGAAAGAGGGTCCCGTTCTGAAGGGGATTGAAAATGCATCTGGGGCCCAGACTGCAAGGAATGGGGTGGGGGTGGTAACGGTGGCCATGCCATGCTGGTGGGTGGATTACTGCTTCAGAGACCGTGACGAGTCGAGAGTGGGCAGGATGGGCCCGTGGGAAGGAGAGTCGGGCTGGGGTTTTCGTTGGAACGGGAGTAAAATTGTGACGGGACGCCTTAAGATTTTAATGGCCAAGCGAAAACGGTCTGCTAAGACGTCGGAGCTGTCGTTGGGCTAGTCCGGGTGGCAGAGGTGGGGACTGTTGGCCAGGCAGGCCTGACGCTCAGTTCTGTGAATCCTGCTTACCACATTCCAGCGACTCTAGTTTCTAGAGAATGGGGTTGCCTCAGTCCTCCCAGAAGTGCTGGAGGACCTTCCTTCTGCTGTCCCCAGATGGTGCTGAGTAGGTTGGAGGGTGCAAGGGACCAAGTCCAGTCCTTTTGCAATTGGGGGCATTGGGTCACGCCCAGGGATCACTCCTGGCGCTGCACAGGGAGTCAGTCGCGGTGATGCTCGGGACCCTGTGGGTTGCTGAGGCTCCAACCCCAGGGTCCGTAAGTGAGCCAAGCAGCCTTCCTGCTGACCTGTTGCTCCAGCCCTGGGCGGTGCACCCTCAGCGTGTTCCTGGACTCTGCTAACAGTCCCCATGGTTTGAGGTCTGGCTCGGCCCTGACGCGTTCCGGGTGCAGTTCCCAGAAACACCCAACAGAACCCAAACCCGCCAGGTCCCAGCGCACGCTTGTTATCAAGTATTTCTGCGCCGCGCCGGAGTCGACATGGCCGTTTCCCTGTCCGGGACGAAGGGGGGGAGTCACACGGCTGACTCGATCGCGCAGCTGCCCGGGAGCCTTCGGCTGCTGTATTCTTAGCGAGGGTCTGCGGACTGACGCCTCCCTCCCCCCCCCTTCCCTTAAGATGTCTTCTCGCGGATGCCGCTCATGAATGGCCTCATCGGACCCGCGCCGCACCTCCCACACACTGCCCTGCCTCCTGGGAACGGCCTGGGAACCTTCGCTCCGTACACGGACGCCCGGTATTTGAGACCTTCGCTTCCTGTTAAACCCTGAGTAGCGATAATCTCTCGAGCATCGGCCCCAGATTCGCGGGTGTCCTTAGGCTCCGTCCTCGGTGTTCGCATGGAGCGTGCTTGTCGTTAGGGGTTTTAAGAAGGTGGTCCTTGGCCGTGGTGTTTCGAGAGGCGTGCGTGCGGGAAGTAACGCTGTGTATATTGTTTGCCAGGGACAAAAATCCAGCCTTTAATCCCATGGCAAATGATCCTCACAGCTCGTGGGCAGCGTCCACCCCCGCCGTGGACGGCGACAGTGACACCATGTCCAATGCGCAGAGAAGTAGCCTGAAGTGGGAGAAGGAGGAGGCCCTGGGCGAGATGGCCACGGTGGCCCCCGTGCTGTACACCAACATCAACTTCCCCAGCCTCAAGGAGGAGTTTCCTGGTAAGACGGGGCGGGGCGAGGCAGGCGGTGCTGGTCTCTTGTCTGGGTCACCGTGCGGCAAGGCCCGAGGGCGCTGGCCTCTTCTAGTCTCTGTTCCTGTGCTTCTCGCATCGTTTTCGAAAATAGCTCCACTTCCACAGGGGTAGCTGTTCGGAGTCGGTAGAGCCATACACGTGACGTCCCAAGGACAGGAACCTCCCACTGGCAAATGCGAAGTGTTAAGCGTCCAATTGTGGGTTCCGAGTTCTGTACCCCGGGCCTCTCAGTGCCCTCTTCCCGTCAGGAAGGTGCCCGGCTGCTCCCGGTGCGCTGATGAGCTGAGGGTGGGCACTCAGAGGAGAGTGGCGTCCCGGGCATGACGCCACTGAGAGGGCCCTGGCGGCTGTGGCTCCCAGCATAGTTCCGTGTCTGTTTTTTTTATACCTTCACTTGCCATTTACAGCCGAGCACACCTCTTCACATCAGCTTGTTTTCTCCCGTTGATGCACCGTGAGATACAGTTGCAAGTTGTTGAGATTTGAGTTTGTCACAGTTTCCAATACCCAGTGCACACTCCCCCGCCTCTCCCACCCCTTCCCTTTTTCCCTTTTGGCCCTGCGGTTTGCAACACTGTTGCTGAAAGATTGTTGGGAATATCCCTTTACCTTCTCTCCGCACCCGGTTCTTGTCCGGAGTGAGTGATCGTGTCCAGGGGTCATTGTTCCCAGCGGTCCCCTCTCTCTCCTAACTGCCCTCCGCCCCTCCTAGTGAGCCGCTTCGGCCGTGGGCCAGTCCTTGCGGCCCTTGTCTCGACTGTCCTGAGCGTCAGCTGTGTCTTCTGTATCCCGCAAGCGAGATCAGTCCTTTTTCGTCTGTCCCTCTCCCTCTGCCCCGTGTCACTCAGCATGATACGCTCCACGTCCATCCACGCGTGAGCAGACTTCACGGCTTCATTTTCCCTGCGTCGTATTCCACTGGGTAGACGGAGAGTCCCTTTCTCCCCGCATCTTCGCCAGCACTGGCTGTTCTTGTTCCTTTGGCTGTGGGACAGAGATAACCTCCTCTCTGTGGATTATTAGGACAGTGCTAAAGTTTTCGGAGTGGTTTTCTTTGATAATTTTACTCTGTGGTGCCAGAACTTCATGGAAAACCATTACGGCTTTTTTACCGACTTTTTCCGGGTTTTTATTGCTATAGACTAAATGTTTCTTTTTGTTTTGGGCCACACCTAGAGGAGTTACCCCTGGCCGCCAGCATGCAGAGCGCATGCCCAGGCTTCGTGCTGTCCCTCAAGCACCCAAACCATCCTTGTTTTCTATCACTAGCCTTTGAGCTCATCCAAAGTCCGCTCTGATAGACGTCAGGAACGCTGAATCTTCTGGCGTGACTCGAAATCTGTCCACTTGCCGCCCCACTGTCAGTGAGACACTCATTCATAGTCTCTCATCTCCCTTTTGGGGCTAGTCTAGAACCTTTCTCGATGGTTTGTTCTGGGCGTTTTGGGATCACACACAGCCGTGCTCAGGGCTCACTCCAGAACCATTCGTGGTGGGTTTGGGCCCCGTGTGGGGTGCTGGGCATTGAAATGGGGTCACTGCACGCACAGCACCTTCCCGTCACGCTGCCTCTCTGGGCCAAATCCATAGTGGTGTTAGCACAGACCCATCACACGGCCTCCAGCTCTGCGCCAGGGACGGCGTCCTCATCTCGGGAGACACGACTGTTTTCGTCCCCATTCAGACCCTGACGTTCACTTCCTGTCTGTGGAACTCGAGCAGGCGTGAGGCCCTTGCCAGGGCTCCGCCCTCAGCGCGAGCGTCCGGCTGCGGTTCTGGGAACATGCAGACTTGCTTTGTTTCTTGCAGACTGGACCACCAGAGTGAAGCAGATCGCGAAGCTGTGGAGAAAAGCCAGCTCCCAGGAGAGAGCGCCCTACGTGGTACTGACCCTTCCTCGGCCCCCACCCCCCACCCCTCGTCGCCATCATCGCAGTGCCCTAGAGATAACACATGGCTCTGTGGCACGTGGACCCCCAGCGAAGGGCCCCCAGGACCCTGCTTGGCTGTGAGTGGTACAGGGGGACCCGCGTGGTCACCTGGTGCCAGCTTCCCGTGCCCCGGGTGTGGAGGCACGTCCTGAACCTTAGTCTTCAGGCGTAGTGTGATAAAAAGATGCTTCATTGCAGAAAGTGTTAGTCCATTATTTATAAATAATGATTATTTAATTTATTTTTGCTCTTTGGGTTACACCCGGCGATGCTCAGGGGTTCCCCCTGGCTCTGCACTCAGAATTTACTCCTTGTGGTCCAGGGGATCATATGGGATGCTGGGGGTCCAACCGCGTACAAGGCAGACACCCTACCCGCTGTGCTATCGCTCCAGCCCCTAAATAATGATTTTTTTTTGAGGATTTCTTAACTCATTACAACTTCATATAGAGTAAAACATTTTAGAGATAGCTCACGACACCTGGTTTCACTTTGGAAGCGAGTCTGGCGTGTTCTCAGACCTTGGTTTCCTCTGGAAGCTCCTTTGTGTTGGCGTTAGGACATGCTGTGCATCGTGGAAGAGGCAGAGAAGTGCCAGGACGAGGGTCGGCGAGAGCATGCGTGCACGTCCCTGCTGGCGTCCCTGCTCGGGCAGCGATGCAGACCCCGGGAGCCTCGCAGGGACCGGGAGGGGAGTTTAGAACATTCAGAGTTCAGCTGGGGAACTGTGTGCTCCCAAGAACCAAGTTAAGATAGATTGTCAGACTGATCCAAATTCTTGCTCTTATTTTACTTTCTTTTTTTTGGTTCTTGGGCCACGCCCGGAGGTGCTTAGGGCTGACTCCTGGCTCTGTGCTCAGGGGACCCTCTGGGGTGCCGTGGACAAGATCCGGGCCAACTGCATGCCAGGCAAACACCTTTCCTGCTGTCCTGGCTCTCAGCTCGGTTCCACAACCCCCCCTTTTATTTTTGCTTTTAAAACAAAATTATATTGTTTTGAAAAATCCATGCAGCTGTTTTCCAGTTTGATCTTCATTACACATTTTTCAGTGGTAAGGGTTGATTGCCAAAGCAAAACAAATTATTATGACGTGTTGATGCTTGTCCTTAGTTTGAACGTTTCTCGGTAATTTTCAGTCCAGATTTTAGATTTGGAGGATGGATGATGGTATTTCCTTTTCTCTAAATCGAGAGAGCCGTTAACGTTCCCTGTTTTGTGGGGCCCGTTCGGAAAGGTCGGGCGGAGGCTGGGGCAGTGGCACAGCGGGGAGGGGGCTTGCCTCGCACGCGGCCTGCCCCCTGGGGCCCCCAGCACAGAGCCAGGAGTCATCTCTGAGCACTCACCCCCTCCAGAGAGCTCAGGCCAGGCGGCCCCGGGCTGGAGCGAGGGGGTTGCGGTTCCTGCGGCGCGTCGACGCGTCCCGTCCCGGACGATGGTCTTCTTCTTCCCTTTTTCAAAGCAAAAAGCGCGCGACAACAGAGCCGCCTTGCGCATCAATAAAGTGCAGATGTCCAACGAGTCGGCCAAGAGGCAGCAGCAGGACGGCCTGGAGCCCGGCGCCCGCTGCGACGCCGACGTCTTCAAGGACCCGCTCAAGCAGCGCGAGTCGGAGCACGAGCAGGAGTGGAAGTTCCGCCAGGTCAGTGCCCGGCCCGGTCAGGGTCAGCGCCCCCGGCCCCGGGTCTGCGCCCCCGGCCGCGTCTGCCCCTCGTTCCCGGGCCGCCGCCGTCCCCGGTCCAGCGGGCTCAGGCCCGGCCCCTGTCCCGGCCGCCGCCCGCTTCTCCCCGGCCGTCCCCCCGAGCCCACCGTGCGTCCCCCTCCGCCCGACAGCAAATGCGGCAGAAGAGCAAGCAGCAGGCCAAGATCGAGGCCACGCAGAAGCTGGAGCAGGTCAAGAACGAACAGCAGCAGCAGCAGCAGCAGCTGCTCCACCCGGGGCCCCTCCCCGCGCCCCCCGGCCCGGACGCGCCCGGCAGCGGCCTCCGCAGCCCCCTGACCCCGCAGACCCCCGGCACCCCCACCTCCGCGCCCGATGACGTCTTCCTCAAGCCGCAGGCCCCCCGGCCGCCCCCGGCCCCTGAGAGCCTGGCGCCGCCCGCGCAGGCCGCCCCGGCCGCGGCCCCGCCCGGGTTTCCCGCCGGCCGGCCCCCCCGGCCCCTCTCCCCCGGGGACCCGTACGCCAAGATGGTGGGCACCCCCCGGCCGCCCCCCGCGGGGCCCGGCTTCCCCCGGAGGACTCCCACGGCGCTCGGGGAGGGCTGCGGCCCGCTGCCCCCCGGCCCCCGGCCCTGCGCCGGCTCCCCGGCCAGCGCCGACCCCTACGCCAAGCCTCCGGACACGCCGAGACCCCAGATGCCCGACCCCTTCCCCAAGCCCCTGGGCCTCCCCCGGTCCCCCGCCCTGTCGGAACCGGCGTCCGCGGGGCCCCCAGCAGCGGGCGCCGGCGACCCGTTCGCAAAACCCGCCCTGAGGGCTGACGTGTTCCAGAGACCGAGGGTCCCGGACCCGTACGCGCGGCCCCTGCTGACCCCGGGCCCCCTGGACGGCGGGCCCTTTAAGACCCCCATGCAGCCCCCGCCCTCCCCACAGGACCCCTACGGGCCTGTGTCCCAGGCCCCCAGGCGCCTGCCCCTCGACCCTTACGACCGGCCCCCCCTGACGCCCCGGCCTGTGGACAGCTTCGCTCACGCCCAGGCCGGTGACCCGTACGGCCAGCCCCCCGTGCCCCCGCACCCGGCCATGCCGGACCCCCTAGCTCACCCCCCGAGGCCCTTTGCCCAGCTCGGAGCCATGGCCCGGCCAGCATCTCAGGACCCCTATGCCCAGCCGCCAGGGACGCCCAGGCCGGTGGCCGAGTCGTACTCGCAGCCCTCAGGAACTCCTCGCCCGCCCCTGGACCCTTACTCGCAGCCTCCCGGGACCCCCCGGCCCCCCGCCATCGACCCCTACAGCCAGCAGCCGCCCACGCCAAGGCCGCCGGCGCCGGCGGGTCTGTTTGCCGCGTCTGCCGCCAGCGCGAGGCCCCCGGACCCCTACGCTCAGCCCCCGGGCACGCCGCGGCCCGGCCCTCCCCTGTCCTACGCACAGCCGACAGCAGTGCCGCGGCCACCCCGGGCCCCCGAGGGCTTTGCTCGGCCTGCGATGGCGCGGCCGGGCCTTGGGCCCAGCCAGGACCCCTTTCTCCAGCACCGGGGCCCCACACGGCCCCCCGAGGTCTTCCCGCCGCCCCCGCGGGCTCCTGGCCCTGGCCTGGCCGACGCCTTTCCCCACGGCTCCCCGTCGGCGGCCCGTGACCCCTACGAGCAGCCGCCCATGACGCCGCGACCTCAGCCAGACGCCTTCGGAGCAGCCCAGGTGCCTCACGACGCCTCCGACCAGCCGAGACCCGGGTCCGAGGGGAGCTTCGGGGCACCTTCCGGCTCGCCCATGAACCCCCCAGGCCAGCCGTTCCCCAGCGGGCCCCACCTTCCCGGCCCTGCGCCCCCTTCCGCGGCCCCGGACGCCCAGAGCACCGTGGACACGGAGAAGATGAGACAGGTGACGAGGGCCCGCCCGGACGCGAAACGGCTCAGCTCTCTGTTCCGTGCAGCATTTCACACTGCAGAGTGTAAATGGATGGAAAGCAGATCTCGCGGGGAGGGGAGGGGCGCACCAGGCAGTGCTAGGGGCTTACTCCGGGCTCTGTGCTCGGGGACCCAGTGGGGTCGGGATCAAGCCTGGCTGACCGCGTGCAGGGCACGGGCCCTCCCACCGGCCTCGCTCAGGCTCCATGCTGCCAGCTTCATTGTCTTCACGAAGGTGTGCCGAGATCTTAAAGCTTCCAGCGTTCTGAAGCTGCCCGGCACGGAAGATGATCCGAATTACGTTTGGGCTTTTTTGGGGCTCCCCCGAATGTTTTGTCTGTTTTGAATAGCTAAGCATAGCTACCGTTTGAGATTTTGAGGCAGTTTTGTTTTCATGGGGAGGGCCTGTGCTCAGGGCCTGCTCCTGGTTCTGTGCTCAGGGCCTGCTCCTGGTTCTGTGCTCAGGGCTCCCTCCTGGCTCAGTGCTCAGGGCTTGCTCCTGGCTCTGTGCTCAGGGCTCCCGCCTAGCTCAGTGCTCAGGGTTTCCTCCTAGATCAGTGCTCAGGGCTCCCTCCTGGCTCAGTGCTCAGGGCTTGCTCCTGGCTCTGTGCTCAGGGCTCCCGCCTAGCTCAGTGCTCAGGGTTTCCTCCTAGATCAGTGCTCAGGGCTCCCTCCTGGCTCAGTGCTCAGGGCTCACTCTTGGTGGGGCTCCAGAGATCCTCTGTGGTACTGGGTAGCCGCAGGCGAGGTCAGTGCCTGAGCCCCCCAGAAGATAAATGCCATAGTCCCCTCAGAAGCGTGAGGGTAGAAAAGGCCACTTGGGGGCTGGAGAGTCCAGCGGTTCGGGCCCTGGCCCCCACATCCCTGCCTACTGCCGGTCAGGCCACCACCCTTCACTCCCGGGCGGCTGCATGGAGCCCGAGCGTGGTTGGCCGAGCCTCCCGCCGGGCCTCGGCCCGCCGTGACCGGTCGCTCTCCCCCCCAGCGGCAGAAGCTGCGTGAGATCATTCTCCAGCAGCAGCAGCAGAAGAAGCTGGCCAGCCGGCAGGAGAAGGCTCCGAACGCTCCCGCGCCGGCCCCCGCCCCCCTGCAGCACTGGCAGCCCGACGGCATCGGCCAGAACTTCAGCCGGCCGCCGCCCCCCTACCCCGGGAGCCTCCGGCCCCCCGCTGGCCCCCCGCTCGGGCCCAGATACGCCGTCTTCCCCAAAGAGGCACGGGGCCCCTACCCGCCCGACATGGCCGGGATGGGCATGAGGCCGCACGGATTCAGGTACGGCGTTGCTCCCTGCTCCCCTGTGGGGCCCCGGGGTGGCCAGGACCCGCCTCTGGGGTCCCGGGGGCCTGAGGGGCAGTTAGAGATGGGGGACGTGTCGCAGCCGTGATCAGGTGTTACTTTCTACTAGGGAGGGGTCATGCGCTGGTTTGGTATTTTGTTTGGTTTTGGGGGGTCTTTGGTTGGTTGGAGGCACACCCAGCTGTGCTCAGGGCCTACTCCTGGCTCTGGGGACCACCCTGGCTGGGCTTGGGACCCTCTGGCTGGAGGCCAAACCTGTGTTGGCTGCCTGCAAGGCAGACGCCCTCCCCGCTGGAATACTGCTTCAGCCGTGGCAATAGTTGTACTGTTTTACTGTTTGGGGGGCCACACCCAGCAGGGCTCAGGGTCCCCCCTCACCCTCTGGCAGTGCCGAGGTACCGTGCATTGCGTCCAGCCCTGGAGAGAGCCACATCTCGCCCAGAGCTCTTTCCCAGATGCACTCCTAAGCCGGCCTAATGCTTCCTGTGGGTTTTCCTTTCAGATTTGGATTTCCCGGCGGCGGTCACGGCGCCCTGTCAGGCCAGGAAGGGCTCCTGGCGCCCCCCCAGCCAGTGCCAGCCTCCGGCGTGCCGCCCCAGCTGCGGAGGTCCGTGTCGGTGGACATGCCCCGGCCTCTGAGCGGCGCCCAGCTGGGCAGCCCGGCCGGCCTGGGGCCCCCCTTCCCCCCGCAGGGGCCGCCCCTGCCGCAGCACCACATCCTGGGCCAGGCCTTCATCGAGCTGCGGCACCGCGCCCCCGAGGGCCGGCCCCGGCTGCCGGCAGCCACCGCACCCCCCGCGGCCCTGGAGGCGCCTCCACAGCCGAGACACGGGGGTTTCCTGCCCCGGACGGACTTTGCGGCCCCCAGACAGGCCGACCCCGTGCGACGCGCATCCCAGGGGCTGCCCGGCCCGCCCCCCCGCCCAGCCCGGGCTCGAGCCGCTGCCCCCGCCCCAGCAGCCACCCGGCACCCCGACCCCCGCCGGCTCCATGGCCCCACGGCCGCTGAACCACCCCTTGGGGCCCGACTTCGCTGAGGCCGCGCTGTCCACCCCGCCGCCCGCCGAGCAGCCGGCCGGGACCTTGGAGATGGCGCCCCCGCCGGCGGGCGACCTGGAGAAGCTCGACGCCGACGACCCGTCCGTGAAGGAGCTGGACGTGAAGGACCTCGAGGGCGTGGAGGTCAAAGACCTGGACGACGAGGACCTCGAGAACCTGAACCTCGACCCCGAGGACGGCAAAGGGGACGAGCTGGACCCGCTGGGGAACCTGGAGGCCAACGACCCCCACCTGGACGACCTCCTGCGCTCCGGCGAGTTCGACATCATCGCCTACACGGACCCTGAGCTGGACCTGGGCGACAAGAAGGGCATGTTCAGCGCGGAGCTCGACCTCGGCGTCCCCCTCGACGACAAGCTGGAGAACCCGTGTGCGTCCGCGGAGCCCCCCAAAAAGGAGCCGGAGGACAAGGCCGCGCTGCCCGCCGGCCCGCGCTCCCCCTGGAGGAAGCCCGCGGCCGCTGGCGATATCAAGACGGAAGCGCCGTCCCCGGCGCCCAAGGCGGAGGGCAAGGGCGACACCCAGCCGAGCGAGGAGGGCCAGGGCGGCGCCAGCACACCCTGCGCCCGGGACTCGGCGCACACCGACGCCACCGAGGGCGAGAAGGCGCCCTCGCCGCCCCGTGACCCGGAGCAGCCTGAGAGCAGGACTGACGGCAGAACTGATGGCGAGGCGCCGGGTGCCGGCAGCACGGGGCCCGGGGACAGCCCTCCAGCCCCCGACGGCGCGCTCGGCCCCCGCGGCCTCCCGGGCGCCACCCCGGTGCTGTCCAGCCTACTCGCCGCTGGGGAGAAGCCAGACCCGGCCGACGGCAGGCCCCCGTGCTCCCCACCGGCCTCCGTGCCCGCCTCCCCCGCCGGCCCCGCGCCACCGCCCCTGCCGGCCCCCCTCGGGCCGCCCCCGGGCCTGGCTCTGGACAGTGCCGGGAGCTGCGCGGTGAGCGGGGCCCCGCGGCTCAAGCACGCCTTCCCACCCGCCGTGCCCGCCGCCCCCGGCTGCGTGCCGGGCCCCACACCTGCCGCCCACGGGTTCGGGACGGGCAAGCCCCCGGGCCCGACGGTGCCCCTGGCCGGCCAGCCCGGCCCCCCGCCGCTGATGGTGCCGCAGAGCCGGGAGCGGCCGCTGCTGCTGGAGGAGCAGCCACTGCTTCTGCAGGACCTGCTGGACCAGGAGCGGCAGGAGCAGCAGCAGCAGCGGCAGATGCAGGCCATGATCCGGCAGCAGCGCGCCGAGCCCTTCTTCCCCAACATAGGTAGGCGCCGCCCACCCGCCCGGCGGACTCCGGCTCGGTGCTCCTCTGCCGCGCTCGGCAGACGGGCGCGTCTCTCCCTCTCGGGGACGTTGGGCCGGGAATGGGCCAGGGGCCTGGGCCGAGACCTTCTTGTTCCGGGGCCCCCATCCGCGAGTGTGGCTCTGTGCTCTGGGGTCCCTCCCCGGTCCCGAACGGCCCCTCCAGCCCTGCCCAGGGTGTCCCCTCCCCCGCCACCAACAAAGGAATAGTAGCTAGTTTGGTGGGGTTCCGAGCACTGTGAACACGGCAGCTCCTCCGTCACGAGCACGTCACTCGATGAGATTTCAAACAGCTTTTCGGAAGTTTAGGTGGACGAAGGATTGCAATATTCTCTATTATCGCTCTGATTTCCCCTAATTTTGGCAGTTGTCTTGCTTTCGTTCTTTCTGGACCAAAGCACCAAGCCTGTTTCCGTGACGCTTAGTGGGATGGGATTAAATTCGGACTAACGGGCTGGAGGGTGAGAGCGGGAAGCGCCTCCTTGCCCGTGGCCGGTCACTTGGAGTCCCCGCCACAGACGGCCCCCCGGCGGGCCTGGTCCCCTGGTACAGAGCCGGAAGGAAGCCCTGACCGCTCCCCAGCAGGGCCCCGAACAGAACCAGCTTAGGCTCAGGCTTCCGGCCGCCTCCCAGCTCAGTGCCAGCATGGGCAGAGGGCTCGGCCCCCGTCAGACTGTTGGTGGCTCCGTGGTCCCCTGGTGCCGTGATGTTCGTGACCTGCCTGTTTCTCTTTCAGACTTCGATGCGATCACAGACCCAATCATGAAGGCCAAGATGGTGGCCCTGAAGGGCATCAACAAAGTCATGGCCCAGAGCAACATGGGCATGTCGGCCATGGCGATGAGCAGGTGGGCGGCGGGCACGCGGAGTTAGTTGGCTGGGGCCGCGCGACTTCCGGGGGGGTGTGACTGGGCCTCGCGGGCGTGTCCCGAGGTCGCCGTGGCTGGTCGATGCGATTGCAAGTGTCTCCGTGGCCCTCGGGAGCCCCTGGGACCATGGGGCTGACCCGCAGCTCTGGGGGCAGGGACCGTCTGCGGCAGACGAGACCGAGAGACAAGGCCGGAAAGGCAGCTGCCTCTGAGTCTGCAAAAGCACTCTGCCAGAGGTGCTGAACTCAACTCCAAGATAAAACATACCCCAGCTGAATTTTAGGGGAACCTTGGGTTTGGGGAAGAGGATGTTAGAACACTTAGAACCGGAGAGCGCAGAACCTTCACGCTCTCGGCAGAGCGGGAAAGGTGTCGTTACCGACCGGGAGCTGTCGGCATTCCTGCCGTCGGTGCGGCTGCCCCAGGTGCGGAGAGCCGGGGGACGTTTTTAAGCTGTGCCCGAGTGCCGTCCGCGTGCTGCTGATTTATTTGCTCAGCCGTGAGTTTCGATTGCGTGTGGGAGATGCCGCTGCTCCTGGTTCTCTCGGGAGCTCTGACGGCAGGTGGCTGCCTTGACGTGGCCCGTTGCTTTCTCAAAAGCCCCCCTTTTTTTTTTTTTTTCGCTTTTTGGGTCACACCTGGCAATGCTCAGGGGTTACTCCTGGCTCTGCACTCAGGAATTATTCCTGGCGGTGCTCAGGGGACCATTTGGGATGCTGGGAATCGAACCCGGGTCGGCTGCGTGCAAGGCAAACGCCCTCCCCGCTGTGCTGTCGCTCCAGCCCCTCAGAAGCCTTTTATAAGGAAACATGAATGAGGCATGCTCGATGCCCGGCACGCCATGTGGTCCCCCCAAACCTGCACCGCTGGGTGTTACCCCAAAACAAAAGAAACATGAATGATTTTGGAACTGGGTATCAAATCCGCCACGTGCCCTTTAGCTAGACGGGGTCTCTTCCCAAGTCCGTGCCCTTGACTATCGGGGTGCCGTGAGAACGGCTCGGAGCATCACTGAGGTCACAGTAGGGTGCCGTGGTCTCCGGGACTGTGGTACTGCTGAGAGCATGGGGGTGTGGGGTGCCCAGCAGTGCCACCAACTGTCCCCGCACAGGCAGGTCTCGCAGACTTCCCTCTGCCAACTCCCCAGCCTTGGCACACACCAGTCGTCTGCAAACACGAAACACCGAAGCTGCTGGGAATTGGGGTGTTGGGGGCCACACCCAGGGGTTCTCAGCCCGTCCCGGGAGCAGGGTTCAGTGCTGGCGCCGAGCCTTCCCGCGTGCCAGCCCCATGCCCGAGCTCATTGCCATACTCTCCCCCCCACCCCCGGATGCCAGGCAGTGCTGAGGCCCTTCAGGGCACTGGGCCAGCAGGGTCCCCGCCCTGTCTTTGATGCGTGGCACCCCCAGCTGTGGCCCCACTGCGCCCCAGGTGTGACCCTCACCTGTCCGGGGTGTGGCAGGCAGGGCACCGAGAGCAACCAAAGAAAGCCAAAGAATTGGGGGACCAGAGCAGCAGGACAATGGGGAGGCGTTTGCCTTGCACGCGGCTGACCCAGATTAGGTCCTGGCGCCCCTGCTGGTGCCCTCAGGCACCGCCAGGAGAGATTCCTGAGTGCAGAGCCAGGGGTAGCCCCTGAGCGCCACCGAGCGTGTCCCCCTCCCAAAAAAAAATTTGAAACAAGAAATTTCCCTCCCACAAAAGCATCTCGTCATCACATGCCTATCCAGAAGATTCCTGAGCGTGTCCACGCGGCATCCGATTGGCACTTGGCCTTGCTGCGTGGCTCTGCCAGCAGGCCTGGGGGGCCGCCACCCCCGTGCTGGGGCTGGCCACTGATGGCCGGGCCGGCCAGTGCCGGGACTGACCTCGGTGCTTCCTCCGCAGGTTCCCCTTCATGGGCCAGACAGTCCCCGGGGCCCAGAGCAGCGACGGCCAGACCCTCCTGCCACAAGCCATCGCTCAGGTATTGCTGCTGTCACCGGCCCTCATCCCAGCTGTTCTTGAGGGAAGCCACTTCTAGAAAGTTCTAGAAGTTTTAGAACCCTGCCAAAAGTTATTGCGTGGGCTCTGCAGAAAGGCATTTTAAAGAAAGAACAAATTAAGGCTAGAAAATGGATAGAAATTCTGAAAGGACCAAGTGTGTGTGTGTGCGTGTGTGCGTGTGTGTGTGTAGACATGTAAAGGAATATATAGTTATATATATATATGTAAGGCAAATTCTTAGGGTTTTCTAGCTTTACTTTTATTTACCTTTAACTCCAGAAAGACATCTTGATGTCTTTCATTTTAGAGTTAGTCACGTCATTCTTTTCAACATGTAAAATGACCATGCATTGTGAGAAATGGCTGTGGTCCTTGTATTTAGACATCCTCATGCTTTGTTCATAATCTCTGGGATGTTTGGTTTTGAGAGACTCTAACTACTTGAACTCTCAGGGTATATAATTGATTACGCAGTGTCAACTAGTGTCCGGAAAAGCACAGCGACTCGTCCCAAAGACTGTTTTTTCGGTGAGGGCCAGTTCCTGTGGTCAAGGCCCAAGCACTCCTGGGTGTGGCTCAAAACAGCAGAGGGAAAACAACCTGCTACGTGACTTCTGAGAATGTGCGTGCTTGCGTGTGTGTGTGCGTGCGTGCGTGTGAGTGTGTGTGTGTGTTTGGGCCACACCCATCAGTGCTCGGGGCTGACGCTTGGTGGACGTTCAGGGGTGGTGCTGGGACTCAGACCCAGGCGGGCTGCAAGCCCGAGAAGCTGACTGCTGTCGCTGTCCACTCTCTCCCACCCCGGGGGTTTCTTTTTCCGGCCCGGGCACTCAGGGTTCCAGTTCAGCCGCCAGGGAGCGTCTGCAGGGTGGGTGCAGCTTACACGCTCACGGCCCATGTCCAACCCCCACGCGGCCACGTCTGCACTGCTGGTCTGCGTGGCTGGTGGCGCCCGCGGCCACAATAAGCCAGAAAGCACCAACTCCGCGCCATCCCGCCACAGCGGTGTCTCCTCACCAAACGAGGGAGGAACCGTTGAGCAGGGGAGAGCTTAGGTGTCCTGAGGAGCCTCGAGGAGACTCGGCTCCATCCGGAATCCACGGGGCAACACGGGCAGACTCTGGAACTTGTTTCCTGGCCGGTCGTGGTCAGCTGGCGCACAGCTGACCGCTGGTGTCCACGCGGCTTCTGTCCATGGCGCGTGTCCCCGAAGGGCAGGGCACACTCGTAGTCAAGTCCCTCTCGTTTGCCACGTTGTCAGTCACCCTAGAAGCAGTAAGACCTTCGACGAGAAGACAAGCTTAGTATTTTTGTGCTACATGTTTTTGCTTTGGTATTTGTGCATGTTAGATTCTCATGTAAAGCGACTGTTTCGTGGAACGGAGTCAGTGAGCCTGGAGTCAGTGTGTAAAAAGTCTTAAGAAGGAAAACAGTTAGAGCTCATCAAAAAGAGAAGTTTTATGTAGACCTCCAGCTAAGTACTGACAATATTTTATTTTCCCCCACTATTATATTTCTGATGAATAGTCCCTTCAAGCATTTTTGTTTTTAATGAAGTCTAGAAGATATAACAGTTCAAAGTTAAAAAGAAATTATAGAAATTAGTTTGAAACCACTAACTTCTACTTTAAAAAAGATAATAAAGCTTTAAAGTTGTCTTAGAACATTAAAGGATTTCCTTCCTCCATTTCTTTTCTTTCTTTAAAAAAAAATTTCCCCTTTAAATGAAATGTGGAATAAACCTATTTGTAAATTTTACTTATTTTAGGATGGCAGTATAACACATCAGATTTCTAGGCCTAATCCTCCAAATTTTGGTCCAGGCTTTGTCAGTAAGTATAAATCTAATAAGTTACATGTTCTCTGGGGAATTGCTTGTTTGCACTATCTCTGTGTTCTTCTAAAAACTCGGAGTTAGTTTAGCTGTGTGTGACCCCAAGTGCCCCCACCTTTGACCAAGTATCGCTGCCCTAGTAGCCGTCTTTCCTCCGAAGCTCGTATTTTCATTGCTTTTTTTTTATTTTTATTTTTTTGTTTTTTGTTCCCTCTCTGCATGAAGAATTCCAGTCAGGAATGAGTATTTCACTAAAGCACAATGGTCTTCCCCGTTCTCTTCACCACTGCTGCTGTGTAGATGCTGACCGGGCACTTCCCGTCCGCGGGGCGGCCCCTCCTGGTGCTGTGACGGTCCTCCGTGGAGAGGGGCTGCAGCGGGCAGGCGGAGGGAGTGGACTTGGAGGCAGCAGGGCCGCGGCCTGGCGTGAGGCCTCGTCCGTGTCCAGGGCCAGTTGATCCGTCCCAGCTACTCTCAGGGGTCCCGAGGCGGTTCAGAGTAGTTCTCCCCAGACTGAACCTTTCTGAAATCTCCGGACTGTCGAGCTAACTTTTTTTCACCATTATTTTTCGTTTTGCTCACCTCTGCTCTCCTGGTTCCAGAAACCAGAAAGGCTTTCCTTGCGGTAGGTCTCATTCGACCAGAAGCAGATCTTCTGAAACTGTGAAAAAGCCTGTTCTTAGCAAAAGCCTCGAAATTGACTAGCCGAGACGCGCTCGCGCGGGCCACAACGCCTGGGTTCAGGAACAAACCCAGAGTCCGCCCTTTTGAAATTCCCCGTGTATTGATCACGATTCGAATTTGAACACACATTTGCATCAAAAACGAGTAAACTACCCTGACCAACTGGCTTTTTCTGGCTTGATTGTGCCCATTGGCTTTGGTTGGATTCTTACTGTATAACGATACTCTGTCTTCGATGATGTAATTTTTCAGCTAATGACATTCTTGGAATTGTATCTATGGTCTTAGGGTGAATCGAGAGGCATATTCAGGTTTCCACTGCCATAGAAACCCTCTGGGGGCATGATTGGGCAGGGAGTTGGCTTCAGAGAGACAGTCTCCTTTAGAACCAAGACTTGGTGTGAGATGAAGAGAGAGTTATTTGGGGAGATAGGACAGACAGTCGTCAAAGCAGAAAAGATCTTACTTCGTTAGTTCCTGCCTTTCCATAAGTCCCAGTGATGAATTTCGTGACAGATGAGGTTCTCGTCACTCAAATTTCTTTTATAAAACATAAGCTTCAAAATTGGGTCCTTCTAAGGCATTCTGGCTTCCCTCTTAGCTTACGATAAACGCTTTCGCTCTTGAGAACCAGGGAACGTAAACTCGGGTGTGGGCGTGGAACTCGGTAGCTAACCCAGGCGTCAGAGTAAGGGTCCTTCATTCTGCCCTCGGGGGTCTGTCGGGGTGCGTGAACGAGACACGCCCGTAACAGTCTGCCAAGCGGCCTGTGGGGGAAGAGCCTCCCGTTGCGAGGCGCCCCCCTTGCAAACGTGACGCCGGGGACGGCGGCCGACCCGAGAACACTGCTGCCCTGGCTGCCGGCAGCACCGTTCTCGGGTCGGGTGGCCGGCCCTGGTGACTGGCGTCTCCGTCCCGCACGGAGCTTTGTGGCGCCCGCCGCGCCCGGCCCGGAGAGCCAACCCCGGTGGGTGTCGACTCTCTCCCAGATGACGCCCAGCGCCAGCAGTACGAGGAGTGGCTTCGGGAGACGCAGCAGCTGCTGCAGATGCAGCAGAAGTACCTGGAGGAGCAGATCGGCGCCCACCGCAAGTCCAAGAAGGCGCTGTCGGCCAAGCAGCGCACGGCCAAGAAGGCGGGCCGCGAGTTCCCCGAGGAGGACGCCGAGCAGCTCAAGCACGTCACGGAGCAGCAGAGCATGGTCCAGAAGCAGCTGGAGCAGGTGAGGGGGAGGGGTGCGCGTGGGCCCTCCCTCCTGGCCCCGCCCTCCCGCTGGTGGTCGCCGCCTTCCCTCCCCTTCCTGCTTGCCTCCTTTCTCCCCTCCCCTCCTCTCTCTTCTCATCTCCCTTCTCTCCCTTTGAAGGTGCAGTGCTTGGGGACCATTTTTTGGCAGGGGGATCAAACCAGACCCCGTTGCATCAAAGCATGTGCTTGGTCCATAGCCGTCACTCCAGCCCTGGTGGTCTTTTTTTTTTTTTCTTTTTGAGTCACGCCTGGCGATGCACAGGGGTGACTCCTGGCTCTGCACTCAGGAATCACCCCTGGCAGTGCTCAGGGGACCCTATGGGATGCTGGGAATCGAACCTGGGTCAGCTGCATGCAAGGCAAACGCCCTACCCGCTGTGCTGTCTCTCCAGCCCCCTGATGGTCTTTTTTTTTTAATGGTTGTTACTGTTTCACAATATTTTACCTTAAAAACATCGCTGCAGGCCAGAGAGGCGGTGTGGGGTTGCAGTGCCGCCTTGCTTGCAGTCCGCCCTGGTTCGGTTTGGTCCCCAGCACGGCGAAGGACGCCTGGAGCATGACCCGAGCCACTCTGGGTTGACCCCCAATGCCCACCTGTGCCCCAAGTTGGGGAGAAGGGACTTCTGCTTTTTTTGCCTTTTGGGCCACCCCGGCGATGCTCAGGGGTTCCTCCTGGCTCTGCACTCAGGAATCGCTCCTGGCGGTGCTCGGGGATGGGACCCAGGTGGGCCGCGTGCAGACACCCTCCCCGGGAGCAGGGACTTGGCCGTGTCTTCTGTGTCCGCCCGTGCTTTGGGGAGGGAGTCCCGCGGAGGTCACGGCCCGGCCGGGAGGCAGAGCTGAGCCCGCGCCCGCCCCCTTGCAGATCCGCAAGCAGCAGAAGGAGCACGCGGAGCTGATGGAGGACTACCGGCTGAGGCAGCAGCAGCAGCAGCACTGCGGCCCCGCCCGCGGCCAGCCCGGCCTGCCCCTGGGCCCGCACCCCCCGCCCGGCCTGCCCGGCTGGCCGCCCGCCCCCGGCCCGGGCCACCTGCCCCTGGCGCCCCCGAGCGGGCCGCCGCCCCGCGTGGAGTTCGACGACAACAACCCGTTCAGCGAGAGCTTCCAGGAGCGCGAGCGCAAGGAGCGGCTGCGGGAGCAGCAGGAGCGGCAGCGGGCGCAGCTGATGCAGGAGGTGGAGCGGCAGCGGGCGAGGCAGCGGCTGGAGCTGGGCCCGCCCGCGCCCCCCGGCCCCTTCTGCGACTTCCTGCCGCCCCCGCGGGCCCTGCCCCCGTCCCCCCAGCACCCGCCACCGCCCGGCCTGCAGGGGCCCCTGGGCTCGCCCCCGGCCCCCGCCTTCGAGCGCCGGCCCGTGGGCCCCCCGGCCTTCGCCCCGGACGCGCCGGCCGTGCCCGGCGGGGGCCCCCCCCTTCCACCCCGGGCGGCCGGCCCACGGCTACCCGCCGTGCCCCCCGAGGGCCCCGCTGCCCACCGGCCTGCCCGTCGCCACCGCCGCCGCCGCCGCCACCGTCACCGGCGTCCCGTGCGGCCAGGACCCCGCGGCCGGCCCCGGCCACGGCTACCCGGGCTCGGCGCAGGCCCTCATCCAGCTGTACGCGGACATCATCCCCGAGGAGAAGGGCAAGAAGAAAAGGACGCGCAAGAAGAGGAAGGACGAGGACGGGGAGCCCGCCAGGGGCCCGTCCACGCCGCACTCGGACACCACGGCACCGCCCACCCCGGGCCCCTCGGAGGCCGCCTCCACCCCCACCCTGAGCACGCCGGGCGAGCCGCCTCCCCCACCCGGGGACGCCGAGGCCGGGGACGCCGACACGGACAGCAAGCCGGCCAGCGCCGACCTCCTGCCCGGCCCGCCCGACCAGCGGCCGCCGCCCGGCCCCCCCGAGGCAGGGGCCCTGGCTGGGGAGGTGCCCGCCACCGCCGCCAGCGCCGAGGACGGAGTGAAAGCGGAGAGTGCCGAGTGCGAGCGGAGCCCCAGCGGGCCCAGGCCCGAAGGACCGGGGGACGGAGCCGCGGGCGAGCCCGCCCCCTCGGGGCCCAGCCCCGCCCCCACGGCCGGCAACGAGCTCCTGAAGCACCTGCTGAAGAACAAGAAGGCGGCGGCGCTGAGCGGACGGAGGCCCGACGGCCCCCCGGAGCACAGGCCCGCTGACCTGCAGCGCCCCGCCGAAAGCCTGGTAAGCGGCGGGGGCTCCCGTCCCGGGAGATGGGGCGCGGGTGCGAGCTCTGCGCTTTCCTCAGGCCCGCCCAGTGGGGGCGGTGCCGGGTGGGCTGGGGGGTGGGGGGTCTGCGCGTGGCCAGCGCCGCACACCTGCCGCCCCCGGAGCCCTTCTTCGCTGGCGCGCTTTTGGGCTGTGTCTGCGGGTGCTCGGGGGTCACTCCCGGCTCTGCACTCGGGAGGCCGCCTGGCTCTGTGTGCCAGGGCCCCAAGTCCGACCCCTTTATTAAAAAGTAATGATAACAATCACTCCTGGTGGGGCCCAGGCGCCCCTGTGTGGATGGGCCCCGGGCCGGCGCCGCACAAGGCCACAACCTCCCCCTGCCCCGTCTCTGCAGACCCTCAGCCTCTTCTTCTCTGCTTCGTTTCTCTCCGCGGGCACCAGAGTTTGGCGTCATAACTCTGTTAAGGAACTGTCATGTTTCCCGCAAATCAAAGCCGTGCGTTTGACATCCTGCTTCACCCGTGGGGGCCCCACAGGCGCCCGAGATGGTGGCCGCCCCCGACCTCGGTCTTGCTCCCCTGTGTCGTGGCTTGATGCTTGAGTTGGGCGCGGTAAGAAATCGTCAGAGGCCTCGCGCGAGGGTCGGGCCACTGGGTCGGCCGTCGCAGCTGTTCCCGGCCAGGTGCAGCGCCAGCCCGCGAGGACCCCTCTCGCGGAGGAGGCGGCCGGGACACAGTACGCAGGGCGCTGTCCGCGAGCTGAGGCTTAGGAGTGGGTGTCCTCGTGTCTCCCGTAAACCCCTGTGATTCCTCTGAGACGGAGGCGCTCGCCTGCGTGGCCTCGGTTTCCGTGCCTGCGGACTTTCCTTCCGGAGCGCCCGCCCTGTCGAGCCTTCAGGCACCGGGTTTGCCATCTGCCTCTGTCGGGGGCGTTGTCGTGCGTCTTCTCGGGGATGGCGGGCCCCCTGGAGAGCCACGGAAGGCCGGGGCGTCAGGGTTGGACAGATGGTCCCGCCGGTTCCCTCCGAGCGGAGGTTCTGGCGCCTTCACGGAGTCAGACCTTTCTTCAGGGCGTCAGGTTGGACGTTCGGATTCTCAGGGTTTAGACGGAGCAGGTGATGAGCCGTGGTGTGGGCCACGCGTGCAGTTTCAGGCGTGACGCGCCCATTGGTCTGGCGCGCGTTGGCCGAGTCTGTCTCCTCCGACCGTGGGTGGGCAGTGCGCGCGGTGGCCTTCACTCTCAGTTCAGGGGTCTGACGTTCCAGACACGTTTCTTGCCGGCGGGCCGAGGGTCAGGCCTTCCTCCTCTCCTCCTGACCCTCGTGACGTCACATCCCTTGAAAGGCCTCGGGTGCCTGGTTTGGGGGGCAGTGCCCTCCCGCCCTGTGTCCTTCCTCTTCGCCCCTTTCCGCCGTGCGGCTGCCTGTCCCGCTTCTCCTCTGACCGGTTCTCTCTGTTCGTTGGGCGTTGGGTTGGGTCTGGGGGCCACCCCCAGTGGCGTTCGGCCTTTGAGTTCTCTCTGACCCGAACCAGGGTTTTCTCTATCCTGGAAAAAAAATAAAACTGAATGAATGTGGGAGTGGGGAGTCCAGAGTGATAGCACAGTGGGAGGGCGGGGGCCCCACGTGTGACCGACCTGGGTTCGATCCCCGGCGTCCCATAGGGTCCCTGGGCGCAGAGCCAGGAGCCACCCACGAGCAGCGCCGGGTGTGACTCATAAAGCAAATGAATGAAAAATGAGAAACAGAAAAAGGGGCTCGAGAGGTAACACGGTGGTGAGGCTCTTGCATTGTACACGGCCAGACAGGGCCCGCCGACGGCCCCCTGAGCACCGCCGTGTGTGACTTAATAAGAAAAAGGGAAAAAAAAATCTGCCGTGATATGCAGCTGTTTCTCTTAGCTCAGCCGTGTGTGCGTGCAGTGGTGCAGTGACCCCGCGTAGCCCCATGACCCTGCCCCCGGCCCCTTGCTCGGCCTGCTAAGTCAGGGGAGGAGGCCTCTGGGCTGTGGTCCGGTCCAGACCCCGGCACTCTGGAAGGCTGCTGCCTCCCAGCTGACTCAGAAAAGGGGCATTTCTGGCCAGTGACTGTGTCCCCCCACCCCCAGGTTATGATGGTGCTCAGCCCCCCCACCCCACCCCCAAGTGCTGACTGCCAGTCTGCTTACCTGCCTCTGCCTTGCAGCCCTCCCGGCCCTTGGGAGATGCCACGTTTTACCCCCCTAGCCTGGCCGGAAGCGACTGCCTTCAGGGTTCCAGGGCACTGATGCCTTAAACAGTGCCCAAGCATCACTACCCAGATCCTGAAGACGGTGCCTTAAAACCCTTCTCGGGGCGCAGCCTTTTGCTCCCGGAGGCCGGCCCCTCGTCTGTCTGTCTTACTCGGCCTCCTCCCGGGCTGCACACTCCCTCGAGGTCTGTGCCTGCAGGCAGGCTCTGCCAACCCTGCGGGGGCCCCAGAGGACACAGCACCTCTGTGGGCCGGGACATTTGCACCATGTACCTTGCCCTGTCCGCACCTCGTTAGCTGCAAGGGTGGTCTGTGTTCCCGAGGCCCCTTTCCTCGACTTTGAGTCTGTCGAGTTCCCGGCCAGCTGGGTGTGCGACCCGTCCTCCACTGGTCAGCCTGAGGCTTAGCGGTTCCTCCCGGCTAAGCTGTGGGACTCTTCGGAGCTTGTAAGTTCTTTCTCTCTGTTTGTTTGGGGTGGGGGGGCTTCGCCTGACTGTGCTCAGGAATTGCTCCGGTTGGTTCTCGGGGGACGACGTGGGATGATGGGGTAGAGCCCCGGTCGGCCACACTCCCGCCCGGCTGTGCCGTCTCTAGCCGCCCCCCCCCCCCCCCCCGCAGAGTTTATGTCTTCGTCGTAGTTTTTCCTGTCCCTTCCTCCCCGCCCCCTTTCTTGGTTGGGTTTTGGGGCTGGGCATCGCACTGGCCACGTGCAAGGCAAGCGCCGGCTCGCTCTCTCTCTCTCTCTGGCCCCTCTGTTTTGTTCTCGGCCGTGCCATGCCCCTCCCGAACCCCCTGCCGCGGCGTGGCCGGCGCGGGGAGGCTGCTGCCTCCGGGCCCCAGCTCGTCAGCTCTGTGCCTGCCGCCAGCCGTGTCCCCCTCCCGGCCCCCGGTCCCTCTGCCGCCCCGCCCCGCTGGCCGGCGCTGTCGGCCGGGTGGGGCAGTGTCCGCGGCGGCCTCTCACTCTCGCCCTCTCCCGTTGCCTCAGCCGACTCTGGGGGCGCCGCTGCGAGCGGGGTTCGGATGCGGCAGCGGCCCGTTGCCCAAAGCAGATGGCGGATGCGAAAGCAGGAGACAGCGCAGCAAACGCACCCCGAGGACCGGGGAGAAGGCAGCGCCCCGCTCCAAGAGACGGAAAAAGGAGGAGGAGGAGAAGCAGGCCGTGTACCCCGGCACCGGCGGCTTCGCCCACTTGAAACAGGTGAGCGGGTGGCCCCTCGCAGCCCCTGCCCCGGGGAGGCCCGGAGGGGCGGTGCCAGGCCACCTCCCAGCAGTCTTTGGTGCCGCCAGTTTTTGAGAGAGTCGCAGGGACAGGAACCGTCTCGGGAGCCCCCTTGCAAGCAGGAGGGGCGCCCGTGACCCCTCCCCCGCCCCTTGTTGGCACCCAGGGCTTGGGGCCCAGCTGCTCCCGCAGCGGCCTCGTGCCGCGTGGTCCCGGCCCCACGGAGCAAGGATGACCCGGGTTCTCGCCAGACGCCTGCAGTGTCACTGAGCCCCAGAAGGCTCGGTAGTAGAGGGACCTCCGCCCCGCCCCCTCTGGCCCCCAGCAGTCGCTCTGGAGTTTCGAAGTGCCGTTTCCTCGGGCCTGACCTGAGGCTGAGGCTCGCCCGCGGGGCTTAGGGAAGTGGCCGGTGCCGGTGTCCTGTCCTCACTCTCGCTGTTCTCCGATAGCAGCTCTCTCTGCTCCCGCTAATGGAGCCCGTGATCGGCGTGAACTTGGCGCACTTTCTCCCCTATGGCAGTGGCCAGTTCCCCCGCGGCACTCGGCTCCTCGGGGCTTTCGGCAGCGGCACCCTTGACGGGGTCTCCGATTACTATGCTCAGTTGGTCCACAAGGTACGTGTCGCGGGCGCGCGGCCAGTCTCTGCCGCCGCCTCCGTCTCGGTAGCGCCGTGTCTCGTGTCCCGTCTCTTCTTCCAAGGGTCCTGAGCTGAGCTTTAGCGCGGCCGAGAGGCTGGAGTCCGCTAGGGGAAGCGCTTCTGACTTGAGTCTGTTTTTTTTTGTGCGGGCCAGAATGCAGGCTGTAAGACGCTTGCGCTCATTTCAGCACGTCCACGTCCACAGCTTTTGTTCACTCTTCAAGTGACTCTAAACCGATCGCGGGGAGTAAGACTGGAAATGTGCCGGGGCGTTTAGCCTGAGAAACGGAACACAATGGTTAAGAAAGCGTACTCTGTCTCACATGGTCACGTCCGGGATGGTCGTGTTAGTGCTTCGGACAGTCTTGGGACTGTCTCATTAGACAGACCTCGTCTTCCATAAAATCATCTTTCGGGCCAAGATGATAAGAACGTCAAGTGTCCCTGAGAGCGGGTCTTCGTCCCAGACTCATTCTCGCGAGGTGCCTCTGCCGGCCTCGCTCCCGTGAGGGCCTGCATCCGGCCCCGGCCGCCTGGCCTGGCCTAGGACCTGGGGGTCTGGCATCTGGGCCGTGTGTTGCACTTAGAGTCTCTCTCGCGCTGGGCCCGGCCTCCCGCAATGTGGAGTGACTCTCGGGGCTCGGGCAGGCCGTTGGGTTGCCGCGTGAGGCTGCTCTCGGCGGCTGTGAGGTCAGGAGCTGAGCCAGCGGCTCTGCTTCCCTTCAGCAAATGACTCCGAAAGGTCGTTTCCAGACCGACACATGCGTGTTTGGGCGTGTGGCGGGGAAGGCGGCCTGGAACGTGGCTGCCCTGGGTTCAGTCCCCAGCGTCCCTCCCGGTCCCCCGCGCCCCACCAGGAGTGATCCCTGAGTCCCCGAGTGCAGAGCCAGGAGTGAGTCCTGAGCACCGCCGGGTGTGGCCCAAAACCCAAATCTATTTTTAAAAGCCTCCCCCGTTTTGGGGGTGCATCTTGGGTGCCGCTGCTGCGTCTGGCTGCGTGGCCACGGCCACGCGCCCGGGTGCCGGGCACGCACAGGGCTAAGTTGTAGCAAGGTCATTGCGTGTTTGCTCAGTAGCATATAATTAAACGTTTTTTGATCTCCTGCAGCAGAATAATCTAAGTAATCCTCCAACACCCCCTGCCTCTCTTCCTCCTACACCACCACCTCCTCTGGCTTGTCAGAAGATGGCAAATGGTTTTGCGACGACTGAAGAGCTCGCGGGGAAAGCCGGTGTGCTCGCCAGCCACGAAGGTACGTGCCCCCCCCCCCCCCGAGCCTGCCCCCGGGACCCCCCGCCAGCTGCCACGTCTCGCCGCCCCCGTCCTCACCGAGCGTCTCTGGTTTTGTGCTTCCCTAGTTGCCAAAAGCCTCGGCCCGAAGCCCTTCCCGCTGCCGTTCAGGCCCCACGAGGACCCGCTGGCCAGAGCCATTGCGCAGGGCCCGAAGGCGGTCGACGTCCCGGCCTCGCTTCCGACCCCGCCCCACAACAACCAGGAGGAGCTAAGGTCAGGTTCCCTCTCCAGACTGGCCGCTTCGGGGCGCACACACTTCGGCAGTGGGTCGTGGCACCAGCTCAGTGGGGGAGGGTCTGCGCATCCTGGTGGCTGCGCTCCGGGGGAGGGGGGGTCACGGCGCTCGCGTGCCACTCTGCACGCGGGGCACGTCCTGCCTGGCCCGTGGCCGTGCTGGTGAGTGCTTGTGCTTCTGCGCTTCGGCCGGAAGCATGGCCTGTGTTCCCGCTTCCTTCACGCTCTAAAGCGTGTCAGGGTGGGGCCATTGCCCTGCTCCCCGAGTTCAATCCCTGGCATCCCACATGACCCCCTGAGCATCGCTGGGTGTGACCCAAAACGAAAAGAGGGATCGCTGAGAGCAGAGTCCTTAGGAAAACCCGCCAGGAACTGTCTCTTCGGCTCTGGCTGTATTTTGCTCCCCACTGGTGGTGCTCAGGGCTTGCTCCTGGTTCTGAGCTCAGGGGTCACTCTGGTCGGGCCCAGGGGACCACGATGAGGCGCTGTGCACTGAATCCAGGCTGGCCATATGCAAGGCAAGTCCCCGTCCCCGTCCCAGCCCCAAAATGTGCCTCTGCTTATGTGTCTACGTAGCTTATTGTCGGTCAGAACGGCATGTCAAATATGGAAGGCGGGGCAGACTGACGGGCCAACTTGCCCTGCATGCAGCCCACCCGGGTTCGATCCCCAGCGCCATCCGTGCACCACGTATGGTCCCCTGGCCCATCAGAAGTGACCCCTGAGCACTGTAAGGTGTTGCCCCCAAATGTACATTCATTTTCATTTCATCATCCTGTTATTCGTCGATTGCCTCGAGCAGGCCCCAGTAACGTCTCTTTCATCCTAGCCCTGAGATTATATTCAAGGCTCTTTAGGAGAATGAGACCCATCATTCAAATGTACATTGAAGGAACAAAATGCCTTGAACCGCGTTCCTCTCAGTGTTGCCGGGTCGTGTTTGAGTTTCTCTGTGCTATGGGCTCACTGAGCAGCGCACAAGTAGCTACAGAAGTAGGGAGACTCCTCCCTGCTAAATGTTTCAGAGACACTGAGGAGAATTCGGGGCTTAAGATTCTGGTCTTGGGGCTGGAGCGATAGCACAGCCAGGAGGGCATTTGCCTTGCACACAGCCAACCCGGGTTCGATTCCCAGCATCCCATAGGGTCCCCTGAGCACCGCCAGGAGCAATTCCTGAGCGCAGAGCCAGGAGTAACTCCTGTGCGTCGCCAGGTGTGACCCCAAAAAAAAGATTCTGGCCTTGTAGGCAGCCGAGCCTGGCTGGGTCCCTGAGCACAGCAGGATGGCCATCCCGGCCCTGCGCCATGCCTCTGGGCGGCCAGGCTGCCGCCGCCGCTGCCAAGAGGGAGCCGGAGCCCGACGTTGAGCTCCGAGTTCCCTCCTGGAGCGGGAGGACGAGGAGGAGAGTGAGTCTCCCAGATCTGGGGTCCAGGCCCGGCCATTTGAGGCTGGGAGCTGGCTGGTGGCGGCCAGCTGCCCCCTGCTGAGCCCAGCCTGCCCAAAGCAGGCGTCCTTAGCTCCCGAGGCGGGGCGGGGCCTGCCCGGTGCCGTCTGACTGACCCGTCCCAAGGCAGTGGCTGGCCGGCGCCGCCGAGCCCTTGGGGAGCTGCCCGTGTGCCCCCACGTGGCCGGGCCCCTCGCCCGGGCAGGGCCTGACATGCTGCCCGTGTTCCCCCCAGGCTGCACGATCACGGCAGCGAGCGGGACAGCCCCGACAGCTTCGTCCCCTCCTCGTCCCCCGAGAGCGTCGTGGGCGCGGAGCTGAGCAGGTTCCCCGACCTGTCCCTGGTGAAGCAGGAGCCGGTGGAGCCGGTGCCGTCGCCCATCATCCCTCTGCTCCCCAGCAGCGCCGGCAGAGGTAGGCGGGCCGGGCCCGGCGGGGGGGGGGCGCTCTCCCCGCGGCCCCCCCTCACCTCCCTCTCCCGCCCCCTCTCCACGCCGCAGACGCCAGGAGGGACGGCATCAAGGCCGAGCCGGGCACGTTCTTTTTCACGCCACCGTTCGGTGCGTCCCCCAACGGCCCCAGGTCGGGCCTGATTTCTGTAGCGATCACCCTGCATCCTACAGCTGCTGAGGTAAGGGGCGTCGTCCGCGGGCCGGGCGGGGGGAGGCAGGGGTGCGGCCGCTCCTGCTGGGCTCCCTGCAGGCCCCGGAGTGGGCTGCCGGCTCCTCTGCCCGGGCCGGGAACCAGCCTGGCCCCGGCCCCGTAGAAAATCAGTGACAAGGAGCTTTCTCGGCACCCAGAGTTCTACAGGGGCTGGGAAAATGACCCGAGGGGCCGGGCACAGGCTCGGCGTGCTCACTCTCCCCCAGACAGACAGACGGACAGACAGACAGAGCCGGAGTGCTCCCTGCTTGGCCAGAGCACTGCTGGGGAGCCCGTGCCCCGCGGCTCCGTTGCCCGGGCCCTGGGCTGACGCCGGCTCCGCCTTCCCTTCCAGAACATTAGCAGTGTTGTGGCTGCATTTTCCGACCTTCTCCACGTCCGCGTCCCTCACAGTTACGAGGTTAGTAGTGCTCCAGATGTTCCATCCGTGGGTTTGGTCAGTGGCCACAGAGTAAACCCAGGTATGGAGTATCGACAGCATTTATTTCTTCGTGGGCCTCCACCAGGACCGGCACACCCTCCCCGGTTAGCGAGCGCTTACCGGCTGAAGCCGCCTAGTGGCTCGCTGCCTCCAGCCAGCAACGGTGAGCTAGTTTCCGTCCTCCCCCACGGCCCTCGCTCCCACTCACGCTTCCTCTCTCCGGCCGCCTTGGTCCTCCTGCCGCCGCTCGTGTCCGCGGTCCGTCCTGAGGGCCCACGGCTCCCCGCGCTTCCGGCGAAGACGGCGTGGGGCGCGCCCGGCCTGGCCGGCCCCTGCCCGAGGCCCCTCCTCCGCTCTGACCCCTCCGACCCCTCCACTCCTCACCGCCCCTCCCCGCCCCCTGCTCGTCTTGTCTCTGCTCTGGGCCCCCGTGGACAGGGCCTCCCCTTCTTGCGCGTTGGACTTCCTCCTGGGAGTTTCCACTGGGCTCTGCGTCCCTCATGCCCTCGTGGCCTGTCGTGGCCGGTGCTGTCCAGCCACGCTGCCCCCGTTCTCCTCGCTGCCTCTTTGGGCCTCCCCCCTCTCTCTCTCTGACTTCTCCTGTCCTGAGACTCGCCCCTGCCTCGGCTCCTCGGTGAAACTCTGTGTTCCTTAACCCTCGAGGGGAAGCAGATGCCCCCGCCCACGCGAGACGAGACGACCCGACCGACCGCACACAGAGGGCCTGTGGCTCCCGTGGCCGTCAGACACTAACCGACAATGGTCACCTCGTGGCCATCAGATGACACTGACAGTGTTGGCAGCATGGCTGTCAGATGACATTGACCAACAGTGGTGACCATGTGGCCATCAGACACTGACCAACAGTGGTCACCTCGTGGCCGTCAGTTGACATTGACCGACAGTGTTGGCAACGTGGCTTGTCAGATGACTTTGACCGACAGTGTTGGCAGCGTGGCCGTCAGACACTGACCGACAGTGGTCACCGCGTGGCCGTCAGATGACATTGACAATGTTGGCAGCGTGGCCGTCAGACACTGACCGACAGTGGTGCCCACGTGGCTGTCAGATGACACTAACCGACAGTGGTGACCTCATGGCCATCAGACACGCTGACCGACACTGGTGGCTCCTATGACCGTCAGACACGCTGACCGACAGTGGTCACCTCGTGGCCATCAGATGACATTGACAGTGTGGCAGCGTGGCCATCAGACACTGACCGACAGTGGTGCCCACGTGGCTGTCAGATGATACTAACCAACAGCGGTGACCTCATGGCCATCAGACAACACTGACCGACAGCGTGGTCGGGTCCCTTCGGCCGTGCTAACTGCCGGCCCGTTTCTGGGCTTTCGGGGATCCGGCGTGTTTATTTGTGCGCACCCCGGTGCCAGGCACGCACGTGACGGGTGGCCTGTGACCCTTGCTGTGCAACACCCCTGAGAAGAATGACAGGGCAGACGTGCCATACTGCAGTGGGCGTGGCCGGGCGCAAGGCCTCCTGACGCCAGCCTTTGCCTCTAGGGCTTCCCGCCTGCAAGGACCCAGTGCCCGGTGCCCTGGACAGTGCGGGCCCCCGGCCCCAGTGGTGCTGCCATTGCAGAGTGGTGATCCTCGGGAGCGGGGTGCGCAAGTCCCCCCGGGACCTGACCTTCCTGAGCAAGGTGCGTGCGGCTCCCGCCCCCGGGCCAGCTGGGGGCGGGCCACAGGGCTCCGGCCGGGACCGTGTCCCGGATACGGACACTGGGTCCTTCGTGGTCTGAATAGACGCGAAGGCGCGTTGGGGGCCAGTCACTGCGGCTCTCCCAACACGCCTCCCTCTGCCGGCAGGAGGCTCGGGAAGGCGCCAGCCGGGTAGAGAAGGACGTGGTCTTTTGCAGCAACAACTGCTTTCTCCTCTATTCCTCAACTGCACAAGCACAGAACTCGGAGAGCAAGGTAGGCGCCACCACCCCCGTCCCCGCGCTGCAGCCGCGTCCCGGTCCAGATGCCCCAGGGAGCGTTGCTGCCACTCCGTCGGTCTCTGCCACGGGACTTCTCGAGCCGAGACAGGAAGCACCCCCCACCCCCGCCCTCTCTGCGGCCCTCAGGGACCCTGCTGGCTGTCCAGCACCGTGGAGGGTCCCGACCTATCTGTAGTGACCGGGTCTGGCCCCGTCTCCGCCCCTCAGCCCTGCATGTGGACCCCAGGGAGTGAGATGCTAGCCTGGCCTTGGGGCCCGGGGCCTGGGCTGACTCCCGGGCTCAAGCACGTGCGTCTCAGTGTCTGGGCAGTGGGGACAAGCCCCAGCTCTCCCCGAGCCGGGCCGAGTGGTCAGCAGTGGCCTCTGGACCATCCTGGGCAAGGCCCGACCACCAAAGATGAGAAATCCTCTCACGGGGGGGTGGCGGCCTCTGTGCAGGTGGCTGAAGGGAGCTAGGGTGCCCGTTGGGGACTCGTTTGTTCCCTGCTATGTCCTGAGAGGGAGAGGGTGGAGGCCCTTCTCTCACCCGAGCATCCCCGGGAAAGCGGGGACGGAGCCAAGGGCCCGAGGCGGGCTTCCGGGGGGCTGTGCTTTGCTGGGGTGCCTACCGACCTCCGCCACGCCCCGGAGCCGGCTCCGTCAGGCTGTGGGGCGCTCCAGCCTCGGTTCTGTTGGCACTAATCACTGGGGCACTTGGCACCCAGCCTCTCGGCGGCGGCTGCCCAGGGAAAGCTCCGGCTTGGGCCAGCGCCGGCTGTCTGTCTCTGAGCACTGCGGGAGCAAGTTGCTCCCGGGTTCATGTTTTGGTGCTCTTCGTGCAGGGGGCAGCCCTGGAATCAGCCCCTGAGCACTGCCAGAGCGAGTCACCCCTGGGTTCATATGTCAGTGCTCTTCGTGTAGGGGGCAGCCCTGGGATTGGCCCCCGAGCACTGCAGGAGCGAGTCCCCACACACACACACACACACCCCGGGCTCACGAGTCCGCGCTCTCCGTGCAGGCCGGCAGCCCGCTGCTCCCGCCATCGCCGCTGCGGGAGGCCCCGGCCCGGTCCTGCCACCGCTACAGCGCCCACGTCTCGGCCCTGGACGTGCACTGTCTCCCGCGGCTCCCGGCCAGCGCCTCGCCGCCCGCCTCGCCGCCCCTCGCCTTCCCGCCGGCCTTCCAGGCGGCCCGCGTGGAGGCCAAGCCCGACGAGCTGAAGGTGACGGTGAAGCTGAAGCCGCGCCTGCGGGCCGTGCCGGGCCTGGACGACTGCCGGCCGCTGAGCAAGCGCTGGCGCGGCCTGAAGTGGCGCAAGTGGAGCCTGCACATCGTCATCCCCAAGGGCTCGTTCACGCCGCCCGGCGAGGAGGAGATCGACGCCTTCCTGCAGCGGCTGGGCGCCTCGCTCAAGCCCGACCCCGCGCCCCGCGACCACCGCAAGTGCTGCTTCTGCCACGAGGAGGGCGACGGGCTGACGGACGGGCCCGCGCGGCTGCTCAACCTGGACCTGGACCTGTGGGTGCACCTCAACTGCGCGCTCTGGTCCACGGAGGTGTACGAGACGCAGGCGGGCGCCCTCATGAACGTGGAGCTGGCGCTGCGGCGCGGCCTCCAGATGCGCTGCGTCTGCTGCCACCGCACGGGCGCCACCAGCGGCTGCCACCGCTTCCGCTGCGCCAACGTCTACCACTTCACCTGCGCGCTCAAGGCCCAGTGCATGTTCTTCAAGGACAAGACGATGCTGTGCCCGGCGCACCGGCCCAAGGGCGTGCACGAGCAGGAGCTGAGCCACTTCGCCGTCTTCCGGCGCGTGTACGTGCAGCGCGACGAGGTCCGCCAGGTGGCCAGCGTGGTGCAGCGCGGGGAGCGCGAGCACACCTTCCGCGTGGGCAGCCTCATCTTCCACGCCATCGGGCAGCTGCTGCCGCAGCACATGCCGGCCTTCCACTCGCCCAAGGCGCTCTTCCCCGTGGGCTACGAGGCCAGCCGCCTGTACTGGAGCACGCGCCACGCGCACCGCCGCTGCCGCTACCTCTGCTCCATCGAGGAGAAGGACGGCCGGCCCGTCTTCGTCATCCGCGTGCTGGAGCAGGGCCACGAGGACCTCGTGCTCAGCGACAGCTCGCCCAAAGGTGCGGGCCGCGGGCGGGCCGTGGGGGGGCGGGGGGCAGGGCCCCGGGGTCACCGCCTCCCCCGCGGTCTCGGCACGAGGGCGTTTAAAAGCCCTCGTCGACCAGTGGAGAGTCGGTGGGCGTGAACCCCGCGCCATGGGGGCTGGGGGGCGCTCCCTGCGGTTCCCCAGCTCCGCCAGCAGTGGCCGCCGGGGACCGCCAGGTGTGGCCCCCAGACAGAAGTTGAAAGGGAGCCGTGAGGTGTTAGTTCTTGTATGCATTTCGCGGCACCCAAAGCTCTCTCCCGCTTCTCCTGTTTGATGTCCTTTTCAAATAGTGGCGGCAGCTGCCCCGGCCGCGGTTGGGGGCACGAGGGCCAGGCCCGGCGGTGCCGTAGGGACCGTGTCGCACTGGGTCACCAGGCGGCCGCACACAGAGCGCATTCTTCCCGCCCTGGTGTCCAGCGCCGCGTTACTGCCTGTACCAAACCGGAGGGCCTGTGGCCTGCCCCTTTGCAGGCTGCGCTCAGACCTGGGGTCTTCGCTCTGGGTCAGGGGCTTAGGGCGGGATGGGGGCGCCATCGGCTGTTTGGGGACCACCAGGTCCGTGCCTGTGGGGCGGGTCCTTGGAGGGCTGGGGGTGGCACTCAGGGCTGCCTTGTGCCTGCACTGTCCACTGCAGCCCCGGGAGCTGCCCCCGACCCCTGTCCTGCTCTCCCGGCACTGAACCTCGTTGGCCCCTCGAGCTTAGCCAAGTCAGAGGCAGACGCCAAGGAGGGATCGGGAGGGAGCAGAGGCGCCCGCCGCACCCCCGGACAGCCTGACAGCCCCGTGTGCTCGCAGGCGTCTGGGACAAGATTCTGGAGCCCGTGGCGTCTGTGCGGAAGCACTCGGAGATGCTGCAGCTGTTTCCCGCCTACCTCAAAGGGGAGGACCTCTTCGGCCTGACCGTGTCCGCGGTGGCCCGGATCGCGGAGTCGGTGAGTTCCGACCAGCGTGCTTGCGAGGGGCAGGCCTGTGGCCCCCGGCGTGTGCCTGGCCCTGCTGTCCAAGGGTGGAGGGGCCCAGCCCTGCCCAGCCATGAGGGCGGAGGGTCCTGGCCATCCCGTGAGACGACAAGAAGCATTTGACAGAACCTGGCCTTTGGCAGAGTGCGAGTGTGGGGCCTTTCCACAGGACTAGGGACTAGGAAGGCGGTCTGGCCCAACGTGCCCTTGGCCGGGCCGCCTCAGCCACACAGCTGCCTGGGGCCGCCCGAAACTGCCGGGAAATGAGTGTCCGTCCCCCGTCCCCGTCTCCGTGGTCCGTGGGTGCTCAGTTTGCAGACCTCTTACATGCCCGGGGCTGCAGAGAAACTTCTCGAGAGCAGGGGGTAGGGCGTGGAAGCCAGTGGGCTGCGCCCTCAGCCTTCTCGGTGCCCCTGGCCGTGGGCAGGACACCACGGGCCCTGCCAGAGGGTCCCCCACCCAAAGAGGAGCCAGGGACTGTCCTCCCACCCTCAGCATGCGGGCACCTTGGACTGTCCACCCACCCCGAGCGTGTGGGCCTCTTGGGCACCATCTGGCCGCCCCAGTGACCCCGTGCTCAGGGTCTGCGTGTGTCAGGGATGAGGGGGGCAGGGTCTGCACAGGACACGCCCGACCCCCTCCCTGTCCCTCTGATGTGTCAGTGTGACGAGGGGAAGGTGCAGGTGGGGGTTTCCTGCATCGTCCTGGGACGGAGCCCAGGCCTCCCACGAGCAGGGCAGGTGCCGTCCCCGAGCTGTGCACGCACACATGTGCACTCACACATGCACACGCACCCACACGCATGCACATATACCCATGTGCGTGTGCGCCTGCGCGCACACACGCACCCAGCAGAATCCACCTCTTCGCGGGGCGGTGCCCCCAGACCTGTCCGTAAAACTCCTCCTGGCAGTGGGCCGGGGGCTGAAGCGCGCGCAGGGCCCCGCGGCTGACCCCGTCCGTCCGTCCGTCTGTCTGCCCCAGCTGCCGGGCGTGGAGGCGTGTGAGAACTACACCTTCCGCTATGGCCGGAACCCGCTCATGGAGCTGCCACTCGCCGTGAACCCCACGGGCTGCGCCCGCTCGGAGCCCAAGATGAGCGCCCACGTCAAGAGGTTCGTGTTAAGGTATTCTGCCTCACCTCCCGCAGCGGAGGCTCTGCCCCACCCGGCCGCGCCCACCCGCCGCCCCGGGGCCTTCAGGGTCGCTCTGTCTCCCCGCCCTCCGCTGCCACAGGCCGCACACGCTCAACAGCACCAGCACCTCCAAGTCCTTCCAGAGCACCGTCACCGGGGAGCTGAGCGCGCCCTACAGCAAGCAGTTCGTGCACTCCAAGTCGTCGCAGTATCGCAGGATGAAGAGCGAGTGGAAGTCCAACGTGTACCTGGCCCGCTCGCGCATCCAGGTGAGCCAGGAGTGGCCGCGGGGGTGACCGCGGGCGCTTTCCGGGACAGCCGGCGTCGCGGGCTTCTGTTTGTCGTCAGCAAAGACAGTTTAGTGTCTGGGGGGGGCACCGCGAGAGGCTCCTGCATGTCAGGCCACCCATGTCCACCCTCCCCGTCCACTCTGAGCCTGACCCGTGTCCACCCTCCCCGTCCACTCCGAGCCTGACCCGTGTCCACCTTCAATGTCCTGACCCGTGTCCACCCTCCCCGTCCACTCCGAGCCTGACCCGTGTCCACCTTCAATGTCCTGACCCGTGTCCACCTTCGATGTCCTGACCCGTGTCCACCCTCCCCGTCCACTCTGAGCCTGACCCGTGTCCACCTTCGATGTCTTGACCCGTGTCCACCCTCCCCGTCCACTCTGAGCCAGACCCGTGTCCACCTTCGATGTCTTGACTCATGTCCACCTCCTCGTCCACTCCGAGCCTGACCTATGTTCACCTTCTTGTCCAGTGAAGGGCCTGGGCATTGCCCGCAGGCATGGGCGTGACCCGCCGGCCCTCGGTGGGGAATAGTCCCTGGACTGTGACGTGACACTCACCGTGACATGACAGTGACACTGGCTCTCCCGCCTCTGCACAGAGTGGTGCTGCCCACCACTGGGCCATGTGCCCGAGGGCTGCTCTCTGGCCGCCCCAGGGTGCAGCTGAGGGGAACCGCCCCCCCCCCCATGCCTCCAGCTCTCCTGCGAGTGGGCTTTGCCCTCCTCCCCTGCACGTGGGCCCCAGCCTGCGTGTGATGCGGTCACTGCCCACGGGGTTGTGTCCCCGCGTGTCTCAGTAGCTGCTGACACGGAAACGTGTGCCCATATTGAAGTGTGCTTTCCTTTTTTGTTTGTTTTGGGTCACACCTGGCAACGCACAGGGATTACTCCTGTCTCTGCACTCAGGAGTTTATTCCTGGCGGTGCTCAGGGGACCCTATGGGATGCTGGGAATCGAACCCGGGTCGGCCACATGCAAGGCAAACGCCCTACCTGCTGTGCTCTCTCTCCAGTCCCTTGAAGTGTACTTAAATAGTCCATTTGAACATTGTCCCCTCCTTTGGGGCCGGAAAGATAGCCCAGTGGGTGGAGCACTTCCTTTGCACCTTGGACCCCCACCAGGGCCCCCGAGCCCCAGATCTAAGTTACTCGGAGTAACGGCTCCCTCAGAAGCCACTCAGGTGTGGGGGATGGTGGGGGGGATCACACCCACACTCTCCTGCCCGCAGGGACTGGGCCTCTATGCGGCCCGGGACATCGAGAAGCACACGATGGTCATCGAGTACATCGGGACCATCATCCGCAACGAGGTGGCCAACCGGAAGGAGAAGCTCTATGAGTCTCAGGCAAGTGCCTCCCGGCTGAGCTGGGGGTGGGGGGCAGTGTCAGCACCCTGGGGGGAGGGGTTGGGGTCAGTGCCGGGAGGCCTTTTCCCTCCCCGGGCGCCCGTGACCTGTGACCCGTCTTCCCTCGCAGAACCGGGGCGTGTACATGTTTCGCATGGATAACGACCACGTGATCGACGCCACCCTCACCGGGGGGCCTGCCAGGTAAGCGGGGCCCGGGGGGCTCGCAGCGGGCCGGCGCGTGTTCCCCCCGTGCCGGGGGCCGGGGCCTGGCCCGGGCTCCAGCAGCGTCTGCCGTGGTGTTGCAGGTACATCAACCACTCGTGTGCGCCCAACTGCGTGGCGGAGGTGGTGACCTTCGAGAGAGGCCACAAGATCATCATCAGCTCCAACCGCAGGATCCAGAAAGGAGAGGAGGTGAGCGGGCTCAGCGGGTGTGGGGCCTCCCCGAGGCGCTCCGGGACCTTCCCCGCGGCCGGGCAGGGCCGTGCTGACCTCGCGGTCAGCATTTTGTTTTATTTTTAATTATTTTTTTATTTTGGGGGACTTTGGGGGGAGGGGTCAACACCCGGCGATGCTCAAGAATTACTCCTGGCAGTGCTCAGGGGACCCTATGGGATGCCAGGGATCGAACCCGGGCCGGCCGCGTGCCAGGCAAACGCCTTCCCTGCTGTGCTATGGCTCCGGCCCCCGGCCATCGTTTTGGAATGCCGCAGGTTGCCCGGGTTACCCAGAACGCCACAGTGCTCTAGGCTCAGCGGTGCCCACTATGGTCTCTTTCGTTTCCTTCGGGCCTGGGGGTGTAGCTCTTGTCCCTGAGTGTCCCCGGGCACGGCCCGAGGCTGGTCGGGGTCCAGTCCAGAGTGCTGGGGCCCCCCGGGTGGAGCTGTCCCCGGGCCTGCCCACGGACGGGAGGGGTGAAGGTGGCCCGGCCCGGCCTGGCCCGGCCTGGCCCAGCTGACCCCGTCTCCCCGGCAGCTCTGCTACGACTACAAGTTCGACTTCGAGGACGACCAGCACAAGATCCCGTGCCACTGTGGCGCCGTGAACTGCCGCAAGTGGATGAACTGAGCCCGGCCCCAGGAGGGGTGGTTTTCCGCTGCAGAACTTTCTGGGAACGAGCTTCCGGAGCTCTGGTCTCTCGGCCTTCGCCTCTCCGTGAGCACCGCCCCAGGAGGCCGGAGGCCGTGGCCCCGCGTCCTGCGGCCAGGCGAGCCCAGGGCGGTCCAGCACTTTTTGTTTCTTTTTCTTTCTTTGGTCTTTGTGGGTGGGTTTCGTTTGTCTAGTCTCACTGAGGAGAAACTGATACTGGGGCAGGAGCCGACGGCTGCCCTGCCCGGGCGGGGAGGGCCTTCCGATGAATGTAAGACTGAATCACCAGCGAGGGGCACCCCGAGAGCTGGCCACGGCCTCGAGACGGTTGGACTCACGTAGACGCCACTGAAGCAGGAATGTACGGACGCCCCTTAGGGCGGGAGCTAAGGGATAACTTGCACTAAACACACTTAAATACTTGATTCCATGAGTCAGTTTATTGTAGTTTTTGATTTCTGTAAAATAAGAGAAACCTTTTGTATTTATTATTGAATAAGTGAATGAAGCTATTTTTAAATAAAAGTTAGAAGAAAGCCAAGCTGCTGCTGTTACCGCAGAACTAACAAACCCTGTTCCTTTGTACAAATGTAAATATTTTGAGAAGAGTTACAGTATAAAGATAGTTATTGACCAAATGCTACCAGGCTCCGCAGCAGCTCGGGTGCTTACACAATGTCCATAGGGATGTTACAATATAATTTTTGTGTTCCTAAATATGCCATTATAATGATGTAACAACCAAATTTCCGACCTGGAGTGTTTGGGACTTTTTGGAATGGAAGGTTTCTTAGTACTTAGCTGTTTTATACGCCTTCCTTCCGCCGGGACGCAGCGTGTGCTCTGACTACCACTTTTCTAGCTGTTTTGGTAATTTAAAACTAATTTTTTCATATGACATTGTTGCATCCCTACTTCTTCAGTCAGGTTTTTTGTGCTTACAATTTGTGATAACTGTGAATAACTGCTTACAAATACACCCAAATGGAGGCTGAATTTTTCTTCAGCAGAAGTAGTTTTGATTAGAACTTGGTTCGCCACCGAGAATCATGTAGACACGCAGGACGACGGTGCGGGGGCTGGCCGGGCCCCTCCCCGCGCGCGCCTCGGCGGGCTGGGGCGGGCCGCGCGGCAGCCCGGGGGCTTGGGGACGATGTGATTTTAAACGTGTTTGTATGAACTGTTTGTTTACATTTCTTTAATAAAAGAACACACTGTTTTGTGTTTGCTCGTAGAGATTTAATCCACCTTTGGAACCAGTTAGCTTTTTATTTCGTACTGACAATTCCGGTACTGACACTTCCCGGGCTGAGTCGAAGGGGGTTTCACCGTGCGCGCGATCCCAGGGGGCCGAGAGCCGTGGGCGGCCCCGTCGCGCGGTTCCGAGCCTGTAATGTCCATGGCATGATGTATTTTTATCGGGCAGAATAAATCGATTGTATATATTTTTCTCTGGATAAATAGCTGTATGAGATTTGTTTCTTGGATATTTTTCTTCTCTTGTACAATATTCGACATCCTGCCAGTATTTGTCCCCCCGGGTCTCTGGTTCGTTCTGTTTTCTGTTCTGTATCATAGTATCTAATGTTGGCAAAATTGAATTTTTTGAAGTATACAGAGTGTTATGGGTTTTGGAATTTGTGGACACAGATTTAGAAGATCACCATTTACAAATAAAATATTTTACATCTACGACAGTGCCCGAGTCTGTGCTGGCCCCGGTCAGGCCGCGGGGCGCCACCCCCCACCCCGCAGCGCCCCTCGCGGGATTCTCGGGCTCCGATCCCCTGCCCCCTCCGCCCCTCCAGGGACCATCGTGCGAGGCTGGGCTGCGGCTGGGCCCCGGAGCACACGAGGCTCATCCTTGTCCACCCCAGAGTGTCCGACGCTCCGTCTCCAGTGCTCCCTTCTCTCCTCCAGAGTTGGCGTGGCTGTGAGCAGGGGCCAAGGCTGCGGTCCCGACTCGCCGTCGGTGGGGTGCGGGAGGCTCGGACCCCCTTCGTCCGCCAGGCCCCGAGGCTGGTCCCCACCGCCCGGCCGGGCTTGGGGGCGTCTGACTCAGGAGATTTCGCTCCTTGGTCCAGGGAACCCTCCGGGGCTGAGTGGCTGTTGGGGCGACGCTGTGGGGGAGGGTCTTGCACCGCACCTTCCCGGGCAGCTGAGGGTGTGTCTCGGCTCCGCACGTTTCCCGGGTGCAGCTGGGCCTCACTCCTGAGTGCTCGGCGCGGGCAGTGGCACCTGGTTTCCGCTGGCCCTGAGCCTGTGGTCCCTAGCTCGGGGGGTGAGGTCCCCTCGCCTCCTGGGCTCTGCTGCCCCCAAGCTCCCTGGGGCACTCGTCCCTGCAGGCCCCCGGGCCCCTCTGCCCCACACCTTGGGGCAGCCCGCAGACCCTCGTGGTTTTGCTCGAGGCGGAGACAGCGGCGGGGCGGGTGCTTCCCTTGAAAGCAGCTGACCCACATTCACTCCCGGCGTCCCTAGGGCCCCATAAGCACAGCTGTGTGAGCCCAAGAGCAGGAACAGGAAGTCGACTTCCTCCGGCCATCGCCGTGGTCAGGCCACGGCCGCTCAGGTCCCTGTTCTGGGCCCAGTGAGGGCTGCAGCGGTCGCCGTGACCGGCTCCAGGAACTGCCCTTCGTGTCCACATGGCTGAGGTGTTGTGAACGGCCTGGACGGACCAGGCCATCTGCTGGTAAGGCTGTGGGGACCAGGCCTCTCTGTCCCCGGGCTCCAGGGCCTGCAGTGTCCAGTGCTCTCATCAGGGGCAGCAGCTCCCCAGGGGGCGGTGGGCGTGGTGCGACCCCCCAAATCCCTGATTAGTTCTGAAGCCATCTGTGCAGACGCTGGCCGGACAAGGTGTTGTGTTTTGGGGTTTTTCTGTTTGTTTGTTTTTTGTTTTCCTTGGGCCACCCCTGGGGATTTTTCCTGGTTTAATGCTGAGGAGTTGCCGAGGCAGTGTCGGAGCTACCAGGGGGGACATTGGTTCTAAGACTTGAGTCCACTGCCGCTGAGCCACCCTACCTCGGGGAGACAGCTGAAAACTAAAAGTCGCAGCTTTAAAACTACAAATCCAAGTTGCTCGGTGGTGAGCGTCAGGCTGCTGACGGCAGATTCCGAAGCAGAACCGGACGATCTGCTTCCTTCCTCCAGCCGTGTGAGCCCAAGAGCAGGAACAGGAAGTCGACTGTCCTCCGGCCATCGCGGTGGTCAGGCTGTAGGATAACACTCCTTTGTCCTTCCTCAGGTAGCTTAGGTTTGTCAGGTCACACCCATCTAAGGACACTGAACTTGTAAGCAATGTCCTTTCTGTGTGGACACAGGAAGACAGTTAATATTATGCTTTGTAACTTGGGAGTTGATTGACTCCGAATAATATTTACTCCTGGACATCTGATTTCTTGACTCAGTTGCCCTTAGTTCCTAGCACCCGAAAAGCAGGGTCCTGACGAGGGACTGAATGGACCCAGGGCAAGCGGTGAGCTACCCTGGCATCGAAATGGGCCAGGCCAAAGAGCCACGGTACTCAACTATAAGTTGAGGGCATGATCATGGACAAATGCTGTCATGATCCAAAAGTAAGTAACGACGAGACTAGGACCCTGCTGGAGCTAGGAAGATTAACCTGGCCTGAGGACTGCGGAATGTATAGTGAGATGTTCTCAGGAAGAACCAAACTAAATTTATATCTCTTACTGTGCTCACACAGAATGACATTGCTAGAAATATTAGAAGTAGATTTATTACAACTGTTTAAGTAAATTACTAACTGAGGGAAGAGCACACCCTTGTTGGGATCCCACCCTTGAGCGGATCTCCTAGTAATCTGAAGTAATCTCTGTAGATGAGATTTTATCCTTGAGTCAATCTCCTGGAGGAGTGGTCTTACCTCTCTTCGTTGATTCGTCAGTATTCAACCCACCTTTATGTCACCGCCTTATGTGACTGCTATATAAACTAAGATGTAAGCTTGGAAAAGGGGTCAGAAGTGAGAGAGCTCGGGCTCCAGAGATCCAGAGTCAGAGCCAGAAGGAGAGAGCTTCCAAGACTGGGGCCCAGGAGAGAAGGAGGCAGAGAAAGACAGGAGTGAAGAAGATTGGAATAAACTACTATTGATATAGAGCGGCCTGGCCCTCGTTTCTTCTTCTGTCTGCCCTTGGCCAATAGCCGTTCCGATCCAGGCCACACACAGCGGCTCAAGAGCACCGAACGCAGGCGGTGAGACAGTACCATCCAGTGAGCCCGTGAACACACAACCATCGGCGTGATAAGATTTTACAGTCAGGCCGCGGCCGCTCAGGTGCCCGCTCTGGGCCCAGTGAGGGCTGCAGCGGCCACTGTGACCGGCTCCAGGGACTGCCCTTCGTGTCCTTCGGAGAACCGCCCGTTGCAGGCTGCTGCGTCCGGGGCATGAAGTGGGTTGTAAACACCCGGGATGTTTTTCAAGACTGTTTCTTGGAGCAGTGTTGAGTCTCCCACTAGGAGCTTGGGGACACCTGCAGCCCCCTCTCCAGCTGCTCTCCCCCCCAACCCAAGGCACCCGGCAGTGACACTCCACAGCTCAGGCTAAAAGCCCGAGCCCAGCTCTCCACGCAGGAGCTGTGGTCCTAGGGCTGCTCTGTGTGGTCAGTGTGGGGCCTGTCCTCCCCCGCAGGCGCTGGCCTTTCCCAGAGTGCAGTGGGAACCACACAGCCCCAGCACCACACGGCTGACTACTTCCGCGCTGCATGCAGTTCTCCCCGTCTGTAACTTTTCTTGGTTTTGCCGTGCTCGGCCGCAGGGCCAAGTCATGTGTGTGTTTGAGGCCCCAGCCACGGCCGAGCCTTGTCCTAGGGGCCTGCAGGCCGCCCCTCCCTCCCCTGGCTGGTGACGGGCTGCACAGCCTTGGCTGGCTCAGACAGTGCCTGCTCGGGGCTGGGGCTCAGTTCTCACCAGGGGGGTGCTGGGTGCCCACGCCTGTGCCCGCAGGGTCACATTTCCTGCCCCCCCCCCCCCCCCGATGCATTGCAAACAATGTTTGCAAGGCAGGTGCTTTGACCAGAGAGCGATCTCCCAGTCCTGCCCTGTTTCCTTGACGTTTCATGGCTCAGGTGTTAGCACCAGCACCTAATACTGGCGGCTCACGCTTGGATGCGGCTTAATTAACAAACGGCTCAGCTGGGCTGCTCACCGCCCCGTTGCCCTCCGGAAGGCAGTGGGGCCGCCATCTCCAGGGCTGGGCTCTCGGGAAAATCTTCTGTAAACTCGGGTGTGCGTGTGGTGGGTGCGACTCAATTCCTTGGTCTGATGGACGGCAGGTCACAGCTGGGATGGGGCAGCTGCCTGATGGCCACAGGCTGAGTCCCACCAGGGCTGTTCAGGTCCGAGGTCGATAATCTCCCCTCTCTGAACCACACACAGAGTCCAGCCAGTGATGCAAAACACAAGCGGAGTTTATTCAGGCCAGCTAGCTGGGGTCAAGCTCTCAGGCCAGGGCAAGACCTGAGCAAGTGGAAATGTTTCAGGTTTTAGAGTCAGTGCTTACGTCATAGCCCGCGGTTACAAAGAAAAGCCTAAGTAAAAAAAAAAAAATGCAAGTTTCATGATTCAAAAGGAAACATAATTTCAGACAGTACAGACAGTTTCCGATGGGTCATCTGGGCATGTTCCAGGACGTTCTGGTGGCTACCCCCCCCCCTGCCCACGTCTAGGTGGCCTCCATAGATAGCAGTTGTGAAACTTTTTGCCAAGGCCGAGTTTTCAGCCCAGATGTCCTTCCTTGACAATGGACAGAAAAGGGGGAGGGGGGCGGGGGCAGATCGGGGTTTCAAGAAAACAAGACACCGATCAAAGCAGGCAACATGGAGCTGTTCTTCGGCCGCTCTGTCCACCAAGGCCAGGCTCCGGTGCCTCGGCCATCCGCCCCCAGTCAAGCTGCCCTTTCCGCCCGGGATGTTTAATCCAGCTCACTTGCCCTTGGCTTTTGGGTCACCGATTTCCCGTTTCCACGTTCCATCTCGGTGCCTGCATTGAGCGTTTGTTCTGTCGTGGTGGAGGAAGGTACCTGCCACCTGAGCTCGTGTCCAGGGCCCCGGGCTCCGGGCCGTGGCACTCACAGAACTTTGAAGAACTGTTCCGGGCTTCTTCTCTGAATCCCAGTGTCCGGACACCTCCTGGAGACTGAGCAGGCTCGCCATTGTGGTTATTACTTGGGGACGGGGCGGGGGCAGGTGTGGGGTCCCGCAGGAGCCGGCGCCCACCGTGTGGCTCTCTCTGACCACAGGGCCTTTCCTCCTGCTTTTTGTTCTGTCCTACCACTTCGAACGTCTTGAGTTTGTAGGAGTTTGAGCTGTGCTTCGTGTCCTGGAACTTGATCTATCCGGGTGAGTTTCCCGCGTCCTCGGGCTGGTCTGTGGCTGCCGCTGCCCCGTGCGCCCGCAGGATGCTGAGCCTGTTTCCTAGCCACTGGGCGGCCGGCAGCGTCTCCCCGGCAGCGCGGGTGGTTGTGAAGTTGTGCTGGAATACGACTGTGCGGACTTCAGCCCCCTCACTCGTGAACAGGCCGCCCACCGTGAGGCGCACACGTGATCCTTGTGGTGCTGCACACGTGTATCTCACGACCCCGCGGGCCTGGCGGTGCCCCCACGTGTATTTCTTTACCCTCCCCTTCCCTGTTTCCCATCCAGCGTCTCGTTCCCGCTCCCTAAGCAAACCGTCTGATGTGCTGCCGCTGACTTTAACCTACCATCGGCCTTGGGGCTAGTCAGGCCGGAACGTTCTCCAGCACGCGGCCGGCACAGTGGCGCTTAGCCAGACGGCGTTGGGGTCACAGGAACTGCAAGAGCAGCCGGGAATGACGCTCGCTCTGGCTTGCGCTCCCGCCGGGGTCTAATTCTGTGGGGGAAACAGCCCTTCGTGTTTGGGCATTCAGTCTAGACCCGCGTCTACCATCATGGGTGGGCGCTAACACTCGGGGGCAAGTTCAGTAGTTCATCGGGAGCAGGATGGGGTCGGGGGAAGACGCGGGGAGGTGGCTTCGGGCTGTGCGGAGTTGCGGTCCAATCCCTGGCCGCGAGGCGGGGCCGAGCAGCTGAGAGCCGTGGGGACGGGGCGCGGTCGGGCACCCCAGCCGCCCTGCACGGGCACTCACGCTCTGCAGAGCAGAGGTGAGACGAGACGAGAGAGAAGCAACCAAGAGAGCCTGGGTAAGTAATCAAAAGGATCCTTTATTTCTAATGTAGATAGTACCGTAGCTCATCAAAATAATTTATAATAGTTAACTGACTCTTAAATATATAAATGATGCTTCTGAGGTTAAAAGTACTAAGGATTCATTTCATTTAAAACGGCCCGTCTGGCGCCTTCTCGGGACGGCTGAGACCCAAACAGGCTGTGAGCGAGGCGGTTCCAAGCGTCTGTCCCCGTGGTCAAGCCCCCCAGGCGCGTCCCCCTCCGGTCACGCTCAGCCTTCCAGGTGCCACTGCTGCGGGGAGCTGCCGTCGCAGATGGCCATGGCGACAGAGCCCTTGCGGCCCTGCGGGCCCAGCCCTCTCAGGCACTGTCCGAAGGACACCTGGTACAGCCGGTGGTTCTTCTGCGGGGGGGGGGGGGGGCGAGAGGGGGACGGTCACTGTCATTCCAAAGTCGTCAGGATGTGGCAACAGAAAGCCGAGGGGCCCGGAGCACTCGGGCTCTGGGCGGGCTGACGGCCACCGCCAACTGCGGGCGGTCTGGGCCCCCCCGCCCCCGGGCCCACCGCTCACCCCGAAAGTCCACTGCTGAGACCCGCCAGCCCCGTGGCACTTCATGAGCCGCGGCGGGTCCGACGAGCGGGTCTCGGGCATGTCCAGGCACAGGAGGTTGTTCAGCAGCAGCTCGTGCTCCTCACTGTACACCCAGACCTGGGGGCGAGGCGTGGGGGCGCCCGGTGACTCGGGGAGCGGCCCAGGCCGGCTCCGAGTTCCGACACGCCTGGGGGCCGAGCTGCGCGTCCCGCGTCTGCCTGGGGTGCTGGGCTCAGTACCAGGGGCTTCCTGGAGCAGCGCGAGTGGTGCTGCGGCGGGCCCCACGGGAAGGCGCCTCGGTCTGAGTCCAGGCAGCGCCACAGCCACAGCCCGGCAGGGCCACGGAGGACGGTCTGCCCGGCGGGAGAGGCCGGGCAAGCCCCTACGGCCCTTTCTGGAACCAGCGCCTGGGACCTTGGCCACCGAGGCCGGCGACACCGCTGACGCCTCCCGGGTGGTAAAGCGCATCCTCCCGGGAAGGCCCGTGGCGCGTGCTGCCCTCCACGCCCGTCTCCCGTGACTCTTCAGCTGGGGGCTGCTCTGCGCCCACGGTTTCCCCAGGCAGAAACGGACCTTAAAGGGCACTTCCTGCTCGTCCTCAGGGCCCCGGGGCGGCCACGGGAGGCAGGCACCCACCTGGCTGGGGTCGGCGTAGTCGCAGGCCTTGAGCACCACGAGGCCCCCCTTCTGGCTCGGGTGGCCCTGGGCCACGAGACACAGGCTGGTCTGCAGGTGACGGAGCTGCGGAGGAGAGAGTGAGAGGCGCCCGCGCCAGAACCCACCCGAAGGGGCCGCGGGGTGCCTGACGGTCCAGGCAGGGCATCCTGAAGCTGCGTTCGTCCCGTGGACACTACCCCCGGGGCGGGGGTCTCTCCCCGAATACCCGAGTGCCCAGCCAAGAGGAGCCGGAAGTGAAGTAAACGCTAAAAGGCGTCACTGGGCCGGAGGCTGGCACAGTGGGGGCTTACGGCCTCGCGTGGGACTGACCCTGGCCCAGTCCCTGGCCCAATACTGACACCCCCAAAACAACACAGAACTCCAGGGCCAGAGAGGAAGACAGGGCCGAGGGCTCAAGTGCTGCACCACAGGGTTGCCCCCCAGAACCAACCAGGCAGCCCGAGTTACGGTGACGGAAGTGCAGCTTCCGCCAGCGATCAGCGCCTCGTCGGGCAAAGACCACCAAAGAACAACTGCACCAGAGCGCTGGGCGGGAGACGCCCCCAGGCCTGTCTGGGCCAATCCCAACACCCGGTCACGGGACAACGAAGGCCAGTCCGGAAAGTTACTTAGGAAAGCTCGTTTTTCTTACCAGATCCTTAGAAAGGAGAAATTCTTCCAGAAACAAAAGGAAAGGCAAGTGCTTGGCCACTGAGGCACCTGGAACCTTCACCCCAGCACCCCTCCAGGGGGGGTCTCCTCACCCCAGGGCCCCTCCCAGGGGTCTCCTCACTCCAGAACCCTCTCCCGGGAGGTCTCTCCAACCCAGCAGCCCCTCCTGGGGGGTCTCCTCACCCCAAGGCCCTCTCCCAGGGTCTCCTCACCCCAGCACCCCCTTCCAGGGGTCTCTCCACCCCAGGGCCCCTCCCAGGGGTCTCCTTCCAGAGGTGACACGCCAGCACCCATTCTTAAAGAGGCCGTGGCCCCCACCGCCCCCATAAGGACACCCCCTCCCAGTGAGGCGTGCAAACCCCACGGGCACAGGAAGGGCACTGGCCGTGCGTGCTGCTCCCGGCCCAAGCCAGAGAAGTGCCCAAGCACCGCAGGGTGTGCCCCGCCCCCGCCCCCAGCCCCCCCAGGACATGGCAAGCACATCAAGGCCTCACACAGACCTCAGGGAACTGGCCAAGGCCCGCGGGTCCGTCTTACCCGCCCGCGCTGAAGGGCTTTGGGGCGCTTGGCTCCTCTGTTGATGAAGAGGGGCTGCTGTGGCTTGGCGTTGGGCCCTGCGATCTGCATCTCCGGGTAGACGTTGTCCAAGTACCACTTGAAGGATTTGCAGCCCAACCTCTTCCTCAGCTCTACACGCTCGCTGATGTTCCCGTAGGTTTTGGTCCGCAGATAAGGCCGCAAGGAAAAATACTGCTCCTGAGTTTACAAAAATAAAAGATTTTTCGGTTTGAAATGAATATAATGCAATCCTATCTGAGTTTTAAAGAACCACCTAAAAGATGCGAGGAGCACAAAATATTTTCCCGTTGCCAGAAAACGCCCCGGTCTCCAATCAGGCCTCAGACAGCACGGCCTTCAGGCCAGACGCCAGTCCCGGACAGCAGGCGTCGGGCGGAACTCGGGCTCGGGAGGAAAGCCCAGGGCGAGAGGCCAGTCCTCACGGGAGGTCTCTGGCCTCAGCGACCGGGCGCGCCCTGGGCGGCAGCAGCGAGACGGGGGACAGGCAGGAGCCGGGCAGGGCTACGAGCTCCGTGGGCGGGAGTCCTGCCACGGCGGCCGCAGAGCAAAACACCGACGCTCAGACCCAACCAAAAGGGGCCGCAGAACGAGCAGCTCTTCGACTGTTTGGTCTCAGGATTCCCCATCAGACTTCTTATTTTTTGGTTTTGGGGCCACACACGGCAGTGCTCAGGGACCATATGGGATGCTGGGGATTGAACCCGGGCCAGCCGTGTGCAAGGCAAACACCCTCCTCGCTTGTGTTATCTATCGCTCTGGCCCACCACCAGACTTTTTAAAGATCCTCTTCACAAATCTGCATGTCGTGCTGGTGGGCCCTAGGGTCCTCCCTGTGCTGCCCGGATTCTACCACGTGCACTGTCGGAATACACACTTGGGCGGTCGGAACACACACAGGACCAGAGCGTAAGAAATTCTTACGCTGCAAATAGTAATGCAGAGCATGGATACACGAGTTGAAATTGAGAGATTAGAACGACGAATGACATAAAATGACTATTTCCAATCCCCAGCTGAACGAGAACAGTGACAGCCTGATCTCTGCCCGTCTGTTGAACAGACAGCCAGAAGGGCACATGTCACACCAGGATGAGAACAGAGAATAGTGCTGTCGGGATGTTTTTGGAAACGTAACTCCATAAAATAATTGAAACTGGAAGTGCAGTGGGGGCTGTGTGCCCTGGGAGCCCAGAGCCTCCCCAGCAGAGCAGAGCCAGGTGTGGTCCAAAGCCCGAACAAACGAAATGAAATGAAGTGAACGAAACCTCTGAAGAGGTGTTTCCCGTAGCTCCGAAGAGACCCAACCCAGCCCTCGGAGCAGGTTAAATGTGGCTGGTGGAAACCGCAGTTACATGGAACTTTTCACCGTTCCGTTGACCCCACGGGCTCTTCTGTCGCCCGAGTGTTGATCCACACGAAGTTTCTGCAATAACAGAGTGAGTCATCTGGAGCACGCTGTTCCCCGGGCTGTGGTTCTCCTGGCTACTGACAAACCTCGCTCAGAGCGTCTGAGTCGTCTCCATCAACCTCACACTGCAGCACCACGGGCTGGAAGGCACCACTGCCGCGACGGCCAACACGCGCCCCAGAAATCTGAGTCTCACCCGGAAGCTTGAATTCGATGGTTTGTGACAAACGCTGCTGCTTGTTTCTTGCACTTCTCTCGTTTGGGGGCCACACCTGGTGCTGCTCGGGGACCCACACGAGGGGCCAGGGACCGAATCCAGGTCGGCCACACGGAGGACCGCGCCCTCCCCGCTGTCCCGTGGCTCCGGTCCCTAGGACTTGTTTTTGTCCGGGAGAGGCCGCTGGCGCCCACTGAGGCGTGTGTGCCAGACCCCGGGCGGTTACATAAGGAGGCTCCGTGGGCAGAGGACTCGGCCAGCCGCAGGCCAAAGCACGGCCCTGCCCCGCCAGCATGCGGCAAGGGCTTCCTGTGCCGAGTTCTGCGGAGGCTTCAAGCAATCAATCAATCAACTACTTTCACGACTTCAGCAGTGACAGATGACCTCTGTCAAGCAGCGGGAGCTGGTTCTGGCGGGGACCAAGGGGTGGCGGCAGGCGGGTGGGCAGTGCCCGGGAGGGCCCAGCTCAGTGTGCCCACAGCAACGGCCATGCCTGAGGAAGCTGGCTGCCCTTCCACTGCCCGAGGAGTCGGCGGTCTGGCTGAGATGCCCCGGCTGGCCACAGCGCTCACGCGTGAGAGCGAGCGTGGCGGGTTGTCCGGGCAGCAGGTGGGCGGGCAGGGGCTGATGGGGGGCGGGGGGGGGGTTGGAGGTGCCGTCCTGAGCCTGGCACTGACTCCCCCGCTTCCTCTTCTCTGACCCTCAAACCGGCGGGGACAGCACTGCTCAGGACACGGCTGGAGCGACCGGCTACTGCAGTCCCAGGGTGAAACCCCGGTGTCCCCGCACTGAACCCCGCAGCCCCTTTCGACAGCGAGACGGGAAAGCGTGGTGAGGAGGGCGAGGGAGATGCCCCCAGGGACACATCAAGAACAGCCGTGGCCAGGGGGCGGGCTGTCAGCGGGCAGCAGGAACAGTGTCCGGAGCAGGGGACGGGGTCAGGAGGCCACCCCAGTAGTCCAAGCTGGGGACTCAGGGCTGAGAGAGTGTGGGAAGGCCGGGGGAGGGCAGGGTGAGGGGGTGCCCCCCTAAGAGCCGGGCTGGGGCTCGGCCTGAACGTGTGCGAGTGAGTGAGGTGCTGGGTTCGAGCCCCTGGGGGTGCGGCTGCCCCCGCCCCGGCCGCGCCTCACCTTGTACTCGTCCAGCCAGACGTGGGCCAGCCGCAGCGAGTTGTGGGCCATGGTGTCCTGGCCCTCGGGGGAGCCGTAGGGCCGCCTCTTCCGGAAGATGTGCCCCACCCGGGAGCAGGGGATGATGAAGAGCCGCCCGCCGCACATCCAGATCTGGGGGCAAGCGGAGACTCAGCGCGGAGCCTGCGGCTGCCGACCCCGAGGCCCTCACTGGGCAACGGCGCAGTCCAGGCTGCAAACAAGACCCCCGTGGCCACACGGGAGGCGCTCGGACCCGACACAGCACCACGGCTTGGGCCCAGGTCAGAGAAGGTTTCTCCGGTCCTCTGGTTCCTCTAAGAATGTACTCAGAAAAAAAATGAAGTTTTTCTGTGGCGCTATGGGGGCCGGCGCTGAGGCTGCCCAGGGCAGAGTCGGAACCAGGTCGCGTTGCAGCCACACGCCAAGCAGGTGCTGTCGCCCGAGTTCCGTCTCTCCAGCCCCAGGGAGGAGCTTCACGTTTTGCTTTTCGCTAAGAAGACGCAGAACAGCCGGCCCTGACCGCCCTCAGCCAAAGCGCAGGAACGCGGGCCGTGCATGCAGGCGGGCACGTTGGACCCCACAGGAACAGAATGAGTCACAAGCACGGATACGAAACGGATCTTTGGAGATACAACTCCTCTCAAGATCCAAAAGTTCTAAAATTTTGCCCACAACCAAGTTACTCCACAGGGATCGTTAGTTTTTGTGGGGGTTCAAGAATGCCATCTATGAAAATGAGCTGAACGGAGAGGAACTCTGAAAGCCCTGAGCCGTCAGAAATTTAAAAAAATAAATAAAAATGAAGCTCTAAGCCATCAGCAAGAAGCAGCCCTTCAGAAGCACCGTGGGCTGGCGAGGGAGGACGGAGGGGAGGACCTGCCCTACATGCGGATGCGAGGGTTGGCTCCCCAGAACCACATATTCCCCCGTGCCTGAGCACACAGGCCAGGGACGCAGCACCTTCCCTATGCGGGTCAGGGTTCGATCCCCAGCACCACACGAGCCGCACACAGAAACCGTGCCCGGACCCACCCTCCGTCTCCCAGCACAGGGCTCAGGCACCGCCTCGCCTAAGGATGACCCCCATCCTCAGCACTGAACAGTCCCCCGAGCACTGCAGGGCGGAGCCTCTAGAGCCAAACAAGCAGAAGCCCCCCAGACTGGCTTAAGCTTTTCCTGTCTCTCCAGCCCCCGAGAAGCTTGTGTTTTGCACAGGAAGACTTCCTGCATCTCCCGCCTGCGAGGAGTCACTGCTCCCTGCACGGCTTCTCATCCCCTTCTGGGTCACGGCAGAGGAGCACTGACGCGTCAAAGCAGACGAGTTACCCGGAACGAGATCTCCAGGTTCTCTCCTCCCCAGATGTCCATGCCGCCGTCGTACTGCCCGAGCTCGTTGAAGTAGCGTCGGTTCATGGCGAACAGCCCCCCGGCCATGGTGGGCGACCTGGAAAGAGACTCGTTCCAGACCGGCTCCGGGCTCAGCCGTCGGACCTGCGCTCTCCCGCATGCAGGGTGTTACAAGTGGAATCAAGACTGACGCCAAAGTGGAGTTTGCGTGGTACCAGACAACGAGCTGAGGAACACGCCTGGCGAATGAAGGGGACTTGGCGGCGCTCAGCCTGACTCCAGGCTCTGCACCCGCAGGCCTCCTGCCGGGTCGGACCTGAGGCCCGTGGCACTGGGTCTTCTGTTGCCCCGGGAGCCAGCAGCTCGGGTGGTCCCGGACCCCTCCCGAGGCCAGGAGTGCCTGCTTCCAGCCACTCACCCAGCTGGGCGCCTGTAGAAGCGAACTTTGAAAAGAAGTCCCTTCTGATGAGAAAGGAGATTTTTAAAAAAAGATTCAGGGACTGGTTGCACGAGGCTGACCCAGTTCAATTCCTGACGCCAATACGGTCCCCTAAGCCCTGCCAGGAGCGACCCTGAGAACAGCGGCAGGAGAAGCCCTGAGCACCACGGGCGTGATCCCAAAACAAAAAGATTCCCTAAAAGGCAGAAATACAAACCTCTGAAAACTCTGAGAAACTTAAAAGAAAACAAAAATAAGAAGCAATGCCTGCAAGCAGACTGAGGCTGAATATAACTGAGTGGTTAAAGTACTAAGGCTCACTCCCTACCACAGGAACCAACCCTGAACACCGTGACCCCAGGGACGGCCCAGGGCACCTTCCTGCTGCCACACCAGTGAGGGCACTGTGCGCCAGCGCAGTACCCTTGGGAAGGGGTGAGGAGGGCACCCTGCGCGAGCTCAGTACCCGCTGGAGGGCACCTGTCCTGCGCAGAGCCAACCCTGGTCAGCACCCCGGGTCCCTGGAGCAGCAGGGCTCATCCCTGAGCACAGCCAGTGTGGCCCCAAGCAGAAACTCAGAAACTCGGAGCAGACAAGCAGGCACGGCCGGCCTGGCTGACGGCTGCCTCTTCCCGTACTCAGACATCGGCAATGGCCGGTGTCTGTCCCCAGGGGCCCGGGACCCGGACCCGCCCTGCGCGCCTTACCTGATGGGGGCAGTGCCGCCCCCCGGGCCGCCCAGCTCCGAGGGGGGCACCAGGTCCCACTTGAAGTGCAGCCCCCAGTTGAAGCCGCCGCGCACCACAGGGGACGCACTGTAGGCCAGGGTGTCGGCGCTGATGATGTCGATGACGGGGCACACCACGGCGTGCCGGTCCTCGCGGATGGCGGCCAGCAGAGGCTGCAGCCACACGGCGTTCACCTCACAATGGCTGTCCAGGAACACCAGCACCTCCCCTGCGAGACAGCGCGGTCAGCTGCACGAGGCTGGCCCCAGCACCGCCGGGCAGGGAGGGGTGACCAGGCCCAGCCCCCCCTCCTGCCTAAGGCCACGTCCTCCTGGCTGGTCACTGCCCATCCATCAATGACACTCTCCCTCTGCTGGGAAGCGAATCCCGACCGTCACCTCCTCTCAGTAACGGGAGCTCGGCTGCGTGGCTGACCCACCCCTCAGGGGCCACGTGACCATCACCGGCTCAGCAGCCCCGTGTCACATGGGACATGTCGGAGACAGGCTGGCACGGGCCCACATGGGGCAAGCAGGCGCTCACTCAGCGGAGTCTCGCCTGGGACGCGCGTGGGAGACCGGGAGGGCACGGAGGGCATCGCATCGCTGCCCGGCCCCTGGGGAGGGACACGGCCCCGCGCTGTCTCGTGGCATCGGGTGGGGCAAGAACTCTTGAGAGACAAACTGGGGCTGCAGCCACAGTGCTCGGGGCTTGCCCGGGCTCTCACTCCTGGCCGGCTCAGGGACCACGTGGGGTGCCGGGGATCGAACCCGGGTGAGTCACGAGCATGACCCCACCCTCCTGCTACACTACCACTGGGGCCCTAGTGGGGACATTTTTTAAAATGCAACATTTTGGCTAGAGAGAGTTCAAAGGCCTGAGCACCGCCTGCGTGGAGGGAGCAGCGCATGCCACAGGTGAGGGGTGTGTGTGTGTGTGTATGTGCGCACACTTGACCCCGCCCCCCCACACACACACAGCAGAGCCAGCCAGGAGGGCCCCGAGCATCCCGGGGTGTGACTGGATCTGCTGCCCCTCAATAAATGAAACAGGGCAAAAATCTGTATTTCAAGCGAAGCCAAGGTACAGTCATAAATGAAAAGCCCCCTGGCCACGGTGCCCCTGAGCCCGGGGACGAGGCGGCCGCCTGGCCTTCAGCAACTCGGCGGGCGGCTCAGCACGTCCTGCTGGGCCAGGATCAAAGCAGGGAAACCCCGAGCAGGCGCCTGCCTGGGCTGCAGGTGGCACCGAGGCTGACTGAGGTCACTGCAGGCGGAAGGCGGGCACCAGCGTTTTACACACACACACACACACACACACACACACACACACACACACCCCTCACCTGTGGCCTGCGCGGCTCCGATCATCCGCCCTCGGATCAGCCCCTCCCGCCGCGCGTTGCGGACGACTCGCACCTTCCCGGGGAGGTACTTGCGGACGTACTCGTCCAGCTCCCCCTTCAGGTCGTCTGCAAGAGGGACCCGCCCGAGTCAGGCCGTCGCAGCCACCAAGTCAACACAACCCCCCCGCCCTGTCGCGAAAAGAAAAGCGTCGGGGTCTCCTGCGAGGGCAGAGAAGCGAGGAGCAGCGAGAGCCAGGTCCCGCCGGAAGGGACCTCAGCCAGAGACCGGTTCGCTCGGGTCTGGGCTTCGGGCCAGGCTTCGGGTGGTCCCCAGGGCGCCCACCGGGGGGGACAACCAAGGCCCCGAGAGTCCGGAGCGGTGTCAGAACGGCTAAGTACGAACCCGGCTGCTACAGAGCTGCCTTTCTTGGGGGGGTAGATCAGGGACAACGCGTGGCACTTTAGGGCATTTTAAAGAGAAAACCAGTGACGACCATAATGGCACGTAAGCTCCGGGAACGCCGACCTGGGATCTTACGGGATCTCTGAACTTAGGAAACGTAAAGTGCCCTTGGAAGGCAGAAAATCCACGAAATAACTTGGAACGCTGCTATAATTCTCACAGGCCAACACAAGCTGTCTCTCAGCTCCTGAAAGGAACATGCAGCACAGGGCAGCTGACATTTCCTCGTCCTTGTCTGAAATCTGAGGCAGCTCTGAGGGGGCTGTTGGCCCACAGAAAACACCGGGGGTGGGGGGTGCCGGCCCAGAGAACACGATCGTTCCTCACCAAGGTCGCTGTCGTCGTCCACCAGGATGACCTCGTGCAGGAGCTGCGGCGGCGTGCGGTCCAGGACACTGTGCACCGTCCGCAGCAGGGCGGACAGCGCTTCGTTGTAGAAACAGATGACCACACTGGCCACAGGCAGCTCGTCAGGGTACGACTTGTCTCTGCACCTGTCGGCAGGACGCCAGCACAGCGTGAGAAACTCGCCTCCGACAGGGCTCCCCAACTGAGGCTACGCCCGACAAACATCACCTGTGGAAACAATTCTCCGAGGCAACCCAGGGGCGACCCCAGCTGTGTCGGGGACCTCGTGGTGCCGAATCAAACCAGTGCTCCGTTGGCCACGTGCCAGGCACCCACCCTCACCCCTGCACGCTCCCTCACCCCAAGGAACGTTCAAGAAAAGGTTTCCTTTGCAGAATTATACACTGTGCTGGTAAAGCCCCTCTTGATGTTATGCCCGCACCCTGCTAGGAGGTGAACCCCACAAAGCAAGTCTTCGGCCCCTGGGGGCAGGCCAGATCCCCCGCGCCCTGCGGAAGCCACGCCAGCGCCTCCACAGGATTCCAAAGGCAGTAACAGAAACAAAGCGCCCGCCTGAAAGCTCCTTCCTGCGCAGGAACAGAAAAGCTCTGAGCTGCCCCGGGACGGCGGGAAAAGCTTCCGCAGCGCCACTCCTGCCGGCCACGGCTGGTCAGCGGCTCCGGAGAGCAGGAGACCCACGGGGCAGAGATGACGCGACCTCCCGCTCTCCTGGGCAGGCACAGACAGAGCTTCCCGGGAGCTGGACGGGCCACGCAAGACGCCTCAGCCCCTCTCACGCACGGGAAGAGCCGCCCGCAACCCCCACGCGGGCAGGCTTGCCTGAGGAGCCTCCCCGGGCCAGCCAGGGCAAAGCTCTGCCTTCCACGGGGCCGAGCCTCTGCACCCGTGACCCACACCCCGTCCCACTGCCTCACCCCGGAGCCCCAAACAGCATCGAGCAAACAAGCGCCTTCAAGCAGGTCTGTCTGTGGCCGGCTGACCAACAAAGGGAAAAAAGTCTCGGGACTGAAGATACCAAACTAGTCAGCAGGGTGGGGCGAGGAAGGTTTCGTCGGGGGCACACAGCCACCCGGTAACGCTTAGAACCATCGCGCCCAGAGAACAGCCTCCCTCGCCGGCCCCATGACCGAATTCCGTCTCTCTTAGTGCGGCCCCAGCCACGAGGCTGCCCCTGTCCCGCGCGGAGGTCAGCCCCGGCGGGAGACGTACGCGGCGTTCCTCGTGTCCGGCACGGGCCTGCGGTAGCCCAGGCGGTTGCTGATGAGCAGGTTGAAGGCGTGTTTCTGGTAGCCCAGGTCTCTCAGCTCCTGGTCGCGCTCGTCGAAGATCATGCCTGCAAAAGAGTGCAGTTTCAGCCAGCGCCTCGCACCCAGACATCGCCGGGTCGTCATGAGGGAAACGCCTGACCCTACTCCCACCACGCATCCAAGTAAAATCTGGCTCACTCAAGCTCAAAATGCAGTGCTCCTCACCCACAGGTGACACCTGCCATGTCACTAGCCAGAGTCCTCCCCCTCTTCAGAAAAAAAAAAAACTTCGGACTAGTCACCAAGGAAAACGAGTTTTCCAGAAAAGCAGTAGTCACAGCACCCCTGTGGATCTCAACAAAACACCCACACAAGCCTTGCGCCCCCAAAAGGTTTCCCAAACCCATCAAGACTCTGGCACTGGGGCTTATTTGAGGACGTGGGCTCAATCTCTGGCACTGTCCTCCCGCAGTTCATCGATTGGCTCGAGGGGGCACCAGTAACATCTCCATCGAGAGACTTGTTGTTACTGTGTCTGGCGTACAGAACACATCACGGGTAGCATGCCAGGCTTTGCCGTGCGGGCGAGATACTCTTGGGAGCTTGCTGGGCTCCGAGAGGGGCGGAGGAATCGAACCCGGCTCGGCCGGGCTGGTTGCACACAAGGCAAACGCCCTACCGTTGCGCTATCACTCCATCCAATCTCTGGCACCACAGGAAAATAAAAGCATCAGAAATAAAATAAAAATTCCTTTAGGTCTAGAACAGTGCCCTAAACAAACTTCTTTCTCAACAAACGCTCCTTGATTCAACAAACTATCAGAGGGGCCACCACCTGCGTGATCTCTGTGTCCTGCCAAGGGGCGGGACACAGCTGTCAGCTCCCAGCACGCAGCGTCCTGCAAACATTGAGGGGCACCGCCCCCGAGCACGAAGGAGCCTGTCTGCAGACACGAAGGACAAGGGCACTTGCGATGAATGACACTGTGACCGGGAGGGCCAGGGAGGGCCCTGTGTTAAGTGAACCAAGTCAGAAAGACAAGACGCAAGATGCCATCTACGAGTAGAATCGAAAAATCAGAGCAAAAGGCCCGGTGGCCGGCAAGGGAGGCCCCAGGGAGGGCTCCGGCGCCTGCTGGTGGCGCCCAGCACCCGGCAGCAGGGCCACGTGAGGCGGCCACAGGGCAGACAGCCCGCACGCCAACACAGGGGCCCCCCTCGACACGAGACCGCCTCACTCCCGGATGCGTTAAAGAATAACAAATCTGTTAACACATCACCTCAACTGGTTAAAATTTCTTCTTCGTCTGATGAGAAGGTTTAACGTCTATTCTCCCTTAACGTTAATTATTCTGAAAAATGGGGGAGAAAAGAACATTCCAACGAATTTTTCCCGCCCTGCTCACGCGCAATCAGAGCCAAAGTTCAGTTCACCCGCATGCCAGTGGAGCCGCCTCATTAAGCTTCAAGCGTCGTTATCAAGCGCCAACGGAACAGGGGGACCCGAGAGCCTCGCCTTTGTCACTGATCGTCTTTGCAAAATGTGCCTCTCACGGGTTCCCAGAGCTCCCCAGACAGCAGCATCTGGCGGCGCTGAGGGTGCCAGCTGCCCGCCCACCCAGGCTGTTTTGGCTAGCCTGAGATTCTCAGTGAGTTCAGAACCAGCTTCTTCTTCTTTCCAACAAAGATGCTCGAGCGCGGGAGAATGTCCGCGCAGGCCTGTCACTGTACGCGACTCCCTGGGCCTGAGCGTCTTTCCACGTATTTAGGCCTATTATTTCCTTCACTGGTGTTTGGTAATTCTCAGAGCACAAATACCACATTCGTTGGTTAAATTCGAAGCATTTTATTCTTTCTAATGCAACTGTAATGCAACTTTCCTGGTTGAATTTGAAGCAGTCTGTTCTTTTTAATGCTACTGCAGAAAGCTCTTCTTTTGTCTCGGGCTTTTTACCGCTGGGCTGCAGAACAGTCTTGTTGCGTGCTTGTATCTGTAACGTAGCTCAAACCGGTAATCACCTTCAGTTTCCTGATGCACACAGAGTGTCTCGGGAGAAGCCGAACAGAGCAACACCTCAGCTTGCCCGGTAGGGGCGGACGTGCAGTTTGTCTGCGCGTGTCCAGGGGCCAGCGACTAAGTGCCTGCCCTTGGGACCCAGGCGGAACGGTCTGGTCGCCTGGGGGCGGGGCTGTCGTTGTGGGACGCCCAACTGTGCTGCGAGGGGTCGCACTTAGGAGCTCAGGGGGGTCCCACGTCGGTCTTGCACTCTGCCAGTCGTCGCTGAGCCCACTCCCCGGGGCCACAATAACTTGCCAGAGTGACTACGAATAGATCAAAGGGCCAGGAACGTCGCCGTTCCTGCCTCAAAATGTCCGGATGACTGGAAGGTCTATTCCACGAAAGCTGAGGCAGGCAATACATCGCTTCCTCCTATTTGTTTACCTTTTGCTTTTCAAGCCACACCCAGTCGTGCTCCGGGTTTCCTTCTGGCTCTGCGCTCGCTCGGGGATCACTCCTGGCAGGGGCCCACCGGCAGTGCCGGGATCAATCTGGATCTGCTCGCGGAAGGGCGAGCGCGCACTTACTGTACTCACCCCGATACGAGTTCTGAGCGTTTCCAGTTTGTAAACTCTTGACTAGAGCAACCCGAGAATTAAATACAGTCTAGTATCTTAATAATTCTCACAGGAATGACAATTAAGAAATCTTCTTAGGTTTGAGTAATCCAAGCTCGTCAATAAGCCCACGGGTATCCGTTCTGTTTCAATAAACTCTGTCTTTCAAAACACATCAGACAAGCCAACTCACCTTCCAAACTAACTTCCTTCCCTTATTAAATAACACTGGCAATTAAAACCTTTCCCCACAGGGACAAAGATGATACAGCAGGTACCGCACTTGGCCGAGATCCCTGAGTGCAGAATCAGTTATCAGCCCTGAGCATCGCTCCAGTGTGGCCCAAAAACAGAACATACAAAATAAACTTTTAAGAAATCTTCTGCGACTGGAGTGACAGCAAAGCGGGTAGGGCGTTTGCCTTGCACGCAACCGACCTGGGTTCGATTCGCAACATCCCATATAGTCCCCCGAGCACTGCCAGGAGTGCAGAGCCAGGAGGAGTCCCTGTGCATCGCTGAGTGTGCCCCCCCCCCCAAAAAAATCTTCCCCATAGTTCCAATCTCTCTGGCCTTGTACGTGCTCCCTTTCTTCCTACTCAAGGTCTCCTGAGGATCCTTCAAGTCCTCATAAAATGCCAAAGTCAGAACCAGACAACTACTGGACTGTATGAGAGTGGCCAAAATCCAAGAGTCTGGCTGGGTGTCTGATAAACCCATCGTGGAGAGGAAAAACAGAGCCCAAACCCCCAAAACCGTCATTTAAAGCACCCTCAGAGTTAGGCCCAGGGGTGAGACACGAGAGAACGGTAAAGACACTCACCCAGCTCGGAGGAGAGCCTCAGGCCGTCCTTCTCTGGGTCGTCAACTTCATTCCCGTGCAGCTCGTGTGCTCGGAACTCTGACTCCAACATTTGACCCGGGCCCCGAGTGAATCGCGGATAGAACTTTTTGGGGAAGGGTCCGTGGGGCCCAGCCCCCTTGACGGGCACATTCTTGCGCGGTTGAGTCACTTCACTGAAGTTGAAATAAATGAACAGCACGACCGTCCAGGTGGCCGACGTGAAGAGGCACCCGTAACAGAAGTACCGCGCCGTGACACTCCCCATCACAGACTAGCATGGCCGGGGGGCATCTTCAGTCTCCTGGAAGGAAAGAGAGGGTCAGGCCCAGGGACCACGCCCGTCACCTCCCCACACCCCTGGCCTACGCACACGGCCCCGCCAAGGTCAAGCAAACACCCGTGAGGACGAGCACAACATGGAAAGGCTCAAGGGAAACCAGGGGCCGGCAGAGGCGTCCGTGCCCGCCAGCCGCGGGGCGCAGTCCCCGGTCTCGGAGCCCACTCCAGCCTGCCTGGACTCCCCCAGGGCGGTCTGCTTCTGTCTCGAGATCCTGATGTCGTGGGGGAAATACCAGCTCCCTTGGCGTGACTGTACAAAGTCCCCTTCTGCTGTGAAATTGAACCCGAGGATCTTAACAAGCAGTCACGAATAAGCACCCTGAGAAAGAGCCCGCTCCCTGGTGATCACCGAGACACCAGAGCCACACTGAAGCAACGAGGAGAATCCCAGGGACTCCTCCCCTCCGACGGCTCGCTACCCCTCCCCCTTCCCCAGACTAGGTGCTCTGCAAAGCGCTCGGCCCCCCAGGATCTGCCAAAAGCCTGGCGCACAGATGCCCTCTGACCCGCGGGGAGTCGCCGGCGTGAAGTGTGGGCACAGGAGGAAGAGACCCAGGGACACCACTTACACATGGTGCGCTATGAAATAATTTCTCATTGCTGTTGCTTTGGGGTCACACCCAGCCGGTGATCAGGGGACTGTATCTGGTGCCAGAGATCGAACCCGGGTCAGCCACATGCCGGAAGCGCCCTACCTGCTATATTATCACTCCAGGCCCTAGATCTGTATCACTGTAGCACTGTCCTCCCGTTGTTCATCGATTTGCTCGAGCGGGCCCCAGTAACTTCTCCCAACAAATTGTGAGACTTACTGTTACTGTGTCTGGCATATCGAATACGCCACGGGCAGCTTGCCAGGCTCTGCCGCACGGGCGAGATACTCTCGGTAGCTTGCCAGGCTCTCCGAGAGGGGCGGAGGAATCAAACTCGGGTCGGCTGCATACAAGGTAAACGCCCTACCAGCTGTGCTATCACTCCAGCCCAAGCCCTAGATCATTCCTTAAATACATTACCAGTCCCTAAATCAGCACCTACTAAGTTCCACTTCAAAACTGACTCGTTTGGAGGCCAGAGAGACAGTACAGGGACTAAGGTGCTCTCCATGCTGCCTGCTGACCCAGTTCAGCCTCTGGCAGCACACACAGTCCCCTGAACAAGCCAAGAAAAATACCCAAGCAGTACCAAGTACACGCCGACACCCCCCTTCCCATCCCACCCCAATGACCAGTCCGGGTAGGTTTTCCTGGTGTGGGTCCCAGCTGTGCAGAGGAATCACCACTCCAGGTGAGGCTCGGGGACCCTGTGTGGTGGCGGGAATTGACCCGGCTTGGCCTCGGGTAAGGCGGGCGGGCACCCTCTGTGCTGTCTCTCTGGTCCCTCAAGTAACCACTCTGTACATCAGGCCATAAGCCCACAAGATAATAAACTGCTCCATTTCTTAATGATTTGTTGTTACTGCCAATCCCAAAACAACAAAACCCAAACAAATCCTCCCTGCACCCCCCCCACCCTCACCCCCACCCCAAGGTCATAAGACGGGCCCAAAGAAATGAAGAGCCAAGCCCACAGCAGACCCTGAGAGCCGGGCTGGGCGGGGGGTCTCCCACCAAGGACCGTCCATCGGCCCACCCTGCCCCAGAATACACGCCCTGGGCCTGCAGACAGGAAGGTCACTGAGAGGACACGGGTCCACCCGTTCCAACCTGCCGGCTGTCACCAATAACACTGCTGACCACGGTCTGCCCACGGTGGTCCTGGACAGCAGCGGAAGGGCCTTCTCGGCCACCGCAACACCACAACACTGGACGCAGAAACGGCTCCACATACAGGGACATCGGGACCGAGGCAGGGGCGCCAGCACTGCATGCACGTGTGTGCGTGTGTGCATGTGTATGCACATGTGTGCACGTGTGTGTGAGAGAGGAGACAGAGACAAGGAGAGAGAGACAGACAGAGGGAGACCGAGCGCGACCTGTCTCCGGGTGAGCAAGAGCTTCCCCGCAGACCAGACGCTCGCCTCGGCCCTGGGCTGTCGTCCCGCGGGGCTCCCTTAAATTCAGAGTGGAAGGGAGCGTTCTCAGTTGCGAACTCCCGACCACGCAGCCGAAGTCCTTCGAGGAACACCGAGCTAGCTCCGTCTGGAGGGGGAGAGGTCTCCGCTCCGGCCGCTTCCCCAGGCCCGTGAGCTGCTGGCGGGAGGCGGGTGGGGAGGCGACCACGTGCGGAGCAAGTCCTGGGGGTGCGCTCCCGAGACCCCGCCGCCTGGGGGCCCGGCCCCGGTGGGCGCTTTCCGTGGGAAGGGTTTCGGGCTTTTACCTGGAATCTGCGAATGGAATCGTCCCTCCGAGTGTCTCACCTCTGGGACATTCGAGGAGGAATGCTGACCCACGGGAACCCTCAGGCCGCAAGAGCTTAGGCGCAAGGCGGAGGCTGCTCGGATCACAGAGCAGAAAGCGTCTGTCAGGTTCAGCAGGAGTGGGCTGACCCGAGGGCAACAGGCTGGGCCGGGCTGGGCTGGGCCGGGCTGGGCCGGGCTGGGCTGGGCCGAGTCAGTGCAGCGTCTGGAGTGTGGCCGTGGGCACAGGGGCTGGGAGATGCCGCCTCAGAACCCTGCTGTGCCATGCATGCCAGGGCTGCCGCGAGACTGAGTAGGGACAGTCACCGGGGTCTTCGGGAACAAGAGGGCAGGAAGCGCGCTGACTGGGTCTAGAACCAGAGCGGCGTCAGGAAGAGGCTCGCAGGGCTCCCCGGCCCGTCCTCAGCACACGCCCCTCCCCACCGGGCACACAACAGAGCACAGTTACAGGGAGGGGAGGGGACCCTCCAGGCCTGCCCGCGAGCTTCACAGGGATCATCCCTGGGCTGGCGCAGGGGTTACTGGCTCCTGCTGACAGGTCGACTGCTCCTCTCAGGGACTGGACATGGAGAACCGCAAGGCTCATCCCAGGGCCAGGTCCCAGTCACTCAGAATCAGGCTGTCTCTGTCTTGCGAACGAAGGTGGCTTCAGGTTGCTGAGGCAGAGGTACAGAGCTATTTTTTAAATTTTTTCTGTTTCCTTTTTGGGTCACACCCAGCGATACTGAGGGGTTCCTCCTGGCTCTGCACTCAGGAATAACTCCCAGCAGTGCTCGGGAGACCCTATGGGATGCCAGGGATTGATCCTAGGTCGGCTGCATGCAAGGCAAACGCCCTCCCTGCTGTACCATCGCTCCGGCCCTGGTACAGAACTATTTTTAAATGAAAGATCCTTGTGGGCTTTGTGTGCGTGTGGGTGGGGTGAGGAGAGCACCCCCCAAGCGGTGCCCGGGGACCTGAGCCCACCAGGCGGGAGACCCACAGCAGAGGAGCGCACGCGAGCAGTTCAGCTTCCGGTCCGAGAGCACAGCCCAGCATGGGGCCCGCGGCAGAGCGCGGCCGGCAGGGGTGCAGCCCACGTCCAATTCCCGGCCCTGCTCGAGCACCCAGATAAATGATGAGTAAATCAGTCCGGTGTCTCAAGTGTTAATGGAAGCTAAGAAACTTCTTTGTGTCTGTTGTTTCTTTGTTTTGGTTTCTGGGGTCTCAAGGACCCTCTGGGGTCCCAGGAAGGGGGCCCGGTTTAGCATCACGCAAGTGAACGCCCGGGATGTTCTCCCTCTGAGAACAGTCTGAGAGCCCCTGGGTCGCTGATACCCCCTGCTCCCCAGTCTCATTCTGTCCCGGACAGAACTGTCAGAGTACGTGACCCAAAGGCTAATGACCGACTTAATTTTTGGAAATGAAAATGGGTCTAAAATTTAGTGGTTGAGCGCGCGGACAGACAAGGGTTAAGGCACTTGCCCCACAGGCAGTGGGGGACCAAGCCTAAGTTTGATCCCGGGCACTGCCAGGAATGGACCCTGAGCAGCTCCAGGTGTGGACCCAAAATAAGCAAAAAGCACAGAAAGGATTTTTTCAGGAAAGATAATCTCTGTCAAGTGGTTCCAGATTAAGACCCGACCCTGGTGGAGCCAAAGCCACAAAACTACTCAACTGTTTCCCGGATCTCTTGGGAAAATCAAGTTTTACTGTTCAGCAACGGGAAATTCCTTGAGTATGTAGATGGTTTCACTAAACTACTCATGGTTAAATTGACTTTTCAAACCAGGGGCTTATATCTATAAAGAGAGACATGTTTTGGTAAGAAAAATAAGGAAGAGATCTCTGCTGAGAGGAAAAAGGAACTGTGTGCTAAGTGAAACTGTCACTTGATGAAACGGAACGAGAAATCAGGGAGCAGAGTGCAAGTGTCCAAGGACACGGGAGCCCCTGCCGGGTGCCGCCGTCCGGGCCAGGCTCGCTTGCTGGCCTCACAAGCCCCAGGGAAGGGGCGGCGGATCCCGGCCACAGCGCCTGACACCACGAGGCTCGGTTACTCTCCCGGCCGTTGCATGAGGGTGCGGGAGACGGAGCAGGAACGCCAGGAAACCAACGGGGAAACACGGAGACGTTCGCCCCGCTCAGTGAGCAACAACAGGGCCACTGGAGACAAACCACACCAGCAAATGCTCAGTGTCTTCCGTGACACCGAGAGGAGGACGTTCAATGAGTCAGGGAGACGACAGCTGAAGCCAGAGAGGCGAAACGGAAGGGCTACCACACCCAGAAATGACGGAAGTCAAGAACACGGGAGGTGACACGGGCACGGAGACCCGAGAGGTCAGAGGGCCCCAGTGAAACAGACCAAACCAGGAAAACTCCAAGACACATTATATTCAAAATGACAAGACCCAAATATGAAGACAGAACACTGAATGCAGCAAGATCAAAAAAGGAACTTGAGTACAAGGGAAGGCCCATCAGAGACACGGCAGAGCAATCAAGTAAGACTGAGCATGGGGAACAGCACAAAATAGGGGACAATACAAACATGGGATAGCACAAAAACGCGATGAAACGAGCAGCTGACCAGAGTATCCATCCAGCTAGGTATGACGCCGATT